TGTGAAAAATGTGATGAAACTTCAATTTAAACAAAGCCTGCAATTTTGGAGGACTGTATCACAACATAAACACAGACAAAAGCACATTTCATGGGGAAGTAAAGTCAATACCTATAAACTGGTTCCTTCACATGGTATCAATGGCATGGGTTTGAATTAGAACCAAAAGAGACATCAACAGTCCACTAGCATTCAGAAATCTCCCTAAACACAAAAGCTGAAACCAAGTGCTTCCAGAAAAGAAGCATTCCAGAACCTTCACATTCACTGATGCTTCATGCAGCATCAGAATGCCCCTTCTAGTCCAGTGCAGGGCAATTGAACTTTGTCATGATGTACTTGGCTGCACTTGCGAATGGATGTAGTGGTGAATGAATGGATGGTGAGAGAGAGCTTGAGTATCTCAATGAGGAAAGCCTATGCTTGGGATTTGTGACCACCAATCCATCACATCCTCTTTCAGACTTCACTTTGGGATAAAAAGGGTCTGGCTCCTTTGCAGGCATTAACTGTTTTGCTTCTCCTGCAATCAACATTCTTTTTTCTAATTTTCATTTGATTTATATATATTCCCAAAAATGTGTGCAGCCACCTGCTACATGGTTGACTTCACCAGTCTCTTGATCAAAAAAAATCCAGGTCAAATAATGCTTCTTTAGTCCATGCAGTGAATGAGCTGGCTGGAAGACAAAAGAAGAACTTCCCTCCTGACACCAGCTTTGCATAATCCATTCCCATGAGATAGGATTTTATTTATGTATTTATTTATTTATTTATTTATACTTTAAGTTTATTTAATTATTTTTCTTCTGTATTTTTCACCTGTGAAGATCAGCCTTCACCAAAAAGGTTAAATGCTCTTTGAGTGTCATGGTCGTAGCCACTCAAATCAAGGTTGTCGAAAAATCAAGGCCAACTTTTGAACAAGACCCACAGAACCATCTCAGCAGCTTCACACGATATTGAGGAAAATGCATTAGCAAATAGGAACCCAATACTGAGAGAAGTGCAACTGCAAATGTAACTCTGAATGCAACTCTGTTGCAACCAAATATGGGTTTGCTGAAATCAAGTGATACTTCAATACTAAGCCCATGCTCAACATCCCCTTGTTTCTGGATCCTATTATGGATTATGTAAGCTTCATCCATAGGGGTGAGGCTAGTGAATGAAACAAATAATTAGATGAATAAATCTATCCGTTAGGGCTGGAAGGGGCTGGGAGCATGATATTGTTGCAGCAACCAGTTGACTGGTGAGAACTTGGCAACACAGAAGCAAAAGCTACTTCAGCTTAAGCTTTGGAAAGACTGCCTCTCATTCTTGTGCACCTCCCCAACTCTACATTTTCCCAGGCTGGAATTAGCCAAGCATGGGCCAATTTTAGGGCAATTCTTACGGGGTTCCTTCCACAATCCAGCAGAGAGTAACTGCTACCTCATGCAAAGAGCCTTGTAAAACGCATCCTGGAACACAGCTCTGCCCCTCTCAGAACCAGCCAGGATGGATGGATGTATTCGTGGATGGATGGATGACGATTGTGGGGCTGGGCCGGCGGCCCATATCACCCCATTGCCATGTCATCACCTGCTGTGACTGGGCATGGTGATCCGTCTCCTTTTGGTCGACTTGGGCTTTGGAGATGGAGACATGAGGCATAATCAGCAGAATTAAATCTTTCACTCAAATCAAGGTTTTAGTTTGATTGAAAAGTGGTACATGTATTTGACAAGTTATGCAGGACCTAGTACCTAGTTAATTATTATATATACAAATATAAGAGAATGTTAAATAGACCCAAGTTTTTGCTAAATTGACTCACCCATCCTAACCATCACGAAAAAAAAAAAAAAACAAAACAAAACAAAAACAACAACAACAACAACAACAACAACCTCTAAATTCATTTCTCTCTTATTGAATTTGCAACAAATGAAAACCAACCCATTCATCATGAATATCATATTCTTCATCAAAGGTGGGTTGATTTAGTATAAACATGGGTCTATTTAACATTTCTCATATGTATATAAATATATATACATGTTTTTTATATTGGTAATGTATATATATATATATATATATATATTCCCATTAACCAATGTTTCTTGCTTACCTCATAATTTTGTCATAATGGATGTCGTTTTGAGTTCATATCCTACCATCTCCTATCCAATATTTCTTGTATAATTTATGAAGTGTCCATCCACCAAATATATATATATATATATATATGTATAATGTGTAGATATATATATAAAAAAAATTAAAGCCACACCTCATTCCCAACTCATGATTCATTTTTATACAAATTCCATGTCCACCCCCCCCCCCCAACCCGTTCTCATCCCACATCCCTGTTCACATACCCCAACCCCGCCACCCTGACCCCACCCACTGGTCCCTACCCTCACCCCCGGCCTACCCGGCCCCGTCCCCACCCCCTGCCCACTCTCCCTGACCCAACCCCCTTTGTTTTCCCTCTCCCTATGGTCATAGCACTGCCAAAAATTAATGATATATGTATGTATAAGTATATGTAAACATACGTTTTTTAAAATTTGGGTATCTGGTTTGCTCTTATTTTTACGTTACAGTTTAGATATCAATCTAAGTGTTCAAGAAGTCATATCTAATTTATAATAATAATTTTAAGCGGCAATATATACATATATATATATATATATATATGTGCATACACACACATACACTAAACTAATATTTTTAATAACTTAAATATATAACTTAGACTGTATAACCCATTTCTTTTTAGATTTAAAAAAATCAAAATCAAAGGTGTATACTAGTAAAGAATCAAATTATTGTAGTTATTTCTTAACAATATGTTTTTATTCATGGCAAAACCATCCACCAATGGCTATTTTATTTTATTTATTGTGTCACTTCATTATATCAAATGTTGTCCATGATCCTATGTTTTCATTGCAATAAAAAATCACATATATATATATATATATATATATACATACATATATATATTTATATATTTATTGTCTTTTTATTTTAAAATATTTACTATATTGTATAAGGTTAACAAAAAATAATAATAATAATAATCTCAGTTTTACTGATGTAATACATTGATTTTAATCAAAATAATTTTGGATTCAGAATGTGCTCTAAAAATTTCTATTATGCACAAACCTTTGAAGTAAATCATTTAGTGATTTTTTTTCAAAATCATAGCATATTCATATATACACACAATGAAACTCAATAGTAATTTTTAAATTATTGAAAATTAATTAATGCAAGAAAGTAGTAAAATAGAAATTAAAAAACACTTAATTTATCATAATATAGTTAATAAACTTCAAAAAATTAATTAAATTTTAAAATTTGTATATTTACATATACTTAAACACACATACATATGTCATTAATTTTTGGCAATGCTATGACCAAAGGGAGAGGGGAAAACAAAGGGGGTTGGGTCAGGTCAAGTGGGCAGGGGAGGGGGATAGGGGGGGTGGGGCAGTGGGGTTGGGGTATGGGAACAGGGATGTGATGGGAATGGGGTGGGGGACATGGAATTTGTACAGAAATGAATCATTTGGGAATGAAGGTGAAGCTCTCAAACTATTCAAATAATTCAGGGTTAAGTAGGATATACCTGTAAGGTAAGTGTGGTACAAAAATTGAAAGAGCAGAGGAAATTCACAATGTTTAGTATTTGTCATTTCCCATGAATAGAGGATTCTTCACTTTGTTCAACAAAGTTGAATGGCCTATTTTTGCAAATGAAAAAATCGTGTGTTTAAGAGTTGTTGTACAAGTGCACCACAAGCATTTGCTACTCAGTTGAACAATTTGCTGGCTCCAACCACGATCCAGCTATATGCCTTGGAGCATGGCAGTGGTCCCTACTTCATCAAAACCCTAGTCAGCAACTCTTACCATAATCAGGAGAGTGGTTCTACCCAATCCAACAGCTTTTTTTGTGGGTTTCATTCAGCACTCCATCCTGTGCTGCAGACACTGCTCAAATGGATGACCCATTTAGTGTAGACTTTGAAATGACTTTAAAAATTTGACTTATTATTTTACTCCTCTTTAAATGCACTTCACAACCCAATCTCTAAAATGGTATCCTCTGGTATAACAGAGTGAGATATCAGCTCCACCAGTAAAAATGAGTATTTGTGTATTTCTCAATAAACCTTGTTGGATGAAGCAGTGAGTATGTAACTATCAAGAGAATCTCATTGGAGTTTGAAACTCGATTTTTTTTATTGACATAAACACCTCCATGCCACTCATGAATATCATCAAAAACATGTATATATCATGAATGATCATTTTTCATGGGATGAAAACCAATGCACTAAACTTAGTTCTCATTGATTTGATATGAGTACCCTTCCAGTTGATTCGGAAACAAGAAAAAAACAGAAGGTAATAAAGACATAAAAACAGAGAATTGGGCAACGAGATATTACCTCACAGAGTCCATGCATCCATATCCCACAAGTCGTGTTGCTTGCTTGAAGACCTTATTAGAAATTCTATCGATTCGTCTTCTCTCGTCATTTTACCAGTTTATTGAAGTTACAGAGTAATATTAATATTTTTTTTATTATCATTAACTGAATGCAAGTGTGGTTGGAACCTGGTCAAGCAAACAAAGAATTAATTGCAAACAGAGGCAAACTCAAGGAAAACCGAACAAGGAACATGAGAAATCAACAGCACTTGGCATATAGAACTATTCATTTTATTCGAGACCTTAACAGTAGCAATGTGAACGCGCCAGGAAGCGGGAGCGTGCGTTCCTAATGGCGTTCTCACAGGCCACGGCAACCCCGATCACCGCTCGCAACGGATGGTGGGAGGAAGGAAGCCACGAACGAGGCGAAAGCGACGGACGGGACAACGTGGAGAGCGGGGGCGCGGGAACGCGGGTGGCGCAGGCGGGCGAACCTGAGGGCGCAACAGGAGGGGGACTGGAGCGTTGCGCGGGTGCGCACCTAGTTGAAGGGCAGCACCCCGCTCCGCCATGGTCACTGTCATGCCACCGCTTGTCTCTCTCGACTTGCCAGGCATTAACAAGGGGTTCGGGGGAAGAGGAAGAGGAGGAGGAGGAGTAGGAGGAGGAGTGGGACTTCGGAGATGGTGGAGGAGGACTAGGGATTTGTGCATTTGGAGTTAATACATCGACTGCGGCATTTTGTCATTTCTTCGCATCGTAGACTGGCCCGTGTTTGATAGGGCTCAAATAGCGTTTTTAGGCGCATTCTCAGTTTGAAATCGAGTTTAGTACTTTTTATTTTTATTTGACGGCATTCTATGGTAAACACGAAGATGGACCTCAGGATCTTGTCGCTGGTGCTGCTCGTGGCGCTTCCGGCGTGTGTTGCGTACAATGCTTCAGTCGGATGGCAAACGATTTCACGTAAGTGATTGCACAGTGCGGTTTGGTGTATCACGCTGGTGTAGTGTGGCTCGTGTGCAGGGTAGAGTTGAGTTTGTGAGATTCCGGAATGGGAGCAGACTGGAATTTCTAGTACGGTGGGAGAGGTGATTGAAAGTTAGTATTAAGGTGGGGGGTGATCGATCTGTGGCGCGCGTGGGGGTATAGAAGTTAGCTCGGGTTTGACGCAGGGCGAGGCTGTGTGATGAGTCTAGAATGCAATGCGAGGCACAGCACTGGGGCAATGCAGGAACGATATAGTGTAGTCCAGTCGCGCGCGTCTGGTGCGGCGCAGTTTGCGGTAGACTGTTGGCTGGGATTGCGATCATGACTAGTGGCTCGCGAAGTCTCACAACCAGATGGGAGGTTACATTCACTCGTGGTTGGTGTAGGTAATCCGTTGAATGGTGTTTTTGAGATGTGTTTTTCTTCTTTTCAGATAGCGGCATTCTAAATCTGTTGTCCAGAACATTGTGGCAGCTAAATGAGCAGATTGCGCTAGTGTCTTGTACACTGTGCAGAATTAGATTCTGACAGAAGAGTACCAAGTTCCTATTGGTGTGTCTGGTTGTCTGTTCCAGAGAATTGGATGCGCACATTGCTTCCAATGTTTGGATGCATAAGTAGTGAATGGTTTCATTAACTCTGCGTTTAACGAAAGAAGTGATCCAGGCTCAATTCTGCCGCGCTGAGATTTGTCCACTTCCTCTCACCCTTAGAATTGGATTCAGGAACTGTTCGTTTCTATGAATTAGTTGTAGATTCTGTTTGCGGTTCGGTACATCAACTAGCCGAGTTGTATTATTTGCTATTTTGATTCTTCTAGCTCCACGTTTAAAGATCTTGACGAGTATGTGCGTTTCAGATATTGGGTTTGTCGCACACACCCAAAATTGCAGATCGTTACTTCTGAGTGTGCTCTTCCTCTCGATCAGCATTCTAATGCTAAGTTCCTCGGTTTACCATGTGCCTAAATTCTTTAATTCTTACTGTCGGCTACATTATTCCTTATTAAGCATATTTCCCATATAGGTTTGCATCGTATGGGTCTCAGCACGTCCTTTTTTTCAGACGCTGACGTGTTTTGAATGAAAACAAATGTAGTGGTTATGATACAGGATGGGACTGCTATGCATGCAAAGGAAACCATAGTTTTGCTTACTAACAGATTGACCCAACGCGTGAATTAATGAAGGTGCTGAATTACGTGAGTTTGACTGCCGATAGTGTTACGCGGTGTTACATGAGCTAAAATAATGAGAGCTGTGAATTGTGATGCGTCGAGGAGTTAAAACTTTCTTCTGATGGACTAGACTGTAGAAATGTTTTTTTGTGCGTCGTTGATTCTTAGCTTCAAAGAAACTGTCGTCAAGGTAAGACTGGTAAAAGTAGGTGTGATAAGTAGTCTGTTTTCAACTTGCATCTGCAGTGGATAACTGGGTTCAGTGTTTGAAGAATTCATATCCATTTCTCTTCGATTCTGTCGTGATGCGAATAAAAATTGAGTGTGTGAATCAAGTGAGCGGAACATACACTAGTGGAGATCTAAGAACTGAATAGACTTTTGGCTTATACGGTGATAATATCAGAGAGTCTAATCCTGTGTGTGTCGCACATTAAACGATTTCTGGATAGCCTTCTTTGAAATTCTTTTCAGACGTGAAGGATCAGTGGAAATGAAAGTTAGGACCGGTGAGTTTGTTGTTACGTGTGAAAACTAGCATCACTAGGCAGGTAATGTGCTCATCTGGTTACTGTTCTCCTCTTCTTTTAACGAAATCTATCTCATGTTGTGGTGCAGAGAATTCTCCTTTGATAGTAGCGAACGGTGGCACTTCAGGCCTGTATCCAGATCAAACACTTGAAGCCTACAGTGATGCAATCAACAGTACTTCTCTTCCTTTGGCTTTATTGTGTGACCTGCAGTTAACGAAGGACAATTTGGCAGTATGCCGCACGGGCTTGAATTTGACCACGTCAACTACTCTAGCAACCGTCATGCCAAATACAACGACGATGACCACTTATGTGGTCCGAGGAGCTTCTCAAACTGGTTATTTTTCAGTCGATTTTACCTTAGCAGAAATTAACCAAACCAAGGGTAAGGCTTCCACTTAGAAACTCTAGCTCTGGCTGGTCAATGTTGGTACTTATAATCTGGTGCTTTGAGGCTTAATTTGTGTTCTGTACTTGCCAGAGTTTTTGTTTGTTTGTTTGTTTGTTTTGTTTTTTTTTTTTTTTTTTTTCTTGCAGGTGGTAGGTTTAAGTAGACAGAGGCATCCTGTTTCATTTGTGAAATGGTTGTAAACTAATGTTGCAAGATTTTGGAGTGGAGATAGATGGCAGTTTTAACTCTTGTGCCCTGTGTATGTCACTGCATCTGCATTATCGATGGTACTTAAATGTTAGAGTAGCCACGAGGACCTAGCTGAACTATTGTTTTCTAGTGCATGATGTGAACATGTTTGAGAACAATTTTATTTATTTATTTATTCTATGTATATTAAATGATAACTTTCGAAACATCCGTGACACTGCTGCCAATATCCAGCTTGTGTTCTGACCTAGCGTTCGTCCATGCAGCGATTCAGCCTAACATTGCGCGCACACCTGGTTTCGATGGACAATTTGCACTTCAAACACCCGAAGATTCCGCGACAGGAATTTCTCTGGCAGGACTTCCTGGACTTATGCTCTGGTTAAACGTGGAGGTACATCGTGGCCAGCAATATAATCTTCTCACTTCCTGCGTGATAAAATTAATTATTTGCTTGTGATTTCGATACATTAATCTTTTGTAATATATTGTACGAGTTAGAGATCGATGCTTCGGTATTAGTGACTCTGACCACTCGTTGACTGTTTGCAGTATCCTACTTTTTACCAGCAACATCCTGGAAAGAACAGCCTTGCTAGTTACCTGACCACGTTTCTGAAGCAATATAAACCACAATATTTGTCTGCTACTGAGGTTGGTATTTTAAAATTGCTTGTACCTACTGCCTCCAGAAGTGCCACTCGACTTGTCTTGAAATTTTTGAGCACTGACCTCATCGAAGAGAGTACAAACAGCACATACGGACAAATTCTCACGAATTTGACTGACATTGCCACTTTTGCTGGAGGAATTCTAGTTCCTAAAGAATTCATCTATCCGACCGTCCCATTGAGCAATGGCTCCGTTTCCGGCTACGGTTATTATTCCGGAAATCCAACCACTCTTGTCCAGGATGCACACAATGCGAACCTGGAGGTTTTTGTGTACGGATTTGCCAACGACATATATCCGTCCAGCTACAATAACAGTTTTGACCCTGTTCTTGAATCTTTGAACTACGTGGGGGACTCTTTCACTGTGGATGGGATCGTATCAGATTTTCCATCCACTGTTGCAGAAGCAATATGTGAGTACACTCTCTGTCATATAGAACGCAACGTATCGTGTGCCGTCGTGTTCGTACTTCTGAGTATTCTCGCTATTTAGTTAAACCTTTGCAGGGAAGTTCGACTCGGATGTCTCGATTTTGAATGTGTTTACTGGGTTCGTGTGTTTACTGAAACATTTTTCCTGTCAGCTGGAATTAGTGTATCTGCTTGACATCGTTTAATTGATTGGCCGTACTCACACTCTACTATTGGCGCAGTTTGCTACCCAGATGGTTATGATAATCCTTCAACAATCAGAGGTATACATATTACTCTGCGTTTTGCCATTCTGACAAGATTGTTGATAATAGATACGTTAGAGCGCGTTTTTCTCGGGTGCTAGTTCTGCTCATGTCCTTTGATGTCTTTGTTTGCCTGTCTAAAGTCGTGTTCTGTCTAATTATTGAGTTTTAAATTACGGATTGATAATAAGGCAAGAAATTGAGAACATTTAGGTTAATGTGAATGGTTCCATGCCGACGGTGAGAATCGTAACATGCTTACCATTAACTTGATTTCTGGCTTAATCATTGTGCCAAACGTCAAGGTCTAACTAAAAATTGAATGCCTTCAAAAAATGTGCCTTTGTGCAGCTGCTCCTACACCTGTGCGGAATCCATTGATTATAGCACAGAACGGTGCTAGTGGGGACTACCCAGGTAGTACCTTGTCCGCATATGTGGCAGCTGTTAAAGGCGGCTCTGATTATATCGAGTGCTCAGTACAGATTACTAAAGATGGGGTGCCTATATGCCGGGATGGTGCGAACCTAGTGAATACTACCAACGTTGCCCTCAACCCAGATTTGTTTGAAACTAAATTTACAACTTATCAGGAAATGGGTTCAGGAGTGTTCTCCTTCGATCTCACCTTGGAAGAAATCAGGACTTTGAGAGGTATATTATTTTCGTGCCAGTTCTGTGTTACCCTCATGATCCCTAAACTACCTTTCGGTTTAAGAATACAACTAATAATTAGGAATATCTGTGTAGCAACTTTTGGGACCTCATCATTATTGCAATCATTGTCCTTCCAATTGTCTCTATAAGCTGTATATGTATAAAATATCGAAGTATGTTATCGATTCAAACTTAAAGCTTCGTCGTTCGTCTCTACCATTTCACTCATATATTGTCTTGTGATAAAGAAATATACGTTCTTTCAATACAAACCTTTTAGTTTGCATCTAACATCTTGTTTATGAAAGATATTGGTAACTTACACTGAATTATCTTAGTAAGTCGTCAGGTTCATCAGGAATGGAGCGGTTACCTTGTTATTGCCCTTATTTTTCCACAACCTTGAAATAACCCTTTTTTACAATTCCAATATAATGTCATCCACAGGTTACATAACGTTCTTATTACTTGCGAAGGAGTAGTGAAAATAATTGTCGGGCTTAGAGGAACACTTCATTCATTGATGGATTTTGCGCTCTCCCTTCAGTAATCGCAATGAAAGTAGTTCGGTTATGTTGATGGCACTAACTTTTGTAGCCTTATGATTGTATGCAGCTATAATTTACAGTCCTTTTGGTGTTGTTAATGTTTCCCGCGACCCTTCACTCGATGGTAAAGAAGGTATATTAACTTTGGATGAGTTCTTGAGTTTTGCGAAGAACAATTCAGGCGTTGGTGTATACGTAAATGTTCAGGTAATACCTTTCTTAACCTAATTTTCGGTGGCGTGTGATCGTCTGTTGTCATCATTTACCATAATTTGCTTGTGTTGGGCATTTTTACATGCACAGTCATCCTGATGACCTTATGCTATTAAATTGTTTCATTAAGTCTAGTTGCTTCTTCATACCTCTGTCTGATAACTAGATTGTTTTTTGTACCTCAGAACGCCTACTTTGTGCGCACTGTGAAAAGTTTGGATATGGTGAGTGCGGTTGTGACCTCTCTCACTACAGCGAATCTCACAAATGTCGGCGACAAAGTCTACCTAGCTTCAGAAGACAGTTCCGCTTTGGCTGCGTTCCAATCTCTGATACCCTCCGTCCAGCGCGTGTATGTAACACCTGATACTGGAGACGTTACGATCACGACAGCGGTGCTCCAGGTGTGCTATTCTACTTGGTTGACATTGCTTCAAACCAAAAGCTATCTGAATCTAGAGCTCCCTTGTCTGCAACAGTGATGTTGCGTGGCACCCAAATGAGTTAGTGCACTCTGGTATTGCTGTAACTTTTTTGTGAATAGGGCGAAGTTTTAGAATTATTGGATATGGAAATATTTTAGGCTTTCAGGAATAGATTGGAGTCTGTATGATCATCATTTCTTCTGAAGCACATTGCTTTTTGTCGGGATTGTTGCATTGTCCTGCAGGAAATCAAGAAGTATGCAGATATCGTAACTCTCGATCGCGCTTTCGTCGATCCTTTTGATTCACAAACCTCCTTTCTACTTGAGAAAACATCCGTGGTAAGCGCCGCGAAGTCTCTCAACATGACAGTGTTCTATCACTTTCTGGCCAATGAGTTCAGCGGCCTCGCATTCGACTACAGAGCCGACCCGATTCTGAAAATAAGTTATCTTATTAGTGAATATAATTTGGACGGTTTCATCACAGATCATCCAGCTACGTTGTACAACTTCCTTTACAGTAAGTATTGTTTTTAATTTTAGTTTCTATTAATGTGTATGATTAGTTATATGTCTTAGGATATTGAATCAGTAGGTTCAGTACTCTCTGACTTCGGAGGGATGATGAATTTAGTTGTTCCTACTGTAGCAGTTTGATGCGTAGTTCTTATGATTGTCGCGATTGTTTTGACAGATAACTACTGCTGGAATCTCCTGGGAGGTCAAAAGACTGTAAATTATGCGGCCAATCTGTCTCCTTTGTTCCCAGTGAGTCCTGTACCTGGCGCACCAGCCGTAGCGCCAAGTCCTGCATTGTCTGTAGCTGAACCTCCAGTGTCATATTTAGTTCCCGCGGGAAGCCCTCTTCCGAACAGTTCCATTGCCCCAGCGCCGTCGTCCAACCCCAGTTCAGCAACAAAGCTTCCTTTGAATCTTCTCACTTCCATAGTGCTAATCTTCATTTTAACCCTATTGCTGAATTGATAGCGTCATGGAAGTTCCGACTGGTTACTGAAATTTATTTTGTAACACTATGTTACAGTTCAGGATTGTTATTCTTAGGTGGCCAGGATACACATGGTACGGTAGGCCATATGCAGATTATCAGTGTCCACAATAGCAGAGATTGGTTTCAATTTTTTAAGATGAGTTATGTGAAACCTTTCTCCCTCCAAGAGTGAGGTTGGTTTGTAACCATCTGTAGTAATGGAATGCAACGATTCTTCTTAGTTCGTGTGCAGCTGTTGCTTATGATGGCTTTGTATTGTTGTTATATGTACTTGTGATCAGGATTGTCGCATGTTCAAGACTCATAAGTTTCGCTTGGAATCGCTTTTTGTTCCCGAATTTAAGTGCTTGATCAATCTCGGCTTTTGGATTACAAGTTTCTTAGTAAGAAGTCTTGCTGTCAAACTCCATCTGAGCCGAAAATTGGGAGGTACAACATATCTTTATCGCATCTGCACAGGACACTGCGTTAAACACCGTACTGTCGGGATGAACTGATTTCCGAATTGGGTCCCATCTCGCATTGAAGCTGTCATCTCTGACTCATGCTGTATTCTCACTTGTGAACAACGTTCAAAGCGTAGAAATTGGCGTAGTGAAGTTTGCACGGTTTGTATCACGCATTGGAGATCTCGGTACTAACAGCCGACCTCAAATCCTGTTACGAATGCCCTAGGATATTTACACTGATAGGCTGAGGAAGTAGCGTCAGTTGGCGAGAATCGTCTCCACGCAAACCACTCGGCGGCTACCTGGACAACTAATGTAAGTCCCGGTGCCATCCAGCTTGTCGGTTATGATGGACCTTTCAGTTGGGACTCACGATTGTTAATTTGCCATTTTCACGCTGCGCCACCAGAGTTCTGGTTCAACCGATTGGGAGGTGTATGATTAGGGATTGTTGCTTGACTTAAGATGCCGGTGGTTCCGGAGTGTCGGGACGCGTTGCACATGGGAGCGTCGAATCCCTGGTTACTGTTGATTTCCTGCACAACTCTGGGTTCCTTAGTCCACAGCTGGGGGTGTGATGAGGCACATCTTGCACTGTTTGCAACATACCCGCTGCCATCCCCAGTCCTAGTTCCTTTTAGTTTTGGACAAGGGTTTTTGTGATTAGAGTACATTCACTCGTGGGAGATCTCTGTTTTCAAGAAATGTACGCGGTGCTTTTCAAAAATGTAGCGGTAGCACTGGGGTCGTATTTTCGAGTACAAATGTGACGATCGAGCATTTGAGTAGTCGATACGTGTCGATAGTTCGTGTGATCTCTTTCAGTTGGGGGCAACATTGGGAAGCGCATTCAAAGTTGCTTAATTCTTCAAAGTTTTTTTTAAAGTTTACAATGGTGGAGGTTACGCCCAGGTTGAACGTGAGCCAATGCTGAGAAAGAAATTTTAGGAATGCTCCGCGTTGTGCACCAAGCAAGATTCCTACTTCGCATGCTTTATGGATTTTGGTTTAGAAGCTGCGTCCCTAGTGTTGTGGTGAGTGGATTGTCGTGTCCAAGTTTCAAAGTTCACACCCAAGTTCCAACTAGATTCAATATCTGCGCATCCAGATGAAGAATCTCTTGCCGATCACCTTGATGGAGGCATTCAGAAGTTTCAGGTACGCCGCTGTCTATTAATCTTTTGTAGTCCTGGAACTCTTGCATTCTGTGGGTTGATATGGTGCTATAACTCAGGATTCTCATTTTGATCCCCATTCGAATCAAGAAAGTGAAACATCTACATTGCATGACACAGTTCAAGTAGGGGGGCAACTGTGGCGACGAAATTTCTAAGGGGTAGGCGTTTGAAGACGGACATGATTCTAAGAGTGGCATTGATAGTAAGTATTGTGCAAATAGTCTCCGCTAAACAGTATGATGCAGCTTTCCAGGTGAGATTATGTGATCACAACCAATGCCATCAAACTCGCGAGATGGCGCCCAACATGTGGGGTTTGATCGTCACACTTCTGAGTTTGACTACCGATGCTTGGGGGTTCGCCTCTTCTTCGGAGTTCGCGTGGCGGCTGCTACTGGTATTCGTTGCGGGACCAATCATGCCCGTTTGGAGTTTAATCGAAGTGCTCGGAAAAGCTTTTGTGGGTATGAGGCTTACGAAGAAGCTTGGTAGATCTACGATGACAGTGGCTAAAAGTAATTCCGCGAACATCATTGCACAATGCGACGTGTTGTTGGGAATGAGTGAAGACGCTGCCACAAGATTTCCGGTGATGCATACCGAGCAAAATTACAGCATCGACGTGTTGCTCACACCTCTGGAGGTCGGTAACCGGCGCGAAAGTGAGGCATTGGTGCTACTCAACGACCGGGGCAAGGAAGCCCTTCTAAGAGCCAATGTGCTGCCCAAGTACGAACAGCTACGCTTCCTGCATGGCTACAGTGGCCTCGCCATTGCCGTCACAGCAGCGCAAGCACTTGGCTACATTTTCGGGGTCATATCCCGCGCTAGTCAAAGCCTCAACGCAACGCCCATCGAGAGGATTTGCATGGCACTAAGCTTCATCGTCTTATTGAAAGCCGGCTTGTACACAATCGCCAGCAGCTGCCACCACCCACTGCTCCTCCACGTCTCCTCTGACCACGAAGAAGGCGTTCTGGAAGCATGCAAGGACACCAAATACAACGAGCATGACGAATACATGGTGGAGATCCAGACCCTCATCTGCACGGAGCTGGTGCTCGCCATTCTCCTCGGCCTTTCCATTGTGGCGATCTGGTATATCATCCAGTATAATGTCTTCGATTCCCTACCCAGTTTCTTCTTCGGCATTGGCATCTTCCTGCAGATGATCATTGCGCTCCTCATGTTCGGCAAGTCCATCCGCATCCCAAGTCTTCTTCGCACCAAATTCTGCTCCATCTTCATTGTTGCCATCTGCTCCCTGGTGAACGTTACTGCCTACACACTCGCAGTCATCGCCACCATCAAGAATTGGCACACCAGCGGCTTCAGCTTCAAGAGCTATCTCTCAGATTCATTGCCCCACATCGGCTAAAACCTCAACAACCCTCTCTCATCAACTTCATTGTGAGTGTTCCAGATCCATTACTTTTCAAATCCCTTTTTATGATTCGTGAGATTCCTCACACCCTTTCTCATCACCTTCAACCTTTATCCTGGTTTTGCCTTCTACATGCACATCCAAGATGTGTGTACAAAAATGATGCAGATCTGTGTGTTTTATTAGCACTGTATGTCTCCCAGGTAGCTCGTCATCTCAGTTCTAAGAGTTGGGTTATTCTTGCAGCATCTGTAGTTTAGAGTAGCGGTAAGTGTGCTTCCTGAACCGAGCATGGTCTGAAATTGTATCTAATGTCATAGAAACCGAGTTTATTTTTAACATTTTTTTCTCTCTATTAAAGTCAATTTCATGTTGAAGCTTCAGAAGCTCTCTGTGGAAGTGATCGTTTAGGATTGTGTTGACGCTGGGAGTGGCAGTTTCGTGTCCTGATGACATGGCTTCAGTGCAAGTTTTATTTTTATTTTTATGGGGGTTGGTTGCTTGTTTTGGATATCAATGAGTATGCAATTTTTTATTTAATTCAGAACGAATTATCATGTATTGATTACATGTTGTTTTCGGTTTTGGACTTTAGCTTAATCTATGTATTCGTGACTTTTGGATGTTCGTTTGTTGAAAATTTGACACCAATCAAAGTCTAATAAAATCCTTTGGAGAGAATATGATGTAAAATTACTCATCATTTTTGCATGTAGAAATAAAGTATGAATTCTTATTTTATTGTAAATTTTGCTATATTATATGATTTAAAATGAAAGTGTGCATCGTAGTTTATCGATGTACAGAAGAATTAAACGAACTACAAAAAAACAAAAAAAACAAAAAAAACACGAAATCACAGCATTTCATTCATTACAGTACAATATTTCAAATTATAAAAGTCTATTGATTAATGAAATGGTAAAAACGTATTAGAATGATGACACCAATTATTATATTATATTATTCTTAAATTTTACACGATCATCAGACATACCGGTGTTTATTTCTTTTAAATCTTATTTACATATTCGAAAAAACTTCTGATTGATTTTTAATGGCTATAAAGTCTGATAAATTACATAGAAACGGATTACAAGTATCTATGGCTATTTCATATCTACATTTTATAACTTAATTAACACAACAGATTTCGACTATACTTTCTCACGAAATATTCAAGTACAAAGATATGACGAGTTAAGCTTTTTAAAAGAAAACCCATTTCAAAAACTGTAATATTTTCTTTAGAGCCTTTTACATTTTGCTAGCAAATTCCAAAATCTTAGAAATATCTAAAATATTCCTCTATGTTTTAGAGTATTTTTTTAAACATTCAATACAAATAATAAAAATGCAAGAGTATTAAAAAAACATTGGTTACAGATTTAATACATTACAATTATGACACGCAATCTATCCTCTATTCGAAATAGTTTTAATCTACAACTATTAATTATTATACAACATTCACTAGTTCCATTACAGCACGGAATGACACACGCTTCAGGGGGAAAGGGCGCTGTATATCGTAATACCGCGAACGGTGGACGTACAGAGTTCATCGACAAAGGTGGATGTTGGAATCTGCTGAGAAACCGATCCCGAGGGGAGGGGGGGGGTGGGGACCACAAAACGGGTGACCCGGCCCGTTGAACCCTTAGGGCTGCTGTGCCAGTCCCTCTCCATTGCAGTCTTGAAGCTTAAACCCTAATGCGTTGCTCTGAACTTCCGTCTCTCCACCCCAAGGGTTTAGAGACTGAGAGCCGTGGGACGTAGAACAATTAGGGTTAAGCTTTGCGTCCCAGTCCGGGCGAGGTTGTGTTAATCGGTTTGGGAGGATTGTAAACTGTTTTTTATTGACAAGAAAAATCTGCTGCGATGGGGAAAAGTAAGACTACGGGAAAGGGACGTCTCGACCGCTTCTACTACCTTGCAAAAGAACAAGGGTTTCGGTCTCGAGCCTCGTTTAAGTTAGTGCAGCTTGACAGGAAGTTCCAATTCCTGTCTTCTGCGAGGTCGGTGCTCGATCTTTGCGCTGCCCCGGGAGGATGGATGCAAGTGTGTTCCAAGAATATGCCCGTTGGTAGTCTCATAATTGGTATCGATTTGGTCCCTATTCGGCCGATTCGAGGGTGTGTCACATTGCAGGAGGATATTACTACGCCTCAGTGTCGGGCGGCCATTAAGAAGGTTTTGAAGGAGAAGAAACATGACATGGTGCAGGTTGTGCTGCATGATGGCTCGCCCAACGTGGGAGGAGCTTGGTCATCCGAGTCGTCGGCCCAGACGGCCCTTGTGTTGGACTCCCTCAAGCTTGCCACCGACGTTTTGTGTCCCGGAGGCACCTTCGTGACTAAGGTATCAGGACTAATTCTCTTGCTGCTGGTGTGATTATTAGTAGTCTTCTAATTACAGTCGTGGTGATTTTAAGAATTTCATGTCTAACAAGCGTCGTAATTGGTTGGATGAGTGCAGATTTTCAGGTCACAGGATTATAATGCGCTGCTTTTTGCTTTCAAGCAGCTTTTTGAGAAGGTTGAGGTTACCAAGCCCATTGCCAGTCGTGCTACTTCAGCGGAGATTTACGTGATATGTCAAAAGTATCGTGCTCCTGCTAAAATCGATCCCCGTCTTCTCGATGCTAAGCACTTGTTCAAAGAGACAATTGAAGCTCCAAAGGTGTGTGTTGCAGCTTCTGTGTACACTATTCTCGATTACGGCTAATTCAACCGTATTTTTCTTCCATAAAGCCAAAAATGTAATTAAACTATTAGAGGATATGAAAACTGCCATTCCTGTTTGTATGTTTTGTTTAATGTATTCCAGTAACCGGGGAGGGGGGCTTGGTTCATTTATACATCGTGGTTATTTTTGAGTACGAGCTTTTGGTGACTTTCGGGAACTGTCAAGATGTAATTTTGTTGAGTATATTTTCTAGAATTGAGACAATAACTATGAGCGGAATCTTATCAACCGTATTAATGGTAATGTGGATAGGTTATTGACGTTATGAAAGCAAGCAAGCAGAAACGTCACCGAGAGGGGTGAGTGTAATATGCTCTTGCTTTATTGTTGTAATTATATCTTGTTATTCCGGTCACTATGATTAGCTTTGGCTATGTCGCCGTGACGCTATATTCTGTGTACATCGGTCACTTTTGGGGATTTTGCGAATTCAGGGCTAATCTATTGCTAATGTCTCCCCATGCTTTATGTGCTTTAATTTGAAGTTCTGGGAAATAGTTCTCGGATCTTACACAATGCCAGATCATTCAACTTTGAGGTTTGCCAGGTATGAGGAAGGCACCACCGTCTTACGGAAAGAGGTCAAAGCTTCAGACTTTGTGTGGTCCGAGAAGCCTTTGGACATGCTTGGCTCTATCACTTCAATGTCTTTTAAAGATCCCGACTGCAAGGTTATTAAAGAACACGATTTGACTACGGACGAGGTATATTTTAGTATTTATTTTATTTTATTTTTCGTTGACTCCCAAAGCGAGCTTATTCATTTAGATACACGGTTGTATTTCCAAAAAGATGGCTGTATTGTGAACTTGGTATTGACTATAAATTGTCCACAGCAACCTAATTGTGAAATTTGTGCCTGGTTTGACGTTGAAAACCCGACAAGATTGTGTTATTGGTGTTTGCCATTCGACATTGATTTGTTAATTGATTTTTTTGGGGAGGGGAGTTTCAAACAGATCAAAATTTTGTGCGAGGATCTTCGGGTTCTAGGAAAGACTGAATTCAAGCAGTTACTGAAGTGAGTAACTTTTCTGGCGTACACGCCATCGTTTTACCTTGTATTGAAATTGATTATAATGTAGCACGAGCTGCTTCAGGATGTAGGACATTATGAATTCTCGTGTGTGCACTAGCAAGTCTTTGCTATTTCTGTTTGGCGGGAATAACTTTTAATATCAGCCACTGATTATTTTCTCATTCGGACAGGTGGCGATTGCAAATTCGAAAAAACCTTGAACCTACTCCAGCCAGTGATAAGGAGGATGACAGTAATGAGAAAAAGAAAGGATCAGATGAAGATAATGATGACGAAGAAGAACTGGCTACCATGGAAGAGCTCAAGGAGTATGTGGAATCTCAGAAACGCAAGGAGCGGAAAAAGAAGGCCAAAGCAAAAGAGAAAGCTAAGGCTCGATCAGCGACCGGAATGCAAATTGATGTGATGGAAGATGGTGTTGCTGATACGGAACTTTTTAACATCAAAGCCATCAAGGTATTGTGTATTGATTATAATATCTTTTGGAGAAATGCTAATATTGTCTGTAATGGAATTTTGATTTTTTTTTAGATGTCTCTAATTTTTCTTTCTTATCCCATATTATCTGTTGAGTTTTGCTTCTGTGAAATTTTGGGAGTATGAACTAAATTTTTCTGCAATTGTTTGATACCAGGGTAAGAAAGATTTGGCCAGAATGGAAGTTGAAGATGATGAAGATGACAATGATAGTGTCGATGAAATGCTGAATGATGGCCCCCAGCAAGCTGAGGATGATAGTGATTTCGATCCTGAACAAGATCGTCAAAGGTAAGCAATTATGTAGTTTGTTTTTTAAGGATCAAAACAGCTCACCATTCATGAGTCTTGAAGGTTCCCTCTCGTAGAGCTTGAGTTCATGAACCTTGGGAACTTTGTTTCAGGTATGATCAAGAGCTGGATCAGTATTTTGAACGCGCATACAGTAAATACTGCTCTACTACGGATGGTAGCACGAAACGCCGCAGACGAGCTAAGCTGGGAGAGGCAGGGGACCTTTGGGAGGTATAAAAGGACCTCCAGATACTTTTGGACTATTGGAACTGCATACATTTTGACCTGAGAGTCTTTTCAAAGCTTCCTTTCTTTTGAGTTCCTCCTTTCACTCATGATAAACGTGGGTTGCAGGATAATGAAGTTACAGGTCAAGACGATGAAAGTGATGGTGATGATGTAATTGAGAATGCAGATGAGGATGAAGCGAATCCGTTGGTTGTCCCATTGGCTGAGGCTCCTAAACTTTCTACAGATCACTTGTCCAAGCAATGGTTTAGCCAAGATGTTTTTGATGGTGTAGGCGAAGGCGAGGAACTAAGTGACGATGAAGAGGCTATTGCAAAGATGCGGAAAAAGAGGAAAGCTGAAACTGATGCAGAGGTGGATGCTGATGGTGATGAGGATATGGGTGTAGGTGCCTCTGAGTTGCCAGCCGCAAACCATTCTGCCAATGGGGCTGCTAGTTTAGCCCCTGCTGTAGGAAAAGGGGATTTTGAAATCGCACCCCAGGAAGGAAATAGCTCTAGTGATAGTGACTCAGATAGCGAAGACGATAATGGCAAAGCAGAAATCCTGGCATATGCCAAGAAAATGCTGAAGAAAAAGAATAGAGAGTCAATCTTAGACGACGCATACAACAGGTATACATTCAATGACGAAGATATGCCACGATGGTTTGCTGACGATGAGAAAAAACACAATAGACCTGAGAAGCCTATTACCAAAGAGGAAGTTGAAGCCATGAAGGTACGAACTGATCAATCTGTGTTATTTGATTTATCTCTACAGTTCGCGGCGCTTATTGGTTATCCTTATTGTTCACGCCTTCTTCATGCCCTGCATTGGATCTCTAGGCTACCTTTAAAGTATTTGAAAAATTTGGAAGTATTTGAAAATTTGGAACACAACTCATGGTTCTTAAAAGAGCACTAGAGTTTTTATTTTATTTTTATTTTATTTTTATTATTTTTATTCTTTTTACTGAGTTTGGTTTATCCTTTTTTAATTGTGGTAGTTGTGTGCGTTCACTTATTAATTTTTGGATGGTACCTCATATTTTAAATTTGTGTCCATTTTCCAGGCCCAATTCCGAGAAATCAATGCGCGGCCCGTGAAGAAGGTAGCTGAAGCCAAGGCCCGAAAGAAGAGGCGTGTTCTGAAAAAGTTGGAACAAGCCCGCCAGAAGGCAACTGCAATTGCTGACCAGGAGGATATATCAAATAAATCGAAGCAGAAATCAATGGAGAGGGTGTATAAGAAAGCTTTGGCCGCACCCAAGAGGGGAAAAACAGAAGTGGTTGTGGCTAAAAAGGGCGTAGGTGCAAGGGGAGGCAAAGGAAGAATAGTTGTTGATAGGCGTTTGAGGAAGGATTCCCGGGCGAAAAATACTGGGAAGCCTGGCAAAGGCTTCAAGGGCAGAGGTGGTGGGGCAAATGGTGCCAAAGCAAAAGCCAACAAAGGTAAAGGACCAAGTAGGGGAGGGAAAGGCAGGAAGCCACAAAAAGGCTGAAGGTGCTTCCTGAATGAGCTTCTAATTGTAGGAAAGTGAGGAGGTTGAGAATTTTGTGTGTAGTTGAATGTAGATGCCTTAGGAGCATGTCTTCAGTACGTGACTGTAGCTACTTTTGACTGCTTATTGAATTTTTATGTTTCAACTTCAATTTTCTTTAGTTCTAGATTAGGTCGAGCTGTTCCTTCAACGTAACGCCAAAATTATGGCCGAGATTTAATTTTAAGCTCACGTTTGATACTTCGACAGAGTTTGATTTTGAGCTTGTTGTGTTTTCCTTATCACACGAATAACACAATCCAGTTCGAAATGACCATTACCTCTCCTCGGGTACTTGACAAGTAACCGAGCGATACCAAATGCTGATTGCGTCTTGCTGTCAACTGAACTCTAGTTCGGTCTGGCTAATCTCCTCTTGTCCTCTCTATCTCTCTTGCGTTTCTCGGTTCATTGGCTATCATTTTCTAACTATTTCATGCTTCCAGACGAATCTAGTACCCTATGCTGTACACAATGCCTACCCATTTTCTTAGTAGTTGAGTCCAAGTACCGTTTTGTCAGTTCAATATCCTGATAATGGAAGTCATTCCGATCAAGTAAACAGCACCCAACAGACGAACATAATCCACGTGATATTGTGGATGATTATCAGACATACTGGGGAAGAATAATGCGGTTAGGGCTATCTTGACAGGAAGGGGGCTTCACATACCTGGGTTGCAACAGTGGCGGAGTAGATCCAGTGAAGCTGTCAATAGGTGCATTTAGTGGGAATTTCGGGCCATTCAAGGCTTGTGTTTGGAGAACTTGGTGGTAGAATAAGGAGGACCCTTTTGTGCATTTCTCACAAATGCATGAGAATAGAGGTGTTGGGCAGGATTTGCGTCATGTTAATGAGGGAGTTATACTGGAGAATTGTTGTAACTTGGGTAGAGTGCATGGAAAATAATATATATGTCAAGTACATTGTTCATCACATCTTCAATCCAATCCATACAACAAAAAATATTTTACTTTGCTTAAACAATCATCCAGATTAATTTGGTAGCCTCATTGGTGTCTCCAACTAATTCCACAATTACGTAGCCAATATTGAGAACACATGTTTTGACACCTAATAAGACAAAGTGTGTCAATAAGCATGTTTGAACTCCATATATATATATATATATATATATACACACACATCATTTCATTTTAGTCTAATTATTATACATTTACACTTTGTATACATAATTTGTCTATTGTTTCTTTATTCACATTATCTCCCATTTATCTCTATCGACAACAATTAAAAAATCAATTCTAACATTATTCCTAATTCTTTTATATGATTTAAGTATGTATTTTTGTATTTTTAGAATGTTTATAATATTAATGATCAAATAGAACAAATCAAGGATTTGATTGACAGATATCACATACAAAAGAATTAAATTTTGAAGGTTTGTTAATACAATCTATAATAGGCTACTCAAAATTTCAGCATAAAAAACATTCACAATTCTTTAACTTAGCTAGAATCAAATGGAAGAGTATAGGAATTTCCTATGACTCAATATATATAGGGAATTATTATAGTGATCTAAGTATTTACTAAATCAATCCATCCATCATCATTGGTTGAAGATCCAACCATTCTTTCATTGGTTTTTAACCAATGCAAATCTAGTAGTAAAGAGTTATTTGATGATAGTTAAGATGGGTCAATTTAGTAAGTACTTGAGTCACTTTAACAATTCTCTCTCTCTCTCATATATATATATTTATTGATTACACTTTAACTAAACTAAAGTATCTAGTTTAAGCAAAATAATTTCAAATTATATTTATTTAATTTTTAAAGAATTTAAGAGAATGAGTGATATAATTAATATTTATTTTACAAAATTAATAAGCTTGTCAATAAAAAAACTTAAATACAAGCATAATAATATTACAATTAATAGAATTAAATTATTATACTCTACAAAACATTTTAGTGGAACAACATTTTTTTGTTGTGTTTACTGAAAACTTTTATACATGTCTATTTCCAATGCAAATTGGCATACTCTAATATAATAATTTGTAATTAATTTTAACAAAGATGTGATTTTTTTAATTAAAAGAATATATTTAGAAACAAATTATCTACCTAATTTTTGTATATAAATTTTTACTTATTTTTATTTATTTAAGTATATATATTTATAATAGTTTACAAGCTAAAATTAATAATTAGATTTTTTATTAAAACAATATATTGTTACTTTGTGATATGTAATTTTAATTTTATATCCATGTCATTACTTTTAGTTTATAACTTTTTAATTTGAAGTTGTTTTTAATTTTTTTAATTTTTGGTAAATGCAATAGAATAAAATAAATAAGTATATATATATATATATATATATATATATATATTAAAATAACCCACCTATTTATTAACCCACTCTATTATAACCATCATTAAAAACTAAATCATCTCCACAAATCATCATTACAATCATGGTCTTCATCTCCATCCCTCTCATTTCAAGTCCTTGCTCCCTCTATTCTCATTTCTCATCCCAACCCCTCTCATTTCCAACCTTTGTTCTAAATAAAAACTTTTTAGTGTACAAAATGAAGATATTAGCATTGGATCCAACATTGCACTATGGATGTGGAATCAAGCTTAAGGTATTGATGAACATCAACTCAAGCCTACTAAATCTTGCTGACTTTCTATACTTGGTATTTCAATTCTTCTTCTTCTATGTTGTGAATTTGCAAGATAAAGTTTTGAAGGACATGATGGGTATTATATAGCCTCAAATTTCAGCAATGATCACCCCACTCAATGAACCAAATCCATGCATTGATAATCCATGTCTGGGATGCAACAAAGCGTAGAAATGACTTGCCTTACATGATATGTGTTCAATGCATCCACGAAGATGTTTACAGCAAAATGATACAAATACAAACAAGAAATATAGTCTAAATGCTAATCTCTTTGCATTGTCATATAATTTTTGAGAATTCAAACTAGAAAATAATTACTAAGAGACCAATGAAAGACATTAAAATCATCTCCACAGTTTCAGCTAATTATGCAAGGGTAGTATACATCAAAATCTCTGATTAAAACTTGCCAAATCCTAGCCAATTAATTGTGACAAACTCTTAGTCAAAGACGGAAGTTATTAGCTAATTCTTAGGGAAAGGTTAAAGATGAAGGAGGACTACAATTAATACTTTTACAAGAGCTCTACTAAAAAGATCATATTCCTACACAAGCAATGATAATGTTGTTTATATTACTTGAATATCAACAATTATAGAAGGCATAAATAAATAAGTTATTACCAATATTTTCAATGGCTTCTTCAATTATAATATTGTTGTAGTTAGCAACTCTATTGCCATGATAACTTTGTCTTATATTCAAGTCATGTACCGTAATGATTCAGTGGTTGTCATACTAAAGTGAGTTCTTTTGAATGAATCAGACACATGAGGGGAAAAAAATCAAAAAATCAAAAATCAAAAATCAATATCTTGAAGGGCAAGATCATGAGCATGCTATCAATGTCTTAAGAATTTGATAGATGAATTATCCAAAATTAATCCTAATCTAGTTAGAGCATAGTGTTAGTAGAATTGAAGTCTATTAAAATTTCAATTTATGATAATAATAATAATAATAATAATAAGACTACCAAATAAGTGTTGTCTTTTAGCATAGGAAGTGAAAATAAGATATATTGAAATAATGCAAAAAATAACAATAGATGAAAAATCTCCAATACTGATTGGTCTGAAGTGATTGGCCGTTCACAACTTTCTTAATCTTGCAGATTCATAACATTAGAAGAGAAGGTATTCAACATAGTAAATATTAAAAGCCAGCAAGATTCAGTAGGCTCAAGTATATGTTCATCAATACCTTAAACTTGATTCCACATCCATAGTACAATACTAGATCTTTTCATTTTGTAAATTAAAAAGCTATTACTGGAAGTAAAAATTGAAAATAGAGGAGTTGAGATGAGGATTAAGAATGGAAGTTTGAGATGAGAGCTAGGAACAACGGGAGTGGGAATTGGGAACAAGGGGAGTAGAAATAAGGGCCATGATTGTAATGATAGTTTGTGGAGATGATTTATTCTTCTAGTGATGATTATGATGGGACGGGTTGATTTAGTAAGAAATTAGGTCATCTTAACATTTCCCTATATATATTTCAAAGAATGAATAGATTAAATGATATAACATTGTGTATATTAATAAGTAACATTTGATATTAGATGTTATATGAATGAACCCATATATCTAATAAAATACTCATAATAACAAAAACCTAGAATAATTGGAATTGTGCAAGCCATCCAGATTTTTATTTCTCTCCCAATTTTCCAGAAAAAAACATCGATCATTATTTGTCCAAAAACATGTAAGAATCCATATCATATCAGCAATGATTTAATACTTTCAACCACTCATTCACTCACTTATTGGTTCATGGAAAAATGAGGTAGGAGAGTTGTGTCATTATAAGCAAAGCCCAGCATCAAAACAAAACAAAAACAAGTAAAGAAAACCGTCCATACTGTGAAATGAGATTGCTCATCTTCTCCTAGTTTAAAGTAAACTCTAATCGAGATTGCCATCCTTTACCAATTTGAAGAAACCCTAGTCGAGATTGCTAATCTCCTCAACTTAAAAAAACCCTTATTCCCAAAGTAATTACATTCCTATCCCATCAGTGGCCTCTGAATTGGTGCTCTGAAGGTGAGAAGGCGCGAAGGCGCGAAGGCGTGAGAGAGAGCGGTTCATTCGATATGCTTGAAAGCTTCGCAGTTATTCTTTAATAGATTCCATTATATATTAATAATAATAATTATTATTATTTGTGTGGAGAACGAGTGAGTCATCCGCAACGCTCAGAGATTGTTGCAGGATAGCAGTGCCATTCTGCGTAGCGCTTCCTCGAGTCATGTCCACGCCATACGCGCGACACTTGAGAGAGAATTGAAAATGCGCTGAGAAGCAGCAGCAGCAGCGGGCGGGAAGGAGAAGCGGCAGGTGGCGAGGGATACCTCGGCTCGTGCCGACCCTCGTCGTCGGCTTCGTCGTCAGAGCGCACGTCGGGTGACACAGCGGCCGTCGACCCAGACAAAGAAACCCTTGGCTCGCATTCCAAGGCACCCCTGCCAGCCATCCAGCCTCTGTGAGAGAGCGGCCAAACCACATCACCACCACACCACACCATGGCCAGACAAAGCAGCAGCAGCAGTAGCCGCGCTCCGGTGGAGAACAAAAGGCCCGGAGTTGTCTCGACGCCAATCATGGTCTAAAGCGGCTAACCCTCGCGAGTGGGGAGGTGGGGGGAGACTTTTTCAAGGGACGGGCAGAAGTGGAGGATGGTTCCGACCTGAGAGGAGGGTGCTGCCCAGAGGGAAATTTCTTTCCAGACGGTGGAGCAGAGGCCATCTTTTACACTCGGGGGTGCAAGGGGAACGGAGCAGAAGGAGGAGGAGGGAGGATTGTTGTCATCGCCCCCCCATCCCCCCCCGCGCGTCGCGACATCTTTCGTTATGGGAGAGCTTTTTTGGTTCTTGTTCGGGTGGTGTCCATGTGCTGCTCATGGATCGGTATCTGCGCACTAGAGCATCGCCAGCCATGGTACTACTGCCAGGGCCTGTTGATATCGTCGCTCAACAACGTTGGTTTGTAGGAGGACCACTTGGACTGGACGGCATGCCCAGGAACGGTTAATGAAAGGGGTCGGTATCATGTGGCGGGGTTGAGAGATTTGGGGATTGTTTGTACGTGGTCAATGCCGTGGAAGGTCCGTGCATGGAGTCGGGATGAGGGGTTTGTGGATTTCGGGAGGGATGAGGTGGTTGAGGAGGTAGTGAAGGGAGTTCATTAGTGGGCTTTTTGTGTTCTGAGTCTTTGTTCTTAGATTTTTTTGGTTTTTGGCCTGGGAGTTTGGAGGCGAGTAATGCGTGGAGAGGGCAGTTTGGATGCCATTTTTGGGGAGTAGGTGTGTGGGAGAGGAAAAATGATGGTCTTGTACTTCAAGTAAGAGCGCGTTGACGTTGAGGATAGTGAGATAGGGTATGATATCCATTTCGCGACAATCTCGGATCCAAAAGTCGTGGAGCCGCGGAGAACGACGACTATGTTTTGAGGGGCTGATTGGCATTGGATAGAGGAATGTTTATGTTACAATTTACTTTTTGAAATTCATTTTGGTGCCGTGAAGAGGGTCCGGTGGGGAACTGGAGGTATCATGTACATGTAATTGCAATCAAGTAGATGCTGTCGCACGTTGGATGTGATTATAAACAATGGCATTCGCATCAGCGCATAAGAATGGCGGTCCTACGCCGGCCCCACGCACCCAGGTGCGCACAGAAAGGTCCCTTTCAATGAGCTCGCAAAGTGCGAAGCCCGTTACCGCTTCGCCCACATCAATAGCGTCCCCTAATATGCGCCCCAAATCGGCGTCTCCTTCCCCATCGAACAATGTGTATCATAGGCGGAATAGCAGTGGATCAACTGGCAAGGGCGGTTTCGATAACGGAGGTATCCTGGCATTCCTCTCAAAATGCGTTTTGTGGGGGTTATTTCACATGTATTCAGCAAAAGATAAATAAGAATTTTAGTTAGGCTGCCGCTGAAAGTTTTGTGGTTGCTGCCTTAATGACGGGATTAGCATCTCATTAGCCTGCATGGATGGAACATTCCTGTCTAACTTTGACTCTGCGATAGCCATTGTCGATTCCGATTAAAAAATGGACGAGCACTACACCTAACAGTGGACTTCTTCATCCCTCGCCTCCATTTTTGTAGGTTACTATTTACTTCCTGATTGCTCTCAGTGGTAATGTGAGAATATGCGAAATTTTCCAGGGTATCTGATTTCGTACTTGTGCTAACCGCCTTGAGCATGTCACTCTATTATCATGGAGGACATCATCTTAAACCTGGTATTGGTATACACCGTGGTGTATTTCATACGTCGTGGTTGTATCTTAATTGTGGAACAGTGAATTACATTCTTCGTCAAGTAATCCAACTCAGTGTGCATCAATTTCGGGGTGCCATCGTGCTGGAGACGTAACACATCTAGCCGCCCGGATAGACATTTGTATTGGTTGATAGATTTTAAGTCTCTGGTTGTGTGGTACAGTTCTGAATCGGGTCCGGGTGGCGGTTCGATTGCGCCCTCGGAATGCTGAGGAGCTGGAAGCTGACGCTGATTTTGCCGATTGCGTTGAGTTGCAACCAGAGGTTTGTTTTGAAGTCCAGCACCCTAAGCTTCCTCCTAACAGATTTAAGGGAGTGACCGATAAACGTGTTACAATTGTGATCCAGTAATGCAGATTGATACGTTCGTTTGTGTACAATTATAAGACATCATTTCCATTACTTTACTTAAATGATGTTCATTACGGGTCAGTATATGATAAGCGGCGCTTCATAACAGTCAGCAACGTCTTGGTTACTTAGCGTTGCATTGTATTTAGGGCATGTTTCTTGTTTCTCACCCTTCCGAATGATGTTACTCCATAAGATCTTGATCGTGTCTTTCATTGGTTTCAGTTCAAAAGATTGAAGTTACGGAAAAACAATTGGGACTGCGAGACCTATCAATTCGATGAAGTTCTTACAGAGACCGCTTCACAGAAACGTGTCTACGAGGTGGTGGCTAAGCCGGTTGTCGAGGTAGGTGCATTTTCAGTTAACATTGTCGAAGCAAGGTTTTAATGTTTTTGTTATTGAAGTATATCAATGTTTCAAAGTCCATTATCTAAATTTTCTTCTTTCCTCTTCATATTTACTTCATCAGAATTCTATGTATACACTTGTAGGTAACAGACATTGCACAGTACTACCTCAGTATTATCTGTTCAATTGAGGTTGTTTAGAGCCGATTGTTCTCGACTCCTTGATTCTATGGATTCCGACACGGATGTTGGTAGTCTTATGATTGTCAGCTTTCGTTTACTATCGACATGCTTTCTTATATCCGACTAGCTCTGCAAGTCGGTCTGCGCCTGATGTTTCACAGCCCTCTAGTTGGTAACATTCTATTCATTCTCGGTTGTCAATCTATTGTTTTATGTTCTTTCAGGGCGTTCTCGAAGGTTACAATGGAACCGTCATGGCATATGGACAAACTGGAACTGGAAAGACATTCACTCTAGGAAGATTAGGAGAAGAAGATTGTGCAGATCGAGGTATTATGGTTCGTGCCATGGAGGACATCCTGGCAAATATTACCCCAGGAGAAGACACTGTAACAGTTTCATACTTACAGGTGCATTGTGTTCTTGATGTTCTCTTTTCTGAGTGGCCTAGTCATTTTCTGGATCTGTACGTTAACAATCGTTGAAAGCTTTATTCTTCATTGCGTCGTATGATAAGCAATTGAAACTATGTGCAGCTTACTGGCTATCTTATTTACAGTAGTAACTCTCTGATAACAACACATGAAAACAAGGTAACTTCCACAATGTCATGTCTAGTTTCTTACTTACATGCGCTTGTGTGGTTTTTGTTTGATCTAGCTATACATGGAGACAGTGCAAGATTTATTGGCTCCAGAGAGGGATAACATTGCTATTCAAGAGGACCCTAAAACCGGTGATGTGTCAGTTCCTGGGGCTACTCAAGTCCTACTTCAGGATCAGACCAGCTTTGTACGATTGCTAGATGTTGGAGAGGCTAACCGCTTTGCTGCTAATACGAAGCTCAATACAGAATCGTCACGGAGTCATGCTCTTTTAGTGGTAAGTAAATTGTCCCGATTCTATTTGTCGCTGGACGTATTAAGGTAGTGGTACCGACTTGTCCTTGCTAACAAGGTGAATCATGAACGACACATTGGACTTCAGTGGATCTCTTTGAACCTCTGGTATTATTCTTTATTGTCTATGTCGTGCATTAAGGTGTTTTCTGTGCTTAATCGTATCCTCTGAGACTTTGGATTTCTACTTATGTGACATACTTCTTCTTGCAGGTTCAAGTGAAGAAAGGTTACAAAGGTAGGTCTGGAGACACCGCCACAAATGAAAACGATAACGGCAGCCCTCAGACGGGAACGGGACTGCGTGCTCCAATTATTCGAAGAAGTAAACTTCTTATAGTTGATCTTGCCGGATCAGAGCGTGTGGACAAATCTGGTACATACTCTTCTCTTTAAATTCTTTCCATTTTGCGTATAAATCTGTGATTCTTAGTAGCAATGAAATATTGCCTTCCTGGTTCCAACTATTTCTGCTGTCTTTTCCTATGAGCAGGAAGCGAGGGTCACACCTTAGAAGAAGCAAAATCAATCAACTTGTCTCTGACAGCATTGGGGAAATGCATCAATGCCCTTGCTGAAAATAGTCCTCATGTTCCAATACGTGACTCGAAGTTAACTAGATTGCTTCGAGATTCATTTGGAGGTACTGCAAGAACGTCGTTGATTGTGACAATTGGACCATCGCCCCGGCACAGAGGAGAAACCACCAGCACAATCTTGTTTGGTCAACGTGTGAGTTCCTTTCGCTTCTCTTTAAAGCATAAGTATCATACATTGCATGTTGCTCTGGTTGAATCGGTAACCAGTTGCAGATTGCACTTGTGAATGATTGACCTTGAGGATTGATTGTGCACCATATTTAGTCTAAACCTTGATTAGAGTATTTTCTGTCTTGAAAAATTAGTGCGTGAGGTGCAGTTTGAGGCTGTTTTGGTTCAAAAATTGGTGAATTCTGAGAAGTATGCCTGTATTTTTTTTTTTCTTAAAGTTTTTTGTTTACTTTCCTACCTCTGACCTGCTCGTCATGCCATACAGGCCATGAAAGTTGAGAATATGGTGAAACTGAAAGAGGAGTTCGATTACAAAAGCCTTTGTCGAAGGCTGGAGACAGAGTTGGACAGAATGGTAGCAGAGAATGAGAGGCTAGTAAAATCTCGGGAAGATAGTGAGGATGAGTGTGCCAGGCAGCTTGATGATGCTCGTCAAGATGTGTATGAAGCCGAGAGCAAGCTTGCGCATGCTTTGGAGGTGTGTTTGCTTAAACTTTGTTTTCCGTGCATATCAATGGTTAGTTGGATGCAGTTCCACCATTTCAAAAGGGCTGATAGGTTGTGATAATCGCGTTGTTCACATGTGCTTTTGAACATCTCATAAAATAGAGCTTCATGAATTTGTTTATGTGAGACATAGGTCTAGTAGAATCTGTGAAAAGTCCTGTCGTAATGATGATCCCTTGGACCTGTATTTTTTGATTGAGTGCCAATTCGATATTACTGTTGAGGTTTTGCTTGATTCACTTTTTGTTTTACTTAATTATGTCTAGATTTTTTCTAATTTAAAAAAAAACTCGTTTGGTTAAAATGAGACTTATAATTAGAATGGCGTGCAGTTAACGGCTGCAGAAAAGTCGCAGAATCGGAAAGACGTTTTGGATATGAAACTACAACTAGAGGCCGAGTGCGCTCGGCGTGAGCAACTCGAGAAGGAGCTGGAAGCACTTTCTTCACATCAGTCGGAGAAAGCAGAGGTATTATTTTAGTATCAAGCTTTATGACTTTATTGTATCCAGCAACTAAAGCACTGTGCTAATTGGGATTGTGCAAGTTACTTGATTTCGAGAGGCTGGGTTCTTATTGTATTTAAATTTCAAAATGTTCTTGACCTAAGGCGTTTGAACATGAGCTGATGCGACGCCTTATATCATTCTTATTTCGAAAACTCTGTTTTATTGAGCAAGGAGAACAATAATATTGTAACCCTCGTCTTTATGTTGGCAGAAATCTTCCAATGTGGACACGACGAAACTCCCGAAAGAGCTGACAGATGCGGCGGAAATGCACCAGAGAGAGATTGCAGAACTCATTCAGGAGCATCAGAAGGAACTGGCAGAGACCGTTGCTTTATACATGCAAGAGCGAGCTCATCGCGAGAGGTTAGAAAATGAGTTGGCTAGTCAACGAGAGTTGGTTCTATGTGAAAGCCTAGGAAAGCAGCTTCTTAACGGTGCTCAACCTGAACATCAACGCCAAGAGGTGAATGCTCTATTTTATTTGCTGCATTGTTTGGTACTCATTTCGAAAGGGAGTCTTGTCTAGAAAAAAACTTGTGGCTTTCGGTTTTGGGTCCACTCAAAGCATTTTGTTCTTGGACTTCCCTGATATTAGTGTGTGGTGTTCTATTGCAACTCTGAGGCTTCCTTTATTCTTATATTTGCAGTTTTCCATGGCAATACAGTCAGGTGAGCACAGTAGCGAAGTGATGAGCTTGAGGTTGTCTCTCGAGAAGCAGATGCAAAAGAATGACCAACTAGAACAGGAGCTACGTGCATTGAAATCGTCAGCGTCAAGAAAGAGCATGAAAGGGAACATACAAAAACAAAGTGATGAACTTCTGACTTTAAGACAACGATTAGAAGATGAGCTCAAAGAGAGAGGAAGACTGGAGTCTGAAAATAGACAATTGAGGGAGCAAGCAGGTTTTCTCAGTGACGATGAGGAGGTCTGTAATCTCTCCACTTTCACATATCTGATAACGAGTTTTATTTTAATATTTTCTTATTTTTCTCATTGTGGGTGTGGCATTTTCAAAAAAGCGTATTTATCTACTTTGTTTTTATCAGATCTCTTGAACCTTAAGATGGGTGACGCCAAAAAATGTGAATTTGTTAGAATTGTTCTTATTTAAGGGTCAGTTATTTTTTTAATGTGATGACTGTCCCACATTTCAATTATCTCATTTTAAATATTATGCTCATCTGCGGTTATGCAGCAAACTCGAAGGATGGTTGATAAGGGAGGCTCTGGAAGAAGTTCAGTTGGATCTGAAAGTCTCCCAGTTGGTGCTTCCAATCCTGATCATATGCGTGACACTATCAATGGCCAACGTGCTACTATTGCTAAGCTCTTTGAACAAGGTACGCTTACCAGCTTCCCTCCGTTTCTCTCTCTCTACCTCCATGGTATATGCCATCGCAGCATTTCAACGGTCTCCTGCATATCATTGTTTCCCTTTGATGGTAGTAACGATACAAGTAGTCTTTTTAATGCTGCAAGTGTACTACATATCGCATTAGTAATATGTGGAACCTTACAGTTGGATTGCATAAAATACTTTCGCTTTTGGAGTCGGAGGATGTGGATGTACGGGTACACGCTGTGAAGGTCGTTGCCAATCTTGCTGCTGAAGGTAGGGATACAAAGTGACTGGCTTTTTTCTTCTTCGATTATCTTTGTAGCGCCTTAACGAGCAACTGAAGTGTATCTGCTGCGAATTTTGTACCCTTTCGTTTGTCTTATTTTTAGAAATATCATGTTTGATTCTGTATGTGAATCGGCATTTTTGTTTTCATTTTTAAATAATTCAATAAGAGTTACGACTTGCATGGTTTATAGTTGCTCTTTTCTCTGCGTTTGTTCTTACATTTGTTATTCTGCTCCTCAGAATCGAATCAGGAAAAAATTGTGGAAGCAGGAGGTTTAGGTTCTCTTCTCAATCTGTTACAAAGTTCTGAAGACGAGACTATTCGGCGCGTTGCAGCTGGGGCTGTAGCTAACCTTGCTATGAATGGTGACACTTCTTTATCTTCTACTCTTCATACGTTTTTACCCTCCCAACTCAATTCGTCTGATGAAGTTACTGGATTTTCTGAATTTTGAGATTGTCTCCTCACGAGCGAGCATATTGTCATGGGTGGCTTGCGGTCATGGAGCAGCTTACTGGAAATTTTGCCTGGTTATTTGTTGAACCAGGGTTCTTCCGTCCTTACCGTTCTATATCCTGTTGTGAAAGTACCTTGGGCAACACGTGCTTAAGGGTACTCTCCGTCTTTTGCTTACATTTCTTTACTCTGTTGGAAGCAGAAACAAATCAAGAGCTCATTATGGCACAAGGAGGGATAGGTTTGTTGGCACGGACTGCTGATGATGCTGAGGACCCTCAGACGCTCAGGATGGTCGCCGGAGCTATAGCTAATTTATGTGGAAACGGTACCTTAACCCTGAACCACTTCATCGGATAAATTAAGTTCCCTAGAAAACTTCTACTTCATTTCATGATGCCATGTGAATGGCCAAGTTTGATTGCCCGCTGAAGTGAATGAAGAATCCTTTTAACATTACATTTAGCGAGGCTCGTTCTTAAGTTTGATTTGTGTGATCAGTTCATTTGCTAATCTTTTCCTACCAGTGCTCTTTTTTAGGTTTTATGTAGAACAATTGCTGTGTATCGTAGCAGCAGTAACTGTGCTGGGTAATAGTATTTTGTGTAGAAAATGTTACAGGTATGTTGATTCTAATGAACATTGACTTAATGTGACACAGATAAACTGCAAATTAAGTTGAGAGAGGAAGGAGGTATTCGGGCATTACTCGGAATGGTGCGGTCGAGGCATCCAGATGTGCTAGCTCAAGTTGCTCGGGGAATTGCAAATTTCGCAAAATGTGAATCTAGAGGTGCTGCGCAAGGTAATTATTTTACTCTCGTTTAGTGCGGAGCCATCTATGTTGCCTTCGTGTATGTTTTCTTCATACTTGAAGTTATATTGGGATTCTGGATTTCTGATGATTTTGTTGCAGTGTGAGAATTTTATTTAAGTTGTCAGATTTCGGTTTATTCACCAAGGTGTGGTACCACAGCTGAAGCCGTCCGTCAAGTTTATACTATTTGCCGGTTGTGTTAAATCATTTGGACATTGGACTTACAGTTTTTGATCTGTTAACTTTGATGGTGTCCCTGTGGTTCACAACTGAGTTATTTTCTATTGTTAGCATTGGTACACGTGGTCAATTAGCAACATTTTACTAAAGAGTGGTGTTCTGGGCGCAGGTTACAAATCAGGAAGGTCATTACTTATAGATGATGGAGCTTTGCCGTGGATTGTTGCAAATGCCAATAATGATGCCTCGCCTATCCGGCGCCATATTGAGCTAGCACTGTGTCATTTAGCACAACATGGTAATTGTCTTCACACTTTTGAGTAGGTTTCAAAGGTGTTTCATGCGGAGGTCTTTGACGGCTTGGTAAAAGAACGTTGTAAATTGCCTTAAATAAGACTTTTGAGCAGCACATAGTTGTAGTTTTTATTCATAACTTCCTTCTCACTTAAGTCATTTCTACCATTAATCAAGCTACTTACTTTTGGACCTCTACCGATGATGATTTGCAGAAATTAACGCCAAAGATCTGGTGGCTGGTGGTGCCCTTTGGGAATTGGTTCGCATTTCTCGAGAGTGTTCTAGGGAGGACATTCGCAACCTTGCTCAACGCACATTAAATGCCAGTGGCACCTTCCAATCAGAGCTGAGACGCCTTCACTTGGTTTATTGAGGGTTACCTTTTTGTCTTCTAAAGTCAGGATGTGGCGTCCTATTTCATTTCTGAGTAGTTGTATAATTAGGATAGAGATCACAAATGACATAAATCAGTTGTAAAATTTGCCCCTGTATCACTTTTGTCTTTTAAATTTTGTTTTGTATTTTTCCCCCTCCCTCCCCCCTCTGGTTGCCTTTACTTCAACCAAGTCTGTTTCCCAGTGTGAACGGGTGGGGAAAGGGACTATATTAAAGCGGTTTTGATGGCCCAGATATCTTCACTAGAAGAAAGATCTAGGATTTGGCCAATCAATCGAAGGTCAACACTGCTCTATGTGAAGTTTATTTATTTCATCTATTCAGCAGGCTCATTAGTAAAGCCTGAACGGGATAGCATCGGAATGTATTCTGACAATGTCTTCCATAGGTTGACTCCCTGAAATTTAGGGTTTTTCATTGGTTCAACTGGCTTTGCTGAGGTCACTTGCTTGGTGCAAATTTTTCATCTGTATTTTTAAAGATCAAGTTTCATTAGATTTTCTGAAAACTGTAACCGTTGACTGGGGTTAATGCTTTTGTTCTTATTTGGATATTCATTGGTAGGCAATTCTCAGCACCTCTTATTTTTAGCAGCGTTGGATGTCAGTGTGACATTATTAGAGTTGTCTGACAGAAAAATTTGTGCAGTACTAAATATTTACTTGAACAAGCTTCGTTGTCACTTTCGTTCATTCATGCAATTTTGGATCTTATCCGCGGATTCACATTGTAGAACTCGTGATTATTCAGGCTTGATCCCCATTAGAACTCAGGGTTGGGTAGAGCCTAAGGGAGTCCAGAATGCCACCTCTCGTTAGTCGTGCTGTTGGAATTGGCTCAAGTGCTTTTGTCTACAGATCAAAGTTGAATGTCAAAACTATATTTCTAAGCACCATCATATTTTAACATGGTACTAACATGATCTTAGAGTACTTCCGGCTTGATGGGTGGGATTCTACGCAGTATATTGTTGAGTCAAATTTGATTGATATACACATGTTCAGTTTGAATACCATCGCAGAACCGTTGCTATAATTAAATGACATCTCTTAGTTGACAATGTGAGAAATCTGTTTTGAAATTTACGGCCATAATGCATTTCTCTAAAAAATTTGGGCCCAAGTGGCTTTCTCAGCAAGGGTCCAGACTCCATTGTAATTTTATTGTGTTAGTAACATGAGTCTAATCATGGAGATGTTCAGCTTAATTATATACTATCTAGGCCTTAGAATTGTGACAACGACCTTTTTATTTTAGTTTTATCACTTGTTTCAAAAAAAAAAAAAATTATTGGGATCTTGAGAATTATTCATTACGCATGACTCCACTAAATTTTGTAAGAATCGGTGGTGTACTTTATGTCGCTATATAACTGAATCCAGCCGAAACATGATGAAATAGCCACTAAACATTTTGTGACCCATTCTACGACATTCTGAAGTCCCTGAGATGAATATTTATAAATAAAATATCGAAAATAGTATTAAGAAGATCAATTGTGAGAAAGTTTGATACTCACATGAAGTCAAATGGAGGAATCAGGCGCTAATTCAGGTTCATCCTATCCACAGGTGGAAAAATCATTTGGTTCCCGTACACAAATGCAGATGTAAACGTGACACCAGGTAAGGTGTTCAATTGATGGAGAGGATTATACAAAACCTATGTGGGGAAATATACAAGACAAAAGGGCTAATTATTATATGATTAAAAAATCGTCTAAAATCTGAGAATGTTCGTCTGTATTGATGAAGAATCGCCTAATTTTGAACCTGCAGACCTCAACTGTTAGGTTCAGAGCGTTAAATTTTAACCACTAAACTTGAATACGACTGAATCTAATTTTTGAGACAGTCGGTTTCCAGTAGAATACCTATGTACCACCGATGGATGAGCTCTACTTCGCAGCTTTCGAGGCAAGAGCAACTCCAACTGCAGCAATGGGAGCAACAGCAGATGGAGGTACACTGACGGTCTTAAGCTGCTTTCCACTCGTAAGCAACCACTTTCGGAACGCCATCATGACTATCCAAGTACTAGTGGCAACTTTCTCCTTGATCATAAGCATAAGAGCAGCCGATAAGACGGTTTTAACAATTTGAGCATGCAAACCCTTGAAATAGCCCTTTACCCCTTCCTCTTGCCCGATCTGTTTAAATGTGTCCAACATATTTCGAGCACGATGTCTTGCGTTACAGTCTGGTTCTCCATTCAAGCGTGTTGCCTTGTCTTCCTCAGATTCGGCTGCTTGAAGCATGACTTTTGCTCTGCAAGATAATCAAACACGCCAAAGCATCTATCTTTAGATACCAACTCTATGTGAAGGAGAACTACGGGTATTAAGTCTACAACTGGACATGCTGATCCTTCATTTCAACCATGTACAAGAGCAGATAAAATCACCTGATAGCAGGATATGTAAGAATCGTAGCAATGGTCTTGGATGATGCTCCAACCAAAAATGCTTGAAAAGCAGTCAAAGCCTTAGGAGATGACTTAGAAAGTCTCCTATCTGTCCCAACTATCTCAACAACTACATCTGGTCGTAGTAAGAAGTCCTTGAGCTGTTCAAATACAGTGTACTGCAACACAATTCCCAAATTTGCTTAATATCTTAGGATATTTATCACAGTCCGCTTTCTAAGATGACTAGCTCTCAAATATATGCGCGATAAACTAAAACAGAAGTATGCAAACAAAAACATGTATGAGAAATAAAACCTTGCCTAGAAGTGAAACTCAAACTGGAAATGTCACATGAACAAGGTGGTAAAATTTTAGAACCTGGATCGCCGGATTCGAAACAAGGACAAGAGATGCTCCAAACCCAGTATAAGCCTCCGACCAGCTGCCTTCTGTCAATGTTTTCCATAAAACTTTCGACTTTCCAAATGCACTTGTCTGCATCCTGGTTGATGCAGTATCTAGGGGCTGTTTTTCAATCATCCCAAAACAACAAGAGTTCACTGAGGGCACACTCAAGCTAGGTTTGCAAATAGCACATCGAACCAAGAACTAGAGGTGTCAAAATTCAAAGTTTTAATTTGTCGCTTTTAAAGAAGAATCATGACATCTTGTTAAATCAAGAGCAATAGTAGCAAACCTGGGTCAATACAGCAGTGCACGTGCCCGCTGCTGCAGCTACTATTAGATTCGCCCCCGTGCCCATTTTGGATACTTTAGCTTTAGCTAAGTACCATTGCTTGAAAAGGCTGTAGCTATAAAAATAGATGAATTGTGAGATGACAGACTGCAGACTCTTCGTCCCAAGTCCCTGGTACAATGACAAGACTTTGCCGGCTCCAACTGATTCCCAGAACACATCAAAGAGGGACCTGAATATAAAGTCGAAAAAACTGTCAGCGAGTGGCCAAATCACAACCATGACAGCATCTAAACCACAATGGATGTTGTAAAACAGCCAGAAGAGAAGCTTATGTGAACCCCATGAGCTATACATTTCAATGCTCCTCCAAAACGGAAACCTCTTACTCACAGATATGAATAAAGTGGTACAGAGAGTCAAATCCTATATGTGCAGTTCCATTATGCACTCAGCAATATCAATTGACTTACTTGTATTTCCGTGCCGTTCCAGCTTTAGCCTCGGCCTGATACTTGGACTTGCACGTATCCAACGGATACAAAAGAGTTGTACTAACGAGACCACCAACAGCACCGGAGGTCGCTTCTGTCAATGATTTAAAATCCAGCTCCATCTTGCACGCGCTTCTAGTCTTCGCGCTCGCAATGAATGATTAAGGTGACTGAAATCCAAACAACGTCATATTTAAAGCGTGATCGAATTTGAAAGAAAGGAATGAAACACATGGAGAACGATTATCGCAGAAGAAACAAGTTAGGGGAACATAAATAAAACACAAACTGCATCTCCATACAGCGATCGTGTTTGATTGATAACAATTCCCCAACTTACGTTAAAAAGTCAGCAACGGGGGTGCGATCTACCACCGAAGTGCACAAATTTCGACCATTGGCAACTACACACTCGAAAGAAGCTCGCAATACATCCACTGACTACCGCTGTAGATATGACTCACCCTCTTGTAAATTAAACTCGCACAATCAGACCCCAAACCAAGCTGCAAAGACCATAAAAAGTAAATTCACTATATCAATCAAAATAGAAAACAAAGAACGACTTCACTTAACCAGACGATCTCAACCCGCGCCATCCCACAACGATTTCATGGCAACACTCGCACCAATCCGACACATCAAATTTCATACTAGAATCTAACTCAAAGCTACACCTGACGAGAAAAAGAACGACTACAGAAGAGGAACAACAACAAAAGAGCTAAAAAAACAAAAATAACAGATACATAAGGCTCACCCTAAACTCACGCAATTCTGCAATAACTGCGAAGTGGCTTGCGTGACGCAGCATCTCAACAACCTGACGGTGCCGGTGGGCCAGACCAAGGCAAAACATGATCAGGCCACCCCAGAGCAACGAGGATCCCCTTTCATAAACATTCATAGACAATCTCACTGTCACATCCCCCCCCCCTATTGCCGATCGCAGCAAGTGCAGATCATCGCACAAAGCGGCGGTCACCTTCCGAAACCCGCGACCCCGACTTCGCACGTCCCGAGCCGCATGACTTCCCGGAGTTGCACCCTGTTCCTCGGCACAACTGAGAGAAATTACCTGTGCAAATCACGCCCCATCCTGAATTCCAGCAGTTCCAGATTACGTCGCCTCAGTTTCAGAAGCTGCGCATGAACAAGCGATCGGGGACAACAACGCATGGGGAACTGTCGGCAACAGAGCACACGCAGAACTTCTGCCCGCGGTCGTCGCGGACACGCCTCCACAGAATACAACAAAATCACTTCCGAAATTACTCACACAACTGCCATTCCTACTCGTGTGACCGATTCACGGTGTTTTGAGTGTGAATGGCAGCCGAAATTCCGGTGCCGCAAGTCCTCGTAGCGGCGGCGATCGAGCGGAAGGGGGCCGAAGGATTTCTCAACGTGCCTTGGTTCAGGAAGCTTCTGAGAGTCTCTCGCTGAGCATGGCGGGGAAAAAGGCGGGGGGTGTGTCCGTTATCGTTCAAAAAAGGGCGGGGTAAGTTCGAGGACTTTGACTAACTTTACAGTTTTTTACCCTTCATAGATGAAAAATTGTCTCATCATTTTGCACATCATATCAATTCTATATATATATATATATAAAATTCTGTTTTAAATGTTAACTTTTTTGAAGAAACCTATTACATATATATATATATATATATATATAGATATGTATTTTATTGTTCTATTTATTTTTTCAAGTTCCAAGAACAAAAAGTCTATTTGAACTATCAATCATTGTAGGACACTATTGACTTCATTATGGTATACTATTGACATTACTAACATTCCCAATGATTCTTAGTGAAATTATACAAAACAATGTACAGCTCTCAGTTATTATTGAAAATGAAGAATGCAAGTATTTTCATACTAACATGTTTGTTTTATGGGAATGCTAGCACAACTGAAATTGTTAGGTCCGAATTCTACCCAATCATTGAACATAGATCATGTTTTTTCAACTATTCTAAAAGTGATTTTGATGAGAGTTGATTTTAAAGCTGTTGCTTTGAACTTTGATTGGCACGATAGTTTTGTTCAAGGTTCACAATTTACTCAATTCTGATTAGCAGCAACTATTACACTTATGAAAGGCATCAAAGACAACAAGTTGGAATAAAGGATATTTTGCAGCTTGAGTTTTCATTCAGTTTCTCTCTAACTTCTGGCAAAGACTAGCTAATACAGTAAGCCCTCAATGAACCACTATCACCACAATGGTTTTAGAGTAGGGCTTTGAGTTGAACTCTTGTTATGCCGTGTTACCCACATGAGAGATAATAACAGAGCTTACAAGAATAGTTGAAAGGATAGTCAAAGGCTGCCGTTCCTGAAAACTACAAATATGGATGCTAATTATATATATATATATATATATATATATGTATATGTCTTACACCGAAGAAGAGTACAGGTGTAGTGCAGGTGGGCAGCGAGGGAATAATGTTCATTGGCTTCTCTATTGTTTCCAGAGAGCTCACAACGGTGCTGTAAAAGTTTGAGTTGAGGTCTGCCAAAACGGCACTTAGGCTCAACTGAACTGGGTGAGTCAAAGTGCCTTTTTGAATGGTCTCGCATATATCTTACATTCGTGAGTGAGATTTGCAGCCGAGCCATCACATCTGAGATAACTTTTTCAGCAGGCCAAAATGTTGCATTTGACCACTGATCAAATCAGGAATTGCCTAGGAGAGAAATCAACATAGATGTCTCGTGGAAGAAATTGTTGAGACAGAACTCACACAGCATGGACTAAACTTGGAAAGGTGAGCAGGAGGACATCCATCAAGTGAACCTAGAGAGATATGTGGTGCTTTCCAAGGTCTCAAATCACAGCAGCTGAAATTTAACCACGGCAAGCCTTTTGCATGCATAAAAAGACACATACAGATATCTCTGCGAAAGTCTATGCACGTATCCTACTTGCTGATCTTCTAGTTAACCCCGCTGTTCTAGAAGTAGAAAATGACTCTCCTATTTCATTGTAAGATAAAAATGTTCCACGTTGCAAATCCAGATGCACAGCATGAGAAAGAGGGTGCGCAACCTCCGCTCCTAACAATGTGTTCGAGCAACCCAAAAATTACTAAGCTGGTACACGAGGACGCAATGTTACTGCAGCGTCTCAACACTCAGGCAAGAACCTTCCGAATCTCTTCAGCAACCACGTTGGGTGAGTCAAGGGTTTTCCGGATGTAATCAGTGACCTCGTTCGCTGGTTTCGCCGCTTCGATATTCTTCACCACACCCTTTTGCTGGTAGTAATCAATCACCTATAAGCAGCAAAATTTGACGACATTAAAGATATAGCCAGGCCCAACTTTAAAATATGAAAGGATGAAACAATAAGATTTACTCGAAATAAACTACACGCAAGGACATTCAAAGCTACAAACTCCTACAAAATCAAAAAATAAATAAGCTGGTAGAGCAACTCATATCTGTAACAATCCTGATGATAAAACAAGCGTCACAACCTACAAATATTGCTAATTTTGAGTTCAGAAAGCATCAAAAGCTGAGGTTGCAAATACTCCGCAGTAGAAACCAACAAAAATGCATTTGTCAAAACCAATTTGATTTTGATTAGAAAAAATAAAAAGCAAAAGCGAGAAAAGTCAAAACACTAACGGGTGTGGTCTGCTCGTGGAATGACGTCAGTCTCTTCTGCAAAACCTCCACAGTGTCGTCCTTGCGCTGAATCAAAGGCTCTCCGGTGATCTGCACAACGCACAAATCAAACAGTCGCTCAAACCCCCAAGGTAATTCGCAAATAGACAAGACTTTTGTGCTCCTGCAAACAGAAGAAGAACAAAAACAACCGGAGTAGGTTGCACACATTTCTGACGATACAGCGAAACTGTTGCTAAGATTAAATTCACTAGGTTATCAAAAACTCACATCATCACGGCCCTCCACCTTCGGAGGTGCGAACTTGGAGTGGTACGATCGGCCACTAGCGGGATGAATCCATCGACCAGTTATTCGCTCCTCCAGAATGGCATCATCGATCTCAAAGTTCAACACCTTGTCGATCTTCACACCCTGCTTTTCAAGAGCTGCATCTAACTGCACATAGAGAGAACCACTAGATGACACCCACATAACTAGGACGCTCGCCATCCCACTGGCATCACAGAGAGCCTTTTCGCAGCAAAACATTTCTTGAAGAGAAAAAAGAAATAAAATATTTACCTTCTGAGCTTGAACGACAGTGCGAGGAAATCCATCAAGGATAAATCCCTTGGAACAAGATGGCCGTTTCAAAGCATCATCGATGATGCCAACCACTAAGTCATCGGACACCAATGCACCCTGCCAACCAACTTCTGCTTCTATTAATCACTCCACATCTTTTATATGCAATATCCTTGATCACTTGCTAACGCTCCTCAACTGCCATTGCACCAACAGCCCCACCAAACCCCTATGACATGATTCTCATTGCAATTTGACTCAAAGAAAAACACCTTTTCCATAGCAGCCTTCGCCTCCAAACCCAGAGGCGTCTTCTGCGCCACAGCAGCGCGCAACATATCACCCGTAGCCAAATGGCACAAACAGTGCTCCTCCTTCAAAATGGGGGACTGGGTTCCTTTCCCGCATCCAGGAGGCCCTACATCCCATCGCACCACGGCATTAAACCCCTTCACAACCGCAACACAAAAACTCAATCAAATCCTAACAAAGAGCCAAAAAACTCATACATACCCACAAGAATGACGCGCTTCTCCTGCTTCGGGGCGCACTTGAGACGCCGCATGACCTCGTGGAAGAGAGAGTCGTTGGGAACATCCTCCAACTGCGCCGCGGCGGCCATAGCGAGACCGTGGGAAGAGACAGAGAGGCTGCAGAAGAGAGCGAGAGCAAGCGAAGAGGAATGGCAGCGGCGGGGCAAAGGAGGACTGGGGCCCGGGGTTGCATGTAATGTGCTGTGGAGCTGGCGGTGGTGATTGCGACGAAATCGCTTCAAGGCTCCGCAAAAGCTTCCAGCGTCTTTCTCCACCGTGACCGCGCTAGAGTCCTCAAGGCTCACAGTCAAGTTTGCCGTCACTGTAGTCACCACTGCCCCTGCCACGACTATAACTCCATAGTTTACTTTTCACCAATTCAACTGAATTTACTTTATTAGTTACCAAGCATTCGTCCCTGCATCCGGTGGCTACATGTCGCGAAAGACACGACGTCTTGCACAGCACACTTGGACAGAAAGCAGACTATCTTATGACACACTCACCGCAAAAGTTTACAAAACCTAAAACAATTCTATGATACATTAAAGTAGACTATGCAGGGATTTCCATTGTTGAAGAGACAAAATATATAAACAAACAAATAGACACTAAAAATACCTAGTAAACTAAAACCATGATACATCGGCGAACGCAGATAATTTTGCTGCGGAAAGAAGATTAACACAGATACACCCTAAAAACTGGCGTTTAGTTTATAATAACAGATAAGCATCCTTTGAACAAAACAATGACGAGGGGTTTGGGCCATGCATTGAAATCTTCATCAAATAAAACCAACTCCTGCTGTTCCCAAGCATTTAAATGCAAAAAACAACGATGAGTATGTGCAATGATACAGTTAAAATCCCACTTCGATACTGCCCGCAATCAACAACATACTCATCTAAAAAGTCCAATGCAATTGTGACGATGAATTATAAAATTGCCCATGTAAAAAATCTTTGAACCAGTGCAATTCGTTACTTTACACTACCCTGAGTGAAATTCACAAAACATACAAGCCACCACATTACCATGAGCGCAAAAAATCAGAGTATTCATGATATCGTAAAATGTAAGTTGAAACACATAACACAGCCCCCTAAACACACTACAATAAACCAACGACATCCACTCTTCCTCAGCACCAACTATAGAGCGACACATCCAAGCATTAACCTCGTGTCAGCCACGCATCACTGGCTCATCACTGCAAGCCCCGCATCAACACTCAGTTCGTCACAAGCGCTGCATTGTTCCAGCCCCCATGCCCACACATGCAACTTCACACGCCACCACCCACGCTGTCGTCTGTGCATCCATGCAAGCATTGCACTTCCCCCTTCTGCCTCGCTCCACAGCGCTCTGCGATGCACTCCTTCGCCCTGCAAACTGCGTCCCCACATCCATATCCACATCCCACACTTGCATCCCCCACACGCTGCACCAACCCCACAAACTTCCCACAACCGCACCTCTCGGCGCCAAACATCCCCTGCCTCTACCCCAATCCTCCTACCACCTTTTCTCCACCCCAGCAGCCGTCCAGACATCACACTTTCCAGCCATCACAACTGTGCGCGACAACCACAATCCACTGATACATTCATTGCTTCATGTGTACTCGTACAGAGATATGCTCTTGTCATCTGACACACTAGCCAGCCTTCCAGAACTGCTACCCTCCCCGCTAGGACGAAACGCTACTGCCCACACTTGATCCGTGTGATCTGTCACGGTTTGTATCGACGCCCGCATCTTCAGGTCCCACAGCCGCACCGTCTTGTCGCTTGACCCTGTCGCGATGGCTGCCCCCTCCGGACTCGCGTCCACGCTCAGCACCCAGCTCGCGTGCCCTGAGAACGCACTCACCAGCATCCTACTCCTCGCGTCGTACATGTGGATGTGCTTGTCATCGCATGCGGTGAACAGAACGTGGTTGTCCGCTGGAGAAAACACCAGCGACCTCACTGGCATGTTGTGCCCTTCCAATGTGTGGATCAGCTTCCCCTTGCCCACGTCGAAGATTGCCACTGTCCCGTCCATCGTGCTGCAAGCCAGATTCTTCCCGTCCATGCTCCACGCCACTCCCAACACGAACTTCCCCAGCCCCACCTTGTCTGCTGCTTTGCCGTCCGCACCATTCTCGGCCTTAGGAACCGTCAGAGACTGCTCCAGTTTCCAACTCGTTGTGTTCCATATCTTCACCGAACAACTCCCTCCTCCTGCGACTGCCAGGAGTTCACCCTGCACACCACCACCGATCCCAAAACCGCCCTCAGCTCCTTTCAACCTCGTCACCCTATGCACGCGGCTCCATTCCATTCCTTTGCGGGCCAATCATCGGCCTGCACCCTCCACTCACACCACGATCGTGCACTGCTCCTCCCCAACAACTTCGGTAAGCCCCGACGTACCTTGGGATCAAATTGCATCAGCCACGCTTCTGATGGAGGGGCCTCCAGGGTCGTCACGGTAGCATTCGAGTCGATGTCGAACACCCGCACGAAACTGTCCAGAGACGTCGAAGCTGCGATTCTGCCTCCCGGATGTGCCGCTACTGCAACCACACCCAGCGAATGACCTGCCACCACATGTGCAACAACTCCGGGTCAGCAACCCCGATGCACGCCCACTACTCACTACTAATCCAGCATCATCGCGGAGGTCGCAACCACGCCACAAACATGTTGCCAAACTCATACAACCCCACGCCCACGACAAGCACACCCCTTCACCCTTCATCCGCCCACGACACCTCGGCACGCTCTCCCGCGCCATCCACGTACCCCCGCACACTCACTTCCATTCTGCGCGCACACAAAATACTTTGCGTCCAATCCCATGGGCCCCGACGAGTCCATCCTGCATGTACCTTCAACCGGGCCGGCCGCCAAAATACCGTGGTGTCCATTCATCATCTCCTACCTCCCACACTCAGGTGCTTCCAATTCGGGTGCATGCGACTACCGTTCTCAACAATACCCCAATCCAAACATTCACCATTCCACATCCACCCAACACTGCTCTTTTGCGTCCAGCAAACTGAGCAGGGTACAACGTTTACTGCATCCCCGAAACGCGCCTCTCCTCATCCTTCTCACCCTGCTGCGTACCACCGTATCCAGCGGGACACCGCTACCCCATACGTTGCTCACGCGAAGCTGGTCTCGACGCCCACTGCTCTTTGTGCGGCAATGCTGACGCCCTTGGTCCACTATCACGCCACGAGCGCTTCGCCTCGTACTCCCCCGAGGCATCTGCTCAACTTTTACCACCCCATGTGATGATATGTTTCACAACTCTCACAAATTCCTCGCCGCTGCATTCCTGACCTAAACTACGCCTGCCTCATCCCTCCAACCCCACTCCTTCTACGACCCGCTACGACGACCATGCACTTCCGCGTTGGAAACCGGGCTTTCTCTATCTATGCGTCGCTGACGGAGGAACTGGGAAAGAACCTCATGGAACCAAACCGTAGAACCTGAGCCCTGGGCCTATTATCGTCATCTCGACCGACGGTCTGCGCTTCCACCCCAAACCGGCGCAGGCAGCTTGCCTGCGCAACACCTGGGACGGACGCCACGACCACATCCGCCTAGCCACCCAAACGTAGGGTTTACCGCAACCAACTGCCCGCAAAACGTACAATTTGGTTGCAAACCAGCTAATGCGACAGTCTAAACAGTCCACACGCCCATCTCGTGAGCAAGGGCGGCATTCCAGCGCCAATCTACATCGGGATAGAATCTCGCTAGGGTTTTTCAGCATTCACACCCGTTCCAGCTCACCAGCGCTGACCATCGCTCCAGGCGCACCACGATAAACACTTCAAAACAAAGAATGAAAAACAAAAACAGAAAGAAGAACGAGCTCTCGGAGACCGATCGCCGACTCCGGCATCCAAAGTGACAGAAAGATCCGGGTTTTCATAAAACCCACCCGTTCCGCACCCTAATTCACCACAAACCTGTGTTGGTCCGCTCGCACTCCAGCTCGTCTCCTCTCCACAGCTTCACTGTCTCGTCCACGGATCCAGTGATGAGCAACCCAGGCCTCGAGTCCGTCGCGGGAGCCCACGCCGCCGCCCAGATGCCATCATTGTGCGCCCCTGCCACATTCTTCAAACTGTTCACCTTCATGTCGCCGCGCTCTCTCCCTTGGACCTGGCCTTCCCTGCCTGGGTCCCTCGCAACCCCTCCAGCGCAACAGCAGATGGATTCGGGCTGATCACCACTGGTAGGCGAATTCGGCTCTCCCCTGACGCAATTACATGGCTCAGCAGCAGGAGCGAGGACGATGATGCATCGTTGCAGCTGCGACACGACTTAGCGAACACCAGGCAGACAGAGCAACCACCGAGCTTGCGAGGAGGCGCGAGAGCAGCAAGCAGAGGAGAGAGGAGGGAAAGGTAGCGAGCGAACAAGCGAGATTCGGTCTTCTTCATCCAAAGTGTCGGGAATGCATCCCATCCCCCCACCTCTTTCTTTCATCCGTTGCCAAGGTGGAACCTGAATGTGGGTGAGGGCGTTGATGGAATTCCGGATTTAATGATGTGGCATGAGCAGTGCTTCTTTTTTTCACTCCCCGCCCATTCTGCAGCAACCAAAGTAGAAACTACCTCATAATCGGTTGCCACAAATGATGAATATTTACAGTAAACGTTCATTGAATTTAAGAACTTGGACTTGTTTAAATGTTTTTATAATATACTTGATGATTTGGAGAACCAACGATAAGTGTCAGGTGTAGTTTGGTTGTTGTTCATTAGTGAAACATTCAATCAGATTATCATTTTTTGACAAGTTTTTTTCGGTTTCTATTTTATCTTAATTTTATAATTGCATTTTTCTAGTATTTTCTAGTAGTTTTATAATCTTTTAAAATTATTCTTTTATTCACATCATTATTTATTTGACGTGACAATTATTCTTTAATTTATAACTTGATCTATGTTTAATACTAAATAGATCACTTGGTTTATTAGAAGAGTTTAACCACTATAAAAAATGACCAAGTACATTGGTATAGTACTTAATGCTTAGATCTTATATTTATTACAACAACTTCCATTAATTTGTGTAGATAAGTCTTTTCTCTCTAAATTTTTGAGTTAGAACAAATTATTGTTAAAGTGTTTATATATATATATATATATATATATATATTTATTTTTTTTTATTTATTCCAAAGTGCAGCTAACTTTGATTAGAAAATTTAATTTGTTAATATCTATGACCATCATCCACAACTTCAAAGTTAGAAGCCATTTATTTATTTATTTATTTATAATTTATCAAGGACTTATTTTCTTCTTCTGAGTAGCTTCTATATGTGGGGCTACAAATCTTTGATTTTTATTTAGTCCTTCTAAGTGTTCTAAACATTCTTTCAAAGATTGAATATTTTTCAATCTATTGCAAATGACAATGTAGATGGATGGAACTTCAAACTCTATAGGCATAATGGCATCTAATCTATATACCAAAGAAATGAGTGTAGTCTTTGAAGAGCTTTATTAGTAGTTTGATAAACCTTAAAAGTAGTTATAAGTTCAAGTTTCCAATCATACTTCAAATCGTTCATAATGTTTTTTAATATCTAAAGTTAAATTCGATTGATCTTTGTTGTAAGACTATTTGATTTAAAGAATAAAGATGTTATATGTAAGTCTCACTAATCAGTGCCTCCTAAGTCTCCATAATACATCTGAATTGATACAATTGATATTAATAGGATTTTTTAATTTTTGAGATGCAATAATATTAAAATTAAAAAATTTATTTAATTTAAAAAAAATTAAATTAAAAAGTTTTTATAGATTTAAAGAGTCTTGATGAAGAAAAATTAATAAAAATGGAAGGTGTATAGTCTAGGAAGCAAATATCTTAGTTGGTTTAGTATTTGCTCTCAATGGTGATAATTGTTTTTTAGTCATAAAAGACTAATATCTACATTGTCCTTCTATCTATATATATTAGAAATTTAAATATTATAAATACTATTTAGTAAGTGGCAAGAATATGAATCACAAAAAATCATAGGATCAATACATTCTTTTGTCATTAGAAAAGATTAGATACTCATTCATAGATGATATAATTTTTAAAACTAGAATGGTTACAATTAAAGACAAGTAGACTAGATACTCTTGAAACAAGTCTTAAAACAAAGAAGGCATTGATAAAAATGAAGAAGACTTCAGTCTTACATCCATATATATTATCTAACTAGGAGCTAGATCATGACATTGTATGAAACCTTTGTCATGTGTCTAATTTGCAAGAAATGTGTGTAACTTGTAGGACAAGTTTTCTACATGTGCACAATTTGGCTAATCTATACCATAAGTTACTAACATGTACAAGACATAACCAACTTGTTGGTTAAAGTTTCAACCTATCAATCAACTATAAATATGTATGGAGTCAAATCTGCATCTATAAGCCTTCTGAGAATTCTTTCCATAAGACATTATTTAATCTACTTATTTCTATTTGATTTCATTAATCCATTTATGTGTATATATATATATATATATCTATATATATATATATATATATATATATATTTTTGTAATATTACCTCTCTTTTTAAATATAAGTTCTAAGAGAAATGATAATCATATGTTGAAGAGGTCAAATATACGACAAGTTATATGTACCACATAATTTGATCTTTATTCCATTTGAACATAGTTAATAGATCCTTTCGACCAATGATAGTATCTTATGTACAGGTGACTTTAAAACAAAAAAAGAATAAACTAGTTTTTTTTTGTAGAAATATTTATTTGATATTCGATGTTGCAAAATACCATCTGTTACTTTGATGTGTAGATTTGTTAATGTTCTTTATTAAAAAAATAGAATGAAAACTATACATGCTATATTTGGCAGGAATAAGAATAGATTTGCAACTATTATTGATCTTCACAAGTTTGTCAATACTCTAAGGATAGAAATCTCATGTATTAGAAATATTAATCATATTTATATACTAGTCCTATGCCTACTGAAACAATCAATCATATATAATTTAACAGAGACTTTCATATTTCTTGTGTATAATTAATTTAGTTTGTTGTCAAATGACACTGAGCATTAATGAATTGAAGTTATATTATGAAATGATTTGTCCCTCAAGTATCGAGAAGGTAATTAAGACGGTCTTTTAAGATTATTTTTTTGCAGCTTAAAAAATCCAAATGAAATTTATTTAAATCAACAACAAATAATTCTTTGAAAATGAGACAAAATTTATTTTAAAGAAATTAAAACAACATTCTTTGCTGATTCCAATTTTCTTTGTTGACACTTATCGTTGGTTCTCCAAATCATCAAGTATATTATAAAAACATTTAAACAAGTCCAAGTTCTTAAATTCAATGAACGTTTACTGTAAATATTCATCATTTGTGGCAACCGATTATGAGGTAGTTTCTACTTTGGTTGCTGCAGAATGGGCGGGGAGTGAAAAAAAGAAGCACTGCTCATGCCACATCATTAAATCCGGAATTCCATCAACGCCCTCACCCACATTCAGGTTCCACCTTGGCAACGGATGAAAGAAAGAGGTGGGGGGATGGGATGCATTCCCGACACTTTGGATGAAGAAGACCGAATCTCGCTTGTTCGCTCGCTACCTTTCCCTCCTCTCTCCTCTGCTTGCTGCTCTCGCGCCTCCTCGCAAGCTCGGTGGTTGCTCTGTCTGCCTGGTGTTCGCTAAGTCGTGTCGCAGCTGCAACGATGCATCATCGTCCTCGCTCCTGCTGCTGAGCCATGTAATTGCGTCAGGGGAGAGCCGAATTCGCCTACCAGTGGTGATCAGCCCGAATCCATCTGCTGTTGCGCTGGAGGGGTTGCGAGGGACCCAGGCAGGGAAGGCCAGGTCCAAGGGAGAGAGCGCGGCGACATGAAGGTGAACAGTTTGAAGAATGTGGCAGGGGCGCACAATGATGGCATCTGGGCGGCGGCGTGGGCTCCCGCGACGGACTCGAGGCCTGGGTTGCTCATCACTGGATCCGTGGACGAGACAGTGAAGCTGTGGAGAGGAGACGAGCTGGAGTGCGAGCGGACCAACACAGGTTTGTGGTGAATTAGGGTGCGGAACGGGTGGGTTTTATGAAAACCCGGATCTTTCTGTCACTTTGGATGCCGGAGTCGGCGATCGGTCTCCGAGAGCTCGTTCTTCTTTCTGTTTTTGTTTTTCATTCTTTGTTTTGAAGTGTTTATCGTGGTGCGCCTGGAGCGATGGTCAGCGCTGGTGAGCTGGAACGGGTGTGAATGCTGAAAAACCCTAGCGAGATTCTATCCCGATGTAGATTGGCGCTGGAATGCCGCCCTTGCTCACGAGATGGGCGTGTGGACTGTTTAGACTGTCGCATTAGCTGGTTTGCAACCAAATTGTACGTTTTGCGGGCAGTTGGTTGCGGTAAACCCTACGTTTGGGTGGCTAGGCGGATGTGGTCGTGGCGTCCGTCCCAGGTGTTGCGCAGGCAAGCTGCCTGCGCCGGTTTGGGGTGGAAGCGCAGACCGTCGGTCGAGATGACGATAATAGGCCCAGGGCTCAGGTTCTACGGTTTGGTTCCATGAGGTTCTTTCCCAGTTCCTCCGTCAGCGACGCATAGATAGAGAAAGCCCGGTTTCCAACGCGGAAGTGCATGGTCGTCGTAGCGGGTCGTAGAAGGAGTGGGGTTGGAGGGATGAGGCAGGCGTAGTTTAGGTCAGGAATGCAGCGGCGAGGAATTTGTGAGAGTTGTGAAACATATCATCACATGGGGTGGTAAAAGTTGAGCAGATGCCTCGGGGGAGTACGAGGCGAAGCGCTCGTGGCGTGATAGTGGACCAAGGGCGTCAGCATTGCCGCACAAAGAGCAGTGGGCGTCGAGACCAGCTTCGCGTGAGCAACGTATGGGGTAGCGGTGTCCCGCTGGATACGGTGGTACGCAGCAGGGTGAGAAGGATGAGGAGAGGCGCGTTTCGGGGATGCAGTAAACGTTGTACCCTGCTCAGTTTGCTGGACGCAAAAGAGCAGTGTTGGGTGGATGTGGAATGGTGAATGTTTGGATTGGGGTATTGTTGAGAACGGTAGTCGCATGCACCCGAATTGGAAGCACCTGAGTGTGGGAGGTAGGAGATGATGAATGGACACCACGGTATTTTGGCGGCCGGCCCGGTTGAAGGTACATGCAGGATGGACTCGTCGGGGCCCATGGGATTGGACGCAAAGTATTTTGTGTGCGCGCAGAATGGAAGTGAGTGTGCGGGGGTACGTGGATGGCGCGGGAGAGCGTGCCGAGGTGTCGTGGGCGGATGAAGGGTGAAGGGGTGTGCTTGTCGTGGGCGTGGGGTTGTATGAGTTTGGCAACATGTTTGTGGCGTGGTTGCGACCTCCGCGATGATGCTGGATTAGTAGTGAGTAGTGGGCGTGCATCGGGGTTGCTGACCCGGAGTTGTTGCACATGTGGTGGCAGGTCATTCGCTGGGTGTGGTTGCAGTAGCGGCACATCCGGGAGGCAGAATCGCAGCTTCGACGTCTCTGGACAGTTTCGTGCGGGTGTTCGACATCGACTCGAATGCTACCGTGACGACCCTGGAGGCCCCTCCATCAGAAGCGTGGCTGATGCAATTTGATCCCAAGGTACGTCGGGGCTTACCGAAGTTGTTGGGGAGGAGCAGTGCACGATCGTGGTGTGAGTGGAGGGTGCAGGCCGATGATTGGCCCGCAAAGGAATGGAATGGAGCCGCGTGCATAGGGTGACGAGGTTGAAAGGAGCTGAGGGCGGTTTTGGGATCGGTGGTGGTGTGCAGGGTGAACTCCTGGCAGTCGCAGGAGGAGGGAGTTGTTCGGTGAAGATATGGAACACAACGAGTTGGAAACTGGAGCAGTCTCTGACGGTTCCTAAGGCCGAGAATGGTGCGGACGGCAAAGCAGCAGACAAGGTGGGGCTGGGGAAGTTCGTGTTGGGAGTGGCGTGGAGCATGGACGGGAAGAATCTGGCTTGCAGCACGATGGACGGGACAGTGGCAATCTTCGACGTGGGCAAGGGGAAGCTGATCCACACATTGGAAGGGCACAACATGCCAGTGAGGTCGCTGGTGTTTTCTCCAGCGGACAACCACGTTCTGTTCACCGCATGCGATGACAAGCACATCCACATGTACGACGCGAGGAGTAGGATGCTGGTGAGTGCGTTCTCAGGGCACGCGAGCTGGGTGCTGAGCGTGGACGCGAGTCCGGAGGGGGCAGCCATCGCGACAGGGTCAAGCGACAAGACGGTGCGGCTGTGGGACCTGAAGATGCGGGCGTCGATACAAACCGTGACAGATCACACGGATCAAGTGTGGGCAGTAGCGTTTCGTCCTAGCGGGGAGGGTAGCAGTTCTGGAAGGCTGGCTAGTGTGTCAGATGACAAGAGCATATCTCTGTACGAGTACACATGAAGCAATGAATGTATCAGTGGATTGTGGTTGTCGCGCACAGTTGTGATGGCTGGAAAGTGTGATGTCTGGACGGCTGCTGGGGTGGAGAAAAGGTGGTAGGAGGATTGGGGTAGAGGCAGGGGATGTTTGGCGCCGAGAGGTGCGGTTGTGGGAAGTTTGTGGGGTTGGTGCAGCGTGTGGGGGATGCAAGTGTGGGATGTGGATATGGATGTGGGGACGCAGTTTGCAGGGCGAAGGAGTGCATCGCAGAGCGCTGTGGAGCGAGGCAGAAGGGGGAAGTGCAATGCTTGCATGGATGCACAGACGACAGCGTGGGTGGTGGCGTGTGAAGTTGCATGTGTGGGCATGGGGGCTGGAACAATGCAGCGCTTGTGACGAACTGAGTGTTGATGCGGGGCTTGCAGTGATGAGCCAGTGATGCGTGGCTGATACGAGGCTATTGTCTTGGCTTAATTCAATGTTTTTCTTCGTGGTATTTCATTTGATTTGTTTCTGTGTAGGTTTTGTATGTAATTTCCGATATATCATTGTTCAGTCTTTTGAGTTTTTTTTGGCTTGTGGTGTTGGGTTAGTGTGGTTTTTGTTGTCCGCGGTTGTACTGAAGATGGTCGGGCAAATTGGTCTCCACGGTGTTTGTAGGTTTAATCACGCAACCTAAGATGGAGGAGTGTTGACAATCTGAGCTTTTCATATGGTGCTATGTAAACAGTGTGCACACGTGGCCGTATTGTGGTATCGAAGAGACATAGTTCATTCACATTAATGTGAAAAAGCACAAACAAATTTATATAGAAGGTCATTTTCTTGTAAGAAGTTATGCATGCAAATAGCGAACAGACTGAGCCGAATCATCATACCAAAAAGTGTAGTGATACCAAATGATAGAAACAGTCAACAGGTAGCTCAGACTTCCGCTAGAACGGTTGCTGACGCATGTCCAGCACTACCCAATCTTATAAAACTTGCAACAACGATCACTCCGAGTTCCAGTCCTCGCAGTTTAACGATGTGCTCAACTGCGTCCTGCAGAACAGTCTTGGATTGTGACGAAATAATCAATGGAGACCTGAGTTCTATCATATTTGCATGAGGGCGTCTTATGTGGGTTAATCGAGATTGGTGTCCTCGAAGATGAGGTACCAAGACGCTGAAGTATGATACGTCATCTTTCTACAATGAGGTCTAGTTTCCAACAGAGGGGTCGGTAATGCGGCCAGTGAAGATGATCACATTGGTCAGTTCTTCCTTGATAATGAACAGGTATGGGTGGTCGCAGACGAAGTCAGTGGGTTCATGGAACATGGGGAGGCTTCTCAATGTAATGGTAGCAGCTGTGGCTGCGGCGGCCTCTGTGCCCTTCTCGTTTACTTCTACAAAAGTTTTATGGTACAGGTTTGAAACGTAGAGTTTGTCAGCCGTTGGGGAATCCACCATATCTGTGAGATCTGCCTCTTCTCCAAAGGGCAAAGACAAGCCAAGAGACTTGAGAGCTTCCGGTGCCTCAAACCCGTGAGAGATTTTGAACTTGGGCAGTGCAAACTCGGTCACTGGAACCTCTTGGTTAACCGTCCTGAGATCTTCCGCGAGAATCTTCAAGTCTAGAGATTTTTCCAACTCAGTGATGCCGTCCTTCTCATGAGGCAGCAAGATGAACATTGAAAAGGAACGTCTGTCACTGCCAGCGGAGTACGGCAGGCGAAGAACCTTGAAGGTGGAGAAATCTTTCACGTATTGCTTCTTGGTTGTGTGCAACATTGGGACTTGGATGCTTTTTCCATCCAGCAAAAAGAATTCTCCGTGTTTTGTGTCTTCATCCTCAAATGGCTTCTTCCATGCTCCCTTGAAATATAGAGCATTTGCTAACACAACACGTGTCATCTGATCCACCGATCCTGTAGGAAGAAGCTCCTCAATTTTCTCATGTGTCGCTTCTTTAGCCCACTCGTTTACTTTCGCTAGAGCTTCGTCAGCCTGGAAACAACCAGCCATATGACAGAATTAGCACAAAGGATCCAATAAAGAATGACGCCATAAAGAAAACATCAGCTCCTGTGAACTTGAGGAGATTCGCACAATCTTTTAACTAATTAAAAAACTACAAGAACAACTTTCGCAAATTACACTGGTTTACAGCTCTAATACGCCAGTATTGTAATTGCAAATTTTGCCGTGCTCCGAACTCACTCAACGCGTCTCAGACGTGAAAGAGCTCCTATGACTCCTCTATGGACAATGCAGGGACCAGGCATAAATGTAACTATGAAATGATCTGGTCCACTAGTGGACCTTCCAATTGCAGTCAAGAAGTCCCGAATTCCTGGTACAGGGCACAAACTTGCTACAGAATGGGAAAATAAGAAACGGGGAAAATAGAATCGGATACAAACCAGAAGGAAAGATGTGGAACTATGAAAGGTGTAATCCAACGTCGGATAATCATATGCGAAAACTACAAAAGAAACGGGGAGACATGTGGAGGCCCAGAGGCGGAATCAATTTATGGTACCTTTGCATGGAAGTCAACCGATGCAGCCTCAGATCCATAGCTATCCTTAAGGATTTTCTGGAACTCAGGTTTGAGTGTCACGGATTCATCCACCCAGACACGATTGGCAAGTGCGAGTTCCGGGCCCCCAGCGCCGCTCCCGTCAGCTAGGACGACCGTTTTCAGCTGCGAGGAGAAGTTGTGCATGGGGTCGCCTTCAGGAAGTTTGATGCACTTGGCAATCTCCCCCCGTGTCGGTCCCTTAGCCCCAGCCGATACCATCGCCAATGCTAGGCTAATGCTAAGTGGCGAAAGTAACACATTCTTGGTCTCCTTACCTTTCACCACGGCCTTGTGCAAGTCTATGGTGAACTCCATTTGCCCGTGCACCATAGATGCTACGTCTAACCCCATTTTCTCAAGCCGCGCAAGTACTTAACTGAACCTGCGAATCCACGACGCTATAGATCCTCAGTATTCTCTTTCCAGTCACAAGAGCACACATGAAAACAGCGCTGATTCAAATCTACAACTCAACCTACGCCTGCTCAGCGTGGTCCAAAATGTTAAGAACCCATCAAGGTAACCAATCCTGAGAAATCACAAGCGCAGCACAAAACACACAAAAACGCACCTCTTTCACAAGCTGTGGTGACCGATCCACTAAATTCTCAAAACCCTCACCAAGAACTAAACAGCACCCAGGCCAACGAGATGTATATAATCACCTCAATGAAAAGCCCCAAACCACCGTCCCGCGAGCGGACGAGTTCGATCTGAAATAATTTATCCTCACGATCCAACCGACAGTGTATCGTTATTCAAATTGATGGAGAATCCGAAGTCTCCCAAAGATCAGATCGCATCTCCAAGACAAGAGCATGCTAGTACAGGTGGAACGACCCACAAAGCCAATAGAGAAGGAAGAGGGCCGAGTCAAAAAGGATAAAGGAGCCACGTGTTTGCAAGGTAGCATCTACTGATTGGACACTGCAGATCAGACCTCGTCTGGGAGAGAAATAGTCCACAGACCTCTCCTAGCAATTACGTTGAACTGTTCTCGTCTTGCTCAAGGATTTATCTTTCCAAACTTAACAAATTCGTAGAGTGTTCTTCGGCTGAAGTCTTGTTGCGTTTGGGGAGCTGTGAAACCCTAACTAGGGCTTGAGGGGTCTGCAATGATGCTTACGTTGCGTGCAGTGTAAGCTACAGTTAGGTCTACCGGCAATCGAGAACTATGTATGGATCGAGCTTTGAAGAGCATGTGGAAGATATCTGATGGTTATCAAACGAATTTTGTACGATTCTCTAAGTTTCTTCTTGATAGCGCCCAGGGGTCGGATTTTCTGCAGAATTTCTGAATGTCAACCCCTGTACGCCACTTTGATCCAACTGATACGAGTTTCTTCGGCAATTTCTTCTCCATCTCTCTCACTCGGTTCTGCTCGTTACCCCAGCGCTGCAGTTAATGATCCGATTGATTTCTTAGCGCACTTTTTGGGTAGAGGATGTGATTTAGTCATGTAAATTGAAGAAACGGCGAAATTGTTTTGTAAGATGTGGGCATTCTCTCAACTCTAACCTGGCGAACCAGCTTCAGAAGCTCCAGGCTATGTTCACCGATGACGAAAATCTGTGTGTGCACTGGTCTGACTCCTCTGCTCCAGTACACCTCAAGCTAGCACCATTTCGAACTTTACCACAGATTAGGATCTACATCACACAAGATGCAGCGGCAAAGGTCAGCAAACATTTTCGGAGAATCCTATTGTTCTGGCAGAAACTCATGCCGATTATTTCCTCTGCATCAGATCGTGAAAAGCTTGACAGTAAATCTATCCCGTTGCGTGAAGGCGTCGCCTCACCAACCTCAGACTTGTACACCACACGGCCAACTATCGTCTGTTTGCAAGCTTTTCCCATTTTTCCCTTCGAGGATATTTTGCTGTGTAGCCAAATTGGCAGAAAAATTATTTCAGATTTTGGAAACTACCATCCAATCTATACAGGACTGGTATTGCCGAATCTGACAGCTGCAATGCGACGGATGTAACATATTTGCAGAAAAAAGGCTGAATGGGGCACCAGGGCTTACGTGTAAATGTTCATCTGGTCAAGCTTGAGCACGTCATTGATGCAAATGTCACCAAATCCACAATTAATTGTGAATGAAAACTCTGGAAACCTTTGTAACTCATCGTTATCTGTGACACTGAACACAAATTCAAGCTTCAACTATCCCCATTCCAACTTAAAATTCAACCACTCAACTGCAATTGAAGTTAAGTCGGTTACGAGCTCACGTGACTTCCACTTCTGCTTCGGCTGACGATGATGTCTCCTTCGATTTCCCTCCCCCGACAACATTCTTAAGGTTGTTGCTTCCTATGCAAGAGGTATGAAGCAGAGCCAGCTTGAGATCTTGCTCAGTATGAACACCCAACTCATGCAACTGGAAAAAAACTGCAAACACTTCTTCGATGTTGCTTGGGCCAATTTTGAGCATCCATACGGCAATTGGCTTCGGGATTAACGTTTCCATTAGGAGGATCATTTCGCGATCGTTGTAGCCGTATACTTCCTGGACATGCTTCATTTGCTCAACCCACAGGGAAGGATTGTCCCCCATGTGATACTTCAACTCTTGCAGAAACAATTCCATGGAGTTTGATGACCAAAACAACTCATGGAACTGAAACTTTTCCGGCCGTAGAACCAGGAATTGATGATGTGGGTCAAGAAAAACTCAAGTGAGGGTTCCCTATTTGTGAGAAGGGAGCAAGGACGACGGAGCCAACTCCCACCCGCAGCTGAAAATGGTGGAGAAAGAACACTAACTCATACACTTTTCAATATTCTGGACTTAATACTCAGCATGGATTTAGTTACAAGCCGAAGACCCACAAACGGCAATGCCTCAAGCGAAACAAAACGGAACAAAAAACCTGCAATCTCTCACAAACTTGCCACTACTGACGGCACAATCTGCTATTGGGGCTTTATTTAATGATCTGTTCAATCGAGATGAACTCCAATTCTGCTAGCCCGGCAACAACACAGGCCACCATGTGTGAACATTCGAGCTCCACATGACTTCTTCAAATCTCATTGCACCTTGACAAATCTCACATTGCACTCTGATATGTCATAGAGCAAATTCTCACTGCTTTTGGACGCTAATTCCTTAGACTCTGGGTTTGAGATTACAAAACATTTAATGTTAATTAGGTCTGTTACATGTGACCTAATTTCAGATAGAAGCAATGAGAGACGTTGCCAAGAGTGGGTCATAATGTAACTTGACAGTTAGAAGAATAGGGGGTTTCAACCATGGCCTTTTTGGGTGATATTTCACCCATGATACAAGCTTGAAGTATCCATGATATTTCAAAATATCACTTGATACTCCACCAAATCACCCATCTTGCCAAGGTGGATGATTTGGAAATCAAAATATCAAAAGAGAGGCAGGTCAAATATTAAAAACCGCATCCCTTGCTTCAGCTCTCGTCTCTTTGACTCCATTCTAGAGATAATAAAGTTTGAATTAGGGATAATATTAGAAGATAATAAAGTTTGAATGATGATATTCTGGAATTGGTATTTTGAGTGATCCTATAAATATTAGGTATTGAATCCTAGTTATTTGGTTTTGCAAAAGTGCCATGTTTGAAACCCCGTATTGATTTATTTATTTATTTATTTATTTTTGGAGGATATGAAATAGAATTGTGTAATGATAGGTGTAATTGAATTATGCATTGGATGGTATCTTTCAATTTTTTGATGGTGTTCATTTTATTGTTTACCAAAGGAATCATATATTTATTTGACTATTTGAATCATTAAATGACCTTATTGGTTTTTTATTTTTTTATTTTTAATTATCTCTATCATTGGATGGAGAGATATGACATTTATTATAATTTTTTAATTGATTGAAATACACTTTTAAAGATATCTAATTAAAACAAATTGTGTAAAGTGGGTGTAAAATTCTTTCTAGACTAGCTAAGTACTTGCTTAATGTTATGCCAACAAGGCTAATTTATAGCTAAAAAATATTTAGTAATTATACTAATTAATTTTTTTCTTTAATAATCTTAAAAATTCATTGAATTTTTAAAAATATACTATGATAAGATTTGATATTATTATTTATATCTTGGTTTGTATAAGATAGGTGACAAACTTCCATTAACTACAGAATTATTATAGAATATTTACATCACATAGTACAAAAATATATAATATAATAATAAAAATTAAAAGTAAAAACTATATAATTAATTTTTAAATTATTATACATAAATAAAAATTTAAAATTTATACTAAAAATAGTTTTGAAATTTTCAGAATAAATATTATGTACATAATATAAATTTTATCAACTTTTAAATGATTTAAAAACATATAAGCTTTGTTACAAAAAATTGAATTAAATTTATAAAGAAAAATATGGTATTTTTTATTTATTTTTAGTATAAATAATAAAATTTTCTTTTATTTATTAGTAGCCTATTTTTAAAATATAATATTTGTATATTTTTAAAATAAAATTCTTATATAAAAACTTATATCAAGGACATGAATTATAAAGTATCAAATGTCAATACATTCTTATTTCACTCAAAAAGAGTAGATAATCATTTGAAGATGGTATATTGTTAAGACTAGAATGCCTATTGCCAAAGACAAGAAGACTAGAGACTCTTGAAACAAGACTAAAAATAAAAAAAATGTGTTGATAAGATTGAAGAAGACTTTGCTCTTTCATCCATGTATACTATCTAGCTAAAAACTATGTGGCAACATTCTATAGGACCTCCAACACATATCTAACTTACAAAAATAGTTTACCACATGTGCAACACATAGTCAACTTATTGGCCAAGTTTTCAACCTATTAATCAATTATAAATATATATAAAGTCAAATTTGCATCTACATAGCTTCAAAAAAAGCTTCTCCATAAGGTATTATTAAATTTACATACATTTATTCACTTTTTAACACTTCTTATGTAGATAATTTTTGTATATCCATAATACTATTATGTTTTATAAGAACCAATTTTACAAAGAATAATAATCACATTTTGATTCTTTATTTTGTTTTAATGGATGTTATTGATAAAAAGCATCAATCTTTCTTGCTACATTTGCAAGATTCCTTGGTAGCTTTTACATGCATTTACAAAGATCATATCTATGCCAATGTACAAGATATTTTAACCTATTTTGGCATTGCCTTAGATGTAAGATTTCTTTGACCTCAAATTTTTCATTATTATTCACTTCTATAAAAGGAGGTGGCATTTGTCTTTATTCTAGTATAGCTATTGTCTTATATACCTAAAGAAAAAATACATAAAACATAATATAGGTCTTCATAGATACTAATAGCTATAATTAAAATATAATTAGATTGATTAATTCAAAAATAAGAAATGGCCTAAATCTATGGCATTCCAACTTATCACAAGGGCAAATATTCTTGATATTACAACAAAATAACCATACCATGTTGTCTACAAAAAATTAAGGTTTTTCTTTGAAATAGACATTATTATTAAACTTTTATTGTTCTTGAGCTCTTTTTAATTTTACCTTCATTATTATATGTAATTATGAAAAATAATTTGTTAAATATTTTATTATAGGATTATCAACATTAGTAAAGTCAAAAGTATTAAGTTATGGATGATAACCATAATTAATATAAAAAATATTTATTGAGTAGAAAAATATACTATATTATCATTAGCACATTTTGCTAATAGTAAAAAGATTATCCAATCATCTTGATGGTATATCTCAAATATTACTTTAAATCTTAATTTATTCATTCTATTTGTCCATTAATTTAAAAATAAAAGACTAAAGTTGATTTTATATTTTCTTTTAATATCTTGAAAAGGCTCTTCAAAAATCTTGATATAAATTAAGTACCTCTATCCAATATAAAATCTCTTGACAATCCATAATAGTCATAAATGCTCACAAAAAAAAATAAAAATAAAAATAAAAATAGTTGATTCTTTATATATGACAAATTTTGTACATAGTTCAAAATATGCTATTTTAGTGAAACAATCTACTATTACAAATATAGAGTCATAAGAACTTAAAATCAAAAGATTTGCAATAAAATCTATAGAAACAAAAGACTAAGATTATTTGAGTATAAATAATAGCTAAAAAAGTTCATAAAATCAATGACAAAGAATTTTTGATCTTAAATAAATATTACATGATTGTACAGAGTCTTTAATTGCTTTGTATATTTAAAACTACTATAAATCTTTTGATATTAGCTCCAAAGTCTTATTGTATTAAAAATGTCTTATAGCTAGGAAGTCATGATGAGCTTGAAGAACATATAAGTATTTCTAAGATCTTCGGCAATTTGTTAATTAAATTGAAGTGAATTTTTTTTGTATGCAAACTAGACTTGATTTCCAATGTTTCAATGAAATTTGAGAATAATTTAATAGTTTATGAAGGAGATATTAGCATTGGAAGTTTAGCATCTAGATTAGAGTAAAAAACCTCTCAATATTCGATTGGATTAACTTGCATTTCTTTCAATTGGTAAGTGCGATCAATTTCATCTTTCTTATGCTTGTTTCTAAATAAGATATTAAAAAGTATAAAAACTTTGAGTTGATATCAATGGTTTAATTATTGATTGTTGAGGTTCCATTCTACTATAGGACTTGTTAAGAGTTTATTTAAGATCTAAGATTTTATTAGGATTTGGTTTAGGATTTGGTTTAGGATTTGTCTAGGATTTTATTAGGACTTAGGATTTGATCTAAGATTTTATTAGAATTTTTTAGATTTTTTTAGGATTTTCTTTAGAAATTAATTAGAATTCGATTAAGATTTATTTAGGATTTGTATAGAATTTAAGATTTCATTAAGATTTTATTAGGATTTCAATTAGGATTTGATCTAGGATTTGGTTAAGATTCAATAAGGATTTTAATTAGAATTATATTAGGATTGTTATTTTTAATATTTTCTTATAATTCTTTATTATTTTTTTTAAGTTTTTATTTCTAATATTTTTTTAGATTATTTTTATTTATTTAAATATTTATATTTATATTTCTTAAATATTGTTTTTTATTTTTCTTGTAAATTAAATCATAACTTCTTTTTGTTTCTTTTAAGATTTTTTTTAAATTTATTTCAATAGATCAAAGTTTTATTGGATTTATTAAGGATTATTTGAAGTTTATTTAATTCTCTATTAGACTTGGTAGAATTGTTGTTGCATTTTTACTTACCTTCCATATCTAGGTACTTAATGCATTCTCAAGTAAGAACATAGGTAGTACAACAACAAAACTTTAACAAATCTGCAAGTCAAATTTGAAGATGGTAATTTGCAGCTTTTAATATTAAATTTAAAAATTTTACAAAAAAAGATAGTCTATTTTCTTTATGGAAAGAATAAATGTTAAAAAATATTAAATATTAATTTTAAAAAAGATAATCTAAATTTTTTAAAACACACTAAAGAAAGTAAGTTAATTCACTCATTTTTAAAACAAAAAAAAAACATTGAATTAACACTCTTGTCAAACTATCAAAGACATGATTGGCAAAAGACCAAAAGGTTAATACACTCTTGTGTTATTCAAAAAGAATAAAAAATCACACAAAGATGGCATAATATTAAGACTAAAATAGCTTTTATTAATGACAAGAAGATTAGGAACTCTTGAAACAAGACTAAGAACAAGAAAGGCATTGACAAGAGTAAAGAAGACTTTATTCTTACCTCCATATATACTATCTAACTAGAAGTTGTATAGCAATGTTTTATAGGACCCTCAACACATGTTTAATAGATGATACACATATTTAACTTGCAAGAATAGTTTTCTATATGTGCACCGCATGGCCAACTTGTTGGCCAAGTTTTTAATCTATCAATCAGCCATAAATACAATTAAAGTCAAATTTACATCTATAAAGCTTCTAAAAAGCTTCTTCACAAGGTATTATCAAATCTACCTATATTTATCTACTTCCTAAAAAAATTTATTTTAATAATTTATGTATGTTCATAATAACTTGTTTTATTTTATTATTATTATTATTATTTATTGCTTTAATTTTTTAATATAATATAGGTATTTAAGTATACTTTTATTAATAATTTATCTATTATAAATAAATTTTAAAAAAATAAATTCAAAACATATATCTAAAAGATACTCTTATAGAAATAACATCTATAAATCATCAAAGATCTTATGATTTTAATCTAATATATTTATTATAATAATAAAATAATATTTGTTATATAAATATATAATATATATTGCTAAATTGAAAATAGTACATAGTGATAAATAAAAAAGTGTAGCTTCTTTAAAAACTCATCATATAATTTTTATATAAAATAAACTAAATAATACTAATATTCATATAAATTAAATTTGAATTGAAATAATGTTAGATAAAAATAACACATATTTGGCATTTCTTTGATGACATTTTTTTTATAGTCCATGCAACTAGAGATTTAAATCCTATAAATTAAAATATTAAATATTTATCAATTATTTTGCATTAACTTTAGGTTATCTTAACTAACACAATAATAAATGTATCTTTACCTTCTCGAGTACTTTCAACAAGAAATTGATATCTTATAGCTATTAGAATTAAAAAGATAGTTTTGATCTTTTGAGATATCTTATATTTATCAATGCTTTGATAAAATAGAATTTCTAATAAAAATATAATTATTCAATAATTGATATTAATATGCATTAAAAATAATAAAATGAATAAAATATATATATTTTTTATAATTCTATTTTTTATTCATTGATATAATCTAAAAAAATTACATAATATTAAATAAATAATTATTTATTTATTTATTATTTATTTAATAATATATATATATTATAAAAAATTAAATAAACAATGCATTAGAAACAAAATATTTTTTATTTTTAAAAAAATTATAACTAATAAATTAAAATATTTATTATTTAATATATATAAATTATAAATTAATCCATATAAAACATTATTATTATAATTGATGCAAAAAATAGTAATAAAAAATTTTCAATTATTCATCAATGCCCATATGTTTGAAGATGCATATATATATATATATATATATATATATACTACAAAGTAGAAGAATAAAAGTCAAAGTAATAATATATTGAGAGAGAGAAAGATGTATGTGTGTGTATATATATATATATATAAAGGATAATAATATATATTTTAAATAAATGTCAACAACATGTATAAATATTAAATGATATAAATACATAATAAATTTAAACATTTTTTACTATTATTTTTATTATTATTCAATTATGGTAATAGTATGAAACAAATATAGTTTAATGTAAAAAGATACATACTCTTTATATATTTGCAAAATTTATAAAAGATTTATATTTTATATTTCTAAATAAAAAGTAGATGGTAATTTATTTAAAATACATTTGTTTTAGGTCAACACAACACTCAATCATAAACAATATAATAAGGCTGCAAATTGCACATTGATAGTTATAATAGTTGATAGAAACTAACAAAATCTCTTTACAAAAGAGGAGCTAATGATCTTATTTGGCTAAACAACCAATGCCTTTTGAATAGTCAACTAAACTCATATTAATGAGTCAATCATAGTACATTAATTGTGACACAACTTGAAAATTTTAGACTCACATTACCAAACATGAAGTCAAGTAACAAAATATGTTGTTGATGCAATTTTGCAAAATAAGTACCTAGCATGCACTCTAATCTTTTTACTTCATTTGTTTATCCTTACATATCTATAGACATTGATGTTGGATAACTACCTCAAATTTTTATGAGCAAGTCATTAAGAAGCAACCAATTGTTAGGAATCCCTCAAATATTGGTAGAAGGGATTCGAAGTTAAAAGTGTGAGGTTTTGAAAAAAAAACACACACACATACACAAAATCATTTATGATCATGGTTAAGGGCTTAGGATTCCTTAAAATGTTCTTGTGCATTTGAATTTTCTGTTCATTCAGTACCAAGTACCAGCTGGGTACCTACCTATTCCACTACAGCTGTTGATGGCTCTGTGTGTAGGCTTATTTAATTGTGACGAGAAACTTGCACAGGTCCATTCATGTTTAAACCTCCACCTCTGGAGTAAAGAGGGGCACTGGAAATAATTAAATACCAAGGAGCATTTCTAGGCTTTGCATGGAACTCACCATTTTTTCTTGCCAGTGGGCAGCTACCTTGAAAAAATTCTGACCTCATTGATATGGACCTCATAGATATTACAAAGCAAACCTTACAGCATCTTTTTAGCATTGCCCTTGCCAATTGTGTCACCAATAGCCCCTGCACATCAGCACAAAAGCATGCACACACAATTCAGAATATTGCATGTGGTGAACCTTAGAACATTAGACATGGAGGCCAACTTGAACACACTTTCAGGGGCATCTGAGACTGGGCTTCCAAATAAGCCTCCACAAATAAAAAATTGCAAATATACACAACTTGACATCAATGCTCCTCACTTCAAAAGACACAAATCACAGAGCGCATAGGAATGGCATTCATCACCAACAACAAGAGACAAAAGAAACCATGGTTCATGCCACTGGCTGAGAGGTAGCCATCCCTCTAGATCTATTACTCATTGGAAAGATTCCTGAAAATTAAAGGATTGTGCGATTAGAATCTATGCATCCCAAGGCGATGTGTGTGAGCCCCAGGCATTCTCTGCAACAGGCCATCTGCAGGTCCTCGCATGAGAAGTTGCAAAAAACCATCAAGAGTCCATACACCAAAAATAAGCCAAAAAGATAGTTACTGTATGCACAAAATCTGATCTGTAAAATCATCTGTAACGTGTACAGTTGACCATGAGCAAAACACCCAAACCTATACAGTTCGCTGTTGGGTAGAGGAACGGCATTCACTGGGCACAGAAATCAATGCAGGAGCGGAAAGGAGTAGCCCAACGCCGTGTGCACAAACTTGTACTGTTACCTCCGAAACTTAGGGAATCTGTATTCTTCGAATCAAGATTTTTAATGATCACCACAAAATCTGTTTCAGCAGATATTGAGGTATTTGCACAAATTAAATTGTATAGCCGTAGCTTGCATGACCAATTGCTAAAGACTCACGTTCCCGACCTTCAAATCGTCAATGATTTAAGATACAGCAGTGACCAGCAACCACCCTTCACTCTAAAATACACAATCATAAGAATTCCGATTTGCTGCTAAACAGCAGAGAAAATCAAAATGAAGACTTAAAAATCGTTGGCCCTCTTTCGTAGCTCATTCAATTCCCTTTCAATCTCCGAGTCCTTGAAAGGATAGGGAGTTTTGCTGCTACTTGAAACTGCTTGGGACCGGCCTTCCGGCAGCTCTCCTTTTCTCTGTACACCGTCAGCCAATCATTGTTAGTCTGCAGTGACCACAAAGGCACCACGTATTGCAGGTTTGTTTCTTTTAATGAAACTGAAGGATCATTAACAATAAATCACTAGAAATCAAAACGGCTAAACTTTGCCGAGAACCTGAATAAAGTATTCATGAAGAACTCCTAACGAGAATCAGTTTTACATCAAGAACACACGTTCGGACTATAAAGAAAGCAAAAATAACCTTCGATGAACCCAGCACGTCTTGCTTTAAGGATGCCAAGTCGTCATCTACAGAATCACTTTCTAAAAGAGCGAACTGCAAACAAAATCACACAACCTCTTGTTAGAGAAGAAAACTCTATTTTTTAAAACCTGAAGGGTAAGGGAAAAATCGATACAACCATTTCGATGTCCTGTGAAAGCAGACACTAATTCATATTCATCCACGAAAGAGAAAAGAGCTACAAATTAAAAATTAAAAAAACTAAATACGAGCGATTAAACGATGTATAGATGGATACTCACCTTGGCAGCCAAATCATCAGTACTGAGTTGATTGAGCGCCTCCGATTCTGCCTCTAATGCAGTAACTGCATCCCAAGTACCCCATTAGTAGCTGAAAACTTTGCGTGACAATTTCCTTTACACTCTCTTACAGCTACTGTGTTCAACACAATCAGTTAATTACGTTGGTCCTAAGCTCACCTATCTCTCACATCAATGAATTAAATATGAATCGTTTCACAGTAACTCACACAACATCTACCTTTTTCTTCCATCTTCTCAAATGCCGCAAGAGCACCGCTAGTATTGATATTTCCCAACATCTCATTAACCTTCTGGGAAGTCCTGCATATCCAGATCCCTCTTCTTAGTAATCGTAACGCAAGCATTGGGAGGTTATGGCCATCTCCCGCACTAGGAGCTACGTGTGTGTGATTCAAAGCAAGGTATTGATATGCAGCACGTTGCAACATGTTACCGGAGATAGAGACAATGACACCTACTTGGCAGATTGTGCTCGTGCTTTCAAAGTGTCCTTCTTCGACTTAGCCTCTGAGATCTTGCTTTCTAGCAGCTGCGCCTCAACAACCCTACCAATTAATAACTTAAACATCTTACTACTCAACAACCACTGCCAAGAATAAACATCAAGCAAAAGAGATACTGCGATCAAATAGATTGTAGACTGGTAAAAAAAAAAAAAAAAAAAAAAAGTGCATAAAATAGCAACTAAAGCAGTTGTCACATTCACATCAATAAGATGTATGGTACCCGAGTGTTCGATATCAGCTTATCCACGACACCCTTCTGCTGATCCAGCTGACTTTTCAATGCCTTGGCACTTTCCTATGCGAAGATTCCAAAACAAAAAATGATCAGTAATCATACTGGAAATGCCACCAATGAACCTCACGCTCATTCTTACGCTCATGAGAACATTTAATAATCGTAGTCTTGCAAAATTTCAACTGCTAGTCCACAAATCGTGACTCTTCCATCAAATTAGCAGCATGAAGCAAGCACCGAAAAAGGATAAAATTCTTATACCTCATAATCCTTACGGCGTTTAAGAGCCTCCCTAGCTAAGTCCTCATCACCTTTTTCAAGTGCTAATTTCGCTCTCCTATACCAATCATCTGCAGCTGTTTGAGCTGCTTTATACTTATTCTCCAACTGCTTTTGGGAAGCTAGCACCTTCACAAAACAAGAGCAATGCGATTGTCTCTTGTCATTCTTAATGAACTACTTCAGGATTGTCTCACAATCAAGAACACATGGAGAAACAATTTTAGCATTTCAAATTCAAACTAAAACTTCAGTTTGATATATATATATATATATATATATATATATATATATATATATATATATTACCAACATTCACAATCATATCCCTCTGCACTATTATCTCCAAAAAAGTTCGAAAAAACAAGAACCTGTGCCGATGCCTGACGCATTTTTATCAGGTCTTCATTCATTTCCAACACAGTCTGATCCAGTAACTTTTCAGGGTCTTCAGCTGAGCTCACTATAGCATTTGCGTAGGACTGCACTCATTACACACCCCCGATGTTCAACTTTCAACTTTGAACTAACAAACTATATTGAGTAGCAACAACCTTGTCCTCTCTACCAAACCCCAATGTGTGAAATTCACTGATGCCAATACCAAAAAGAAGATTCGTGTACATAAATTAACGGGGACATAACTCAACAGATAACCATGCACTAGTACCACTGTGACAAACTTTGAGAAAGTTCCTCAACGTTCACTCTGCATTGACCCATAAGCCCACGACCTAGAGAATGGACTAATAACAAATCGTACAAAACGTAAGCTACATCCCTAGATGAAGCAGAGATTCATACCCTCACAATTCTGACCACACGCTCAAAAATATTCGCTTGAGCACAAAGGGCACCACCGCGTTTCCTTTGCTTAATTGAGTCCTCCACCGCAAGCGCGAGCACACAGGCTCCCACTGTCGCCAACCCCGATCCCAACATAGTTTAGTACAACAATTGTTAATAACAAAAGGCAAACCAAGGACACAAATGCCACGTCAACATTGTCAAGCTGAGTAACACGTAATTCCAGAAGTTTAAAGTCCATGCCATAGCTCTTAAAAGATTACCACCGCGAACAGCAGGAGAGAAGATATTTTTAGGCCAGGTTCAAACGACGAAACGAATAGTAACCCTAATGCAGAATGTTGTCAGATATTCTAAAAAGTCACAACCCAGCCAAACATGGGGCATCCAAACAATTACAAGACAGTTTCTAGACACAGTAGAAGCAGAACGATTCCTGTTTTTCATTGTAAGTTTTTAAATTGTTGCTGATTTCATTTCAATTGAATTTAGGAAAACAGAGGCTGACTTCAAAGCTTCACTTCGTGTCAAGCGCCATTCACCTGTCTCTGGTATTATTCCTAAAACATTCAAAAAAGAGAGAAATCGACGGTAAAATAGTATGACTGTATGAAACTGTATGAGGCAAACTACTAGATGTTGCTGAACACACATGGATCAAAATAAGAACGACGGCGTTCCAAGAGTAAGGAATATGTTAAATTTCGAATCCATGGCCATACCTCCACCATCCCAGAAGCTGGAATGGGTGGTCCGCGAGACAAAGGAGCTCCTGAGGACAAGGGCCTTGGGAGACCTGGCACGAGTACTGCTGTTGGATGACACAGACGCAGAGCAACTGAGGCAAAACGGAGAAGAGAAAGAAGCTCCAGGGCACAGTGCCCTCTTGCTGGCCACCAATTCCAAACCGGGTCCCACGAGTCCCAGCGCCACACCCGCCATGGCCACCTCTACGCAACGATTATCCAAACCTCCAAACTATCTGCCAAATTGCGCACCTCCTTTTACCTCCAAATCGTCCAATTACCAGGATTTCAAACCCAGACCTGCAAACACTTCCACCGCCGTCTCAGCGACAAACTGCAGCTGAGGTGAAAGAACAACCAAACGCCACCCCAACACTCCCACGAAACCAACCTCAGAAATCGGTTGCACTCACGCACACGTCGGAGGGACAGACAATGTTCCAAAAACCTGTCAATCAGAACCAGGTAACTAGACCCTTAACTCCCACATCAAACATTCGAAGGCTTAACAATCAGCTTTCAGTGAGAGCGATCATCGGAACCACCAACATGCCGTGCAACCCAAGAAAAACCAACCACCGTCGTCGTGAAAAAAAGCAACCGAATTCATTCAAGGAAATTCGTAACCTCAGCGATGGCTATTTCTGTCCATCTCGTTGCACAACAACAAAAAAAAACATACACCGACGCCCATCCTCGACCTCACAAACCAAACGCCACCGCAACACTAACAGAATCCGGCACCGTTCGAAATTTCCAGCAGCCCATCAGTGGAAACATTTCACCTGGGCGTTCGAGAGGTGGGCACGCAATGAGAATGCGGGATTGCATAGTGGGTGTGTGAGGGAATCTGGGAATTGCGAGGGAACACGAGAGAAAGAGATGGGCCTGGGCAGCGCGATCAGCGAAATCTGCAACAGACATGGCGATGCCGCCGAGTGGCTTCCCTACTCGTCGCCAGCCCCCGCTTCGCTGAAATCTTATTAATTAGATGAATGAGTGGGTTTATGGATGAACTTGTTTCGTCCACTGTGCTGGAGGATTCATGGATGAGAATATGGCGGATGAATGTGTGATGGAGCCATGGCCTCTGTCGCCACGTGGCCCACGGTTCGACGTTAAGTTCACGCATGAATTCTTTGGCTTCGAGTTTACATCCCCCAATAAAAATAAAGCTTTAACAGATTTTTTTTTTTTTTTTTTTTTTTTTTTTTGGTGTGTGTTTCCATATTGGGTTTTAAATAAAAATATTACATTGTGAAAAAATGGCTGTAAATATTCTTATTATGTATTTTGAAAGCATTAAACATAAAAGCACGAGTTTCAAAAAAATTACAAGTGTCCATTCTCGTTGGTTTGCAAATTTTGATCACTTATAAGCATTATTTTTGGATTCAATATTGTTTGATGAATCCTTTGAAAATGCAATGCAAATCTAACAACACTGGATGCTTTTTACATGAACATTTGAAATAAGCAATATATTTTATTTTGGTGCTGCAATAAATTTTGTGATAATGTATTACTTAACTTCATCATTTACATCTCTTGTTTGCATCGTTTTTTCTATTCCGATTTTTTAAAACAAAAGTATAAATACATTGTAAAAATGTATGAAAAGAAAAAGAAAAAGAAAAATTATCGAACTATTTTTTTTAAATCATGTATTTATTAAGTTTTTACTATGAAAGAACAAAATAATGTGAATAATTGCTATTTTCACACTTTTTTAAACACGCTGTACTTCGACTTAACATTGTTAATACTGTAACACGTAAATGCAAAAATATTTCATGTAAAACATCTTAGCAAAAAAACACTGTGATTCTACAAAATAAAATAGACCAAGCTTATTAGGTCACTACAATATCACAATATCAACTTTAGTGTAGAATGACCTTAAAACACCACAGTACAACAAGTTACATCTATCAACACTAAAATCAATATTAAAAAGGTTGGTGAATAAAATCCACACTAAAAAAAAAAAAAAAAAAAAAATCAATCAATCAATCATGCTTCATGAAACTTTCACAATGGACCAGTATGCAAGGCTTCCTTGCTCTAAACAAACAATCAAAAGTAAATATATATATACACGTACATACACATCCACATGTGTATATCATAGAAACAAAACATATTCTTCCAGTGTCATTGTGGGTAGTTTTTCTCCATCGAAATGCTTCAAGTTTACATCCCCCAATAAAAATAAAAATAAACCCACAATGCTTCAACATGGACATCAATTAGAGGAATTGATTTTTCACAGAATTAGTTCACCATCCCAAGCGGCAGCACAGTGTGCGATGAGCCAGCAGTGCACAGTCGTAGCAACATGAAACATGAAAGGAACAGGAAATAGAATAAAACTAAAAGAGACGAAGAAGAAGACGAAGGGCAAGAAGAGTAAGCTCAACAATCTGGCCTGATGTGAGTTTGTTTGTTTCACGAGAGGTTATGTGCCATTGCATCATCGAAGCTCGCCACAAGACCCTGTTTTTTCCTCACTGCTTCCATCAGCACTAGCGCAAATCCATTACCCAGTTGTGCATATTCCTGTCTTCTACGTGATAATCCAACGTTTGCTATAATACAACATTCGCAAGGTCGAGGGGGATCCATCCAGAGGCCGAATCCTCGTCGTCGTTGTTGCTGAAGTTGTTGTAGTCTTCTTCTTCTTTGCGGCAAATGGACCACTAACACACTCGGTCGGAGAATTCAATGAAAACCAGGTCTCGCATGGTGTTGGAATAGTAAATAGAGGGTGGGGATGATTGAGGTTAGTCAGAAGAGGGGAACGCATCTTTGACAGCAGAGGCGGCCGTGAGGTAGTTGAGAGTATTGCGCAGGGTTTCCTTCTCTCGTTTCAAGCGGACGGCGGTGTCTTCGAGCTCTAGGAGAGCTTGTTGCTCAGCAGGGGCGCCTTCGAAGGTGCTGCCAACCCAGAAGGAGAAGGGAGTCGGGAACAAGGATTTGCGCAAATCTTCGGGGACGTCCTTGTCCGGTTTGCCACTGACTCGGTTGGAAAGACGGATGACGTCTTTCATGTAGGTCTCCACTTCGGCAGCCAAGACTTCCACGTCCTCGGCCTCTCCCGATGGGCGGTCCTCGAGCCACTCGACCTCGGCCACCAGGTAGGGTTTAGTACGGACCATGTTGACGACTCGGAAACGCTCCTGGCCTTTGCAGATCATGAAGAAGCGGTCGTCGACAAGACGTTCGTGCTTGACAATCTCGCCCACGCAGCCCACTGCCGCCACTCCCACAGACTTGTCGGCAAAGACGATGCCGAATCTTAGGTCTGTTTGCAGGAGCGTGTGCATCATGATCCGGTACCGGAACTCAAAAATCTGAAGCGGGACAATTGCACCTGATGACATAAAATAGTCACATAAAATTAAAAATATAACATCAGTGATCCCACTATGCTACCAGCAACACAGAAAATTGTCCAAATATTTACATGTTGCAAGAAATGAGGGAAAGATGGACTGTACCTGGGAAGAGAACAAGTGGAAGGGGGAATATTGGAAGTTCGATAGGCTTTTCGGTAAGTATCTCTTCGCCACCTGCGGAGCATCTCACAGCTCCACACCGTTGCTTGGTAAGCTTTTGTGTTTTTTGAGAAGGGGCGGAAAGTCTTATAGTTCGATATGAACTCGGGGATACCAGTGATGACACTAATTGCCGTCCGAGACTTCTAGAAGTGCAATGGGACTCAATGTACGAGGATGAGCAAGTAGCAACGCACGAAGTCGGGGGAGGTCTTTGATTGCTCGTAGTCGTACAGTTGTGGAGTGCTGTGTAATGTGAGAGCTGCGTCGTCGTTGTCGTCGACACCATAGCGCACACTGAGACCTGCAGTCAAGGAAACAAACGCAAGTCAGGAATCTGTGGGTATTTGCAACGGGACTCTAAAATATCGACACTTTCATGTAAACCCATTGAAGTGAACTCCGGTAGCGCATAAAGACCTAGAACTTCCCGATGTATACCGTGACCTGAGCCATTGTGACAAGGATATAGATACAAATGGCTGAGAAAGTACACAATTCTGAACACTTTGCGAAGGACAGCGAGACCCGAATTAGTATTTGGTTCACACTCAAAACCTAAAGCTGCCAACACACATTTCCAAGTCTTAAGCTACCGGATCGACTTTGAGTTTCGTTTACTTGGCGTTGCGTCCACGGATTCCATGGATTAGAAAAGAACTCTCAGAGAGGGAACATAGAGTACGTCCCCAGAGTTTACAGAGTTTATCACAGATGCTGTCACAGCTCAATCTTATACTGGACTTGCAAAATTTTAAGTCGACAATGCGAATCACAGCAATCGCATCACTCGTAATTTTGGTGACATGTAACACACATCCCAATCTCCGAGTATGAGCCCTCAAAAATAGGAAAAGGGAGTGAAAAGAGACCGGATGCCGATACAAAGCCGGCATCGGAGAATGACCTGGCCCCTACTAATCAGACTGTGCGCTGGCTTCGAAGCGATGTCACGAGTTGAAATACATAAGGATAGATAGCGCTGAGCGTATTGCAGAAGGACGGAAATTAGCACGGACGCTGTTATTGGCCAATCATTGATCTCACTGTACGTTTAAAATGAAACAAACCTAGTCATGCAAGACTTAGAGGGTCGGAGAAATGGGCAAAGTTGATGTGCAAATTGAGTAGCGAACTTGCAGCTAAATTACGAATTATCCGCCCTCCACCCCCCTGAAAAACAAATTCGACAACTCATGCAGCAATGAGGTCCCGCTGCATATGCACATTTGCGTACGACTTAGGAACGTTACCATGGTAGGCAAAGTATGCGCAGCAGCTGGTAGAGCACTGAGCGTAGCTTGCAACAGAGCGCAACCGACCTACTTTTCCCCTGCCCTGCTACCACCACCCGCAGAACGATTTCAAAGTCCTGTAATCCACAATCCACACAATTCACAAATGCAGATCCTTCAGCAAGAGGCCCATTTCCCTCTCACCTTACCTCCTGCTGCACAAAGCATAACAGTCCCAGAAGCTGCCCACCCACCCACCCACCCAAAAAAAAAAAAAAAAAAAAAAAAAAACACACACACACACACGCAAGAACACGCAAGAATTACAGTTCACCTGGTCCTCAGCAGAAAACACCCCTCCTCCTGCTCCTGCTCCTGCTCCTCGTGGCTGCAAAGCGTCCAATCAACCCAAGAACGAGGCACCGTTGAAGCAAACAATGTAAAGCGCGAGGTTCGATTCAACTCAAGGGGGCTATGTCAGGGCCACCTCGACGACAAGGTGCGGAGAGCATGCGGTGATAGAGGTGGCGCAGAGAAGAAGAGCAATGCGGTGGGAATGAGTGTGGAAGGAGGAGCTTGCATTGTGGGACACAGAAATCCGGCGAGATTTGCAATTCGGGGGACGAGAGGAAAAGAAGAGGGGCAGTGAGTGAGTGAGTGAAAAAGCGGGGGTGAACGGAGAGCCAGATTATTATTATGGGGTGGGAGCCTCGACGTGGGGGCTCCCACTCCCTTTGTGGGCTTTGTGTGGAGTTCGGCTGACCTACGTGCTCGTGGCCCATGGCTTCATTGTCACCCCTCTTCATTCCTCCGATGAAGATGATGAAGACGAAGTAGAAGAAGCAGAAGGCGACGACTGGATGAGTTTGTGGGAAGAGAATGTATGCATGTGGAAGGTTCTCTTTTTAGATATATATATATATATACACACACATATATACATATATATATATATGGATGCACATTTTAAGTATGTGTGAATGTGTGTGTGAAGGAATTGTTGATGGATTTCATATGGGTGACTTTTGGAAAGTGTTGCGATGGTGAAATATCTATGCTCTTGCGGGAATGTGTTGAGGAATTCGATTCAGGGGATTGTGATGAAGAGGTGAAACGACGACACACACAGTTTTGTTTCTTGCACAGCATTGAGTGTGGGGGTCATGTAAATGAACATTAATCCAAAATGTGAGGATGAATGTTCAAGTGCAACTAAATCATGAATTTAGGTGATGTCACATGAACGAGGTTTTTATGTCTATTCTTCAATAAGTTTTAAATGTTGTTAACTATAACAAAATTTGAATTCAATAGTGTTATTATCTGTAGCTATCAAAAAAAAAAAAAAAATGCTTGTTTATATATGAAAAATTAAATACGTGAAGTCAAAATAGTGGCACAGTTTGCATAGAGCTGTGGATTGGTATTGGAAAATTGAAACATGATACTTTGGCTGCTCTGTAACAGGCGAGTACTACTACATGCAGACAACAACAACAACCATTTGTTAGCAAAAACTTTAAAATTAATGGAAATGAGAATTTTATAGTATTTCACAATTTTAATATATATTTTAAAAATAAAGATGGTGAGTTTATAAGAATCCGTGTATATAAAATTATAAATAAATAAATAAATAACTAATCATTCACTTAAACAATCTAGTCAACATAAAGGAGATCACAAGCAAGTAGTTATTTGAAGATGAAAGCAAAAGTATCTGGCCCATAAGAAGGGATATCGTACCAAAATATTTGCCTACTTATCCTACTGGGGGACACTCAGCCAAAATACTTTCCACGTCAGATCTGAGATGGCCAAATCGTGACCCTCCGTTCACCAACGGCACCGATGCATCGCAGCTGAAGAGGCCAGGAATGCTGAGCTCCATCACTGCGGAGACTTGCCGAGGGTTTTAGTTAAGCTATGGCGACTGCTCCTGGAGCTGCAACCCACGGCACTTGGTCGCGTGAGGTGAGTATGCTCGAATCGAATGTTTGGTTGCAGGGTTTTAGTGGCGGATTTCGTAAGGGAAATTGAATTCTAGGTCAATTGGTGCCTGATGCGGTAGTTTCGGGGGTTTTCGGGGTGGCGTTTGCTTGTTTTGACAGCACGTATCCTCCGTGGCGATTGCCGTGTTTGGTGACAACCTCGGCTGTAGAAGCGCCTCGCCTCTGCCTCGTCGGAGTATTGCTGCTGTGAGGTCGAGTGCATTGTTTACTCGATGCACACATGGATTCGATGTCTTGTGTGCCGACAGGACTGCCAGTGATCCTGTGGAGAGTTTCAATGTCGCCGGGTGCGAAGCGGATTCAGGTGGGAAGAAGATTCAATTGGACCAGAACGTGAATCAGAACAAGGTACCGTGAGAATGTCGAGTTGAATGTTTTCAAAATTTGCATTTCAGAAATGAAAATTTTGAGACTGTCTTGAACTGTATCCGCATATTTCTGCATAATCGCCCTGTCTATGTCCCTATTCCTCCTCAGGTTTCTCATTTTTTGTTTCCTTTTTTCCTACACATAGCAGGGCACTGATTTTTCTAGCGAGGATGTAGTCAGAGGTGGTGTCAGATGGGCCATTATAAAGGAGAGTGCGCTGTATCGCCTGGCTGGAATTTTTTTTGGCAGCGCCTTACTAGTTGCGAGCCTTGGTTTAGGTTTGCCAAGGCATGCCCTTGCCCGAATTGCATCTCTGTCACCAGCTGAGTCGTCATCAACATTAATTAATGAGGAGGATACAGAAATAGATATGACTGAAAAAAACATAGACAATGCTCTAGATGACAGTGAATTTGAATCTGCCAGTGCACCTGCACAATCTATGGAAGAGGAGGTAGATCCCGCAGAGCTTGTGCTATTAAGCTTCTTGAAGAGGCACCCGGAGGATATTAAAGCACTTGAGGGGCTGATGTATATACGTTTACGAAAGGGATCTGTTGCCAAGGCACTTGAGATCGTGGACGATTTACTTGCATTACGCCCAGATCATGCCCCCTGGCAGCTCGTTAGGGCGCAGGCCCTTGAATTTCTTGGTGACCTGAAAGCAGCTCGGCACGCTTTTGAGAAAGTTCTCGAGAAAGACCCTCTCTCAGCACGAGCTCTGCAGGCGAGAAATAATTGCCTAGTTTACTACAATCGTTTCGTCATATCTATTTTGTTTTGTGTTTCTTTGTCCGTGAATTAACCCGAGTATAACCTGAATTTCACCCGACATAATTTGGGGAGTTTCAGTGGAGGTTAGTAGCTTCAAGTCGTTCTTCTTTTTTTAATTCTTAACCTCCATTTCCCTGCTCTTGCGTTTATGAACTGGACAGGGCTTGGCAACCGTGATGTCTAAGGCGGGTGAAGGCGAAGAAATGCTGGAGATGTTGCGAAGGGCAGTGCAGACTGCAACGCAGACAGGAAAGACAAGGGAGTGTAAAAACCTACGCATGGTGCTAGGACAAATGTACACAGTTCAGGTAAGTTCTTTACATTCTCAAAGTATGGTAAGAAACGATATTTAACGAGAAGATTCGCAATGGGTCCAAGACTGATATACTACGCAATATATTCTGGTTATCAGTGTCGCTTCGTGATCATTCTCAAGTGCAGATTGTCTAGCGAAGCCTTTACTGCCGTATTCTTTGTCTTTGTGCTGAGTTGAATTTTATGGTCTTGTTGGTTATCAGGGAAATTTTCAAGAGGCGCTTGAACTGTACAAAGAATTAGAGAAGGAAGATCCAAAAGACTTTCGACCCTATTTATGTCAGGTACAGGCTCACCCTTCTTTTTTTCGTGCTTGAAAGCAGCATGAAAACAACCCTCAGATATATGTTTTCGCAAAGTGAAAGTAGTCAAGACCAAATATTGAAGTACTTGTAAGGATCTTAAGTTGGATCTTATCATGTATACCAAGGTTTGGAATTGTTATGTTTCCTTGCGTTGGATGGAGTGTGTGATCATTCCTTTCAATCATCATTTCTGTCTAATCGTGTAACAAACAATGTTTGACACAGGGCGTTATTTATAGCCTTCTGGAAGATAAAGTAAAAGCAGATACGGCATTTCTTAAGTACCGCAGGCGGTGCCCGAAGACCTTCCCTGAGCGGGGGTACCTCGACGATCTCATGATCGGTGCCAAGACCGAGGCCCGCAAAGCCCTAATAGTGGAAAAGTTGAAACCACCCAAGGGAAAGAAACAACCAAAGCCCTTACGACAGCCAATCATAGAGACTGGGGTCACGCAAAACCCCATGTCAGAGGAATTAGAATTAGACCAGGACTGAAATCTCGCTCAATTCTGATAGGATTCAGGAAGGTATGCAGCAGTAGAGCTTCAGTTGTAGTGCACAGTGGGCAAACGTTGCTCTGAATGTAGTACATATTTGGATTTCAGCAGCCATGCAAGCTTGTACTGTTGCAAGCAAGAAGCCGCATGAAATTCCAATCAGCAAAGTTCTAAACTTCCGTCGAACACATTTGCCTACCATCGTTGCGCAATGAATTCTATCATCATCCCTACATGCTTTTCCAAATCTAATTGTTTAACAAATTTTTGTTAAAAAATTGTTTCGCTGGAACTTTTGGAGGAGGAATTTGTGATTAGATTGCTGAGTCTGTGGCACGTAAGTATTTTGGGACGTATTCGGATGAATGATTTATCGTTCGCTATCGAAAATCAGGTGATGGTACCATTCGTTCTTGTTTTCCCGCTCTTGTTCCCGCTCTTATTCCCGCTCCCGCCCTTCATCATCGTCTTTTCCCATCGTCAAACTTCGTCGACGTTCGACATTTGCGAAGTATTCTGCGTGAGTGTTTTTCGCCGTGAGCTGTTTTAGGTCTTCTGTTGAGTGACAGGCCTTTGTGTGACGCTTGCGTTGAGCTCCATCTCATCTTGTTCGATAGAGAATCGTGGTAGATATTGTGGTTTCAAGCGAGAGGGTTAGGTTGTCCAGAAACTGAGAACGTCTGGTCGGAAAAGTGTTGGGGGGTTGTTCAGAGAGGGTGTATTAACCATGGCTGACATATCGAATCCTCGGCCGATGGTGAATTCGAAGTTGTTGAAGAATTACATGGGAAGGAGAGTGACGACAGTGGTGAAAGTCGCGAGGACGGAGGGAGGAAATGTGGTAGGAGAGTTGCCTGATGGTGCTCCGATCACGGTCAAGCAAGCGCCGCAGCACGTCGCTGCTCAATCGCAGTTCATGGAGGTGATTGGAGTCGTCGAAGGTGACCGCTCCTTGCGAGCTGAGACTTGTACAAGCTTTGGTGATAATTTTGGTAAGACGGGAGCTAAAACCCTTTCCATTCACTGATCTAATGCTGTTGCTGATAGATTGTTGCAGTGAGTGTAATCTGCTGAAGTAGAATTGGTTTTACAGAAATATTAACTGCTTGCGTAGCACGTTTTTCTTGGGCCAGGACAAGACTATGGTGTTTTGTTTCAAAATATTGAAGTCAACTGTATGAATTGGCCTCTTAATGATCCAGAGTGGCATCTAGAGGCTTGCCAGTGCAATGAAGATGTGGTATTAGGCATTTGCATCGATATTGGAGGCATCATGATTGTTGCATCTAAATATTTTTATTGCTAAAGCATAAATCCAGAACGAACTGCTATGAAAAGGGCGGAATGAAAATGTGAGAATACTTGTTAACTACACCAATCTAACATAGTTGGATGATATAAGTGCAGCTCAGCGCTGCTCATGGTGTGCCTCCTTGATTGTATTCTTGGCTTAGTAGTGTTCAGCGTCGAATGACTGCTCTAGATACTGAGTTATGTTCTGTGCTCGAAGGTGCAAGTCGTGAGCATTGTGGGCTAGAAGAATGGGTGAAGAATGTTTGTTTAGATGGTATATCTATTCTTAATTTTTGTCCTGAAAGGCTGCGAATTGTGTGCAGATATGTCTACATACAACGACCTGTGTCAACTCGCTAACATAGAGAACCGTGAGTGCTTCGTGTAGGCGCCACTCTTGCCTAGAAGTATTCGTGCCTTACACAACTTATCGCTCGGGTGGATGACGAAAGAGAAAAACAATAGACTTCCTTGTGGTTTTTGCAACTTCATGGATTCAGGAGCTCACGAAATGCAAGGCCTTGTTTTGAAAATCTGTGGAGGCATCACAGAACGAACAGCTACGGATTAGTTTGGTTTACAATGTACTTTTTTCTAAAGTTGGATTTATTTTCAGGAAACGGTGATTTCCTAAGTGGATCTGGCATGCATTTGGATATGATCTATGTGCTTGTAAATTTCGAGTTGCTTGCATTTTAAGAGGAAGGGATATGTCTCTTTATGTTGGATTCATTCATATCCCTTATTAGTTCCACTCTTGATGGAGGTGTGGGTGTTCTTTATATTTATGAAGAGAAAGCAATCAAGCAAATGTGCACAAAACAAAGAAGTTATTGTTTTCAAGTGCACTTATGCTGTTGATCCAAATAGCAAATATATGTTTGATGCAAGATGTTTTTTATATCTTTTGTGGATAGATATGTAGATCATGTCTTTATATTTATCTTTGTAAGTCTAATATGTTAGCACAATACTTTAAATTTAATTTTAAGTATACTTCAATGGAAGCAACATTTGGAGTTTTCAAAACAATTTTTATTTTTGTACCAATCTTTTATTGTATCAACTTTTTTAAATCATTTTTTATAGAAAAAAAATGCATCAAATTTTGCTTTAAGTGTAGTATTATTGTAAATAAAAGTAGATAATCTTCACCTAATAGCTTTTTATTTAAGAATTTTTTTAGTAGTCAAGATTAATTACAAGATTTACATTAAAGAACTTCTTGTAATTATAGATTTGTTCTAAAAATGGCACTATTATTAAGAAGGCACTTCTAATTTGATCATTGTTTATATAGACCACAAGAATTTTAAGTATTTTATGTTAGCACATGTTTTGAATTATTGCCAAGATTGATGGAATATATTTTTGTTAGGATTTGATTTAAAGATCACTTATCAACTCAAAAAACAACAAAGTTTGTTAGATTTCTTTTCAAGATGTTCTTATCTTGTACTAAGAGAAAGAAACACATCGTTTGATTAACAAAGAACGATTCTCTTGAAGTCAAAGCATTTTCATTTTCAAGCAATAAAATCAACATTGACTGTTGATTCAACCTTTCTCAAACAAATTCAATCAAGTATGTTTTTTTCATCATCTTATTCAAGATATTAAGAATCCTTCTTCTAAATCTTATGATGCTTCTAAGTTCAAGTTTAAGAACAATCTATTCTATTTTGAAAGACGTTTATATATTCATAAAAGAAAAACATGTTTACATATTCTTCGAGCATGTCATGACTTTTTAATAGCCAAATATTTTAGATACAATAAGACTTTGGAGCTTATATCAAGAGATTTTTGATGGCCACAAATGTAAAAGACAATAAAAGACTTTGTTCAATCATGTGACATTTGTTTAAGGTCAAAAAATCCTCGTCATTGATTCTATCAACTTCTCTAACTATTGCCCATATTTAAACAACTATAGTCTACTATTTCTATAGATTTTATCATTAATCTTCTAGTCTCAAGTTTGTATGATTTTATATTCATGATAATAGTTTATTTTATCAAGATGGCACATTTTGTACCATGTATAAAATCTATTAGAGATGAAAAAATAGTTAGGCTTTTTCTTGAAAACATCTATTGCTATCATGAACTACATAGGATATTATATTAGATAAGGAGATTTAATTTCCATTCAGATTTTTAAGAATCCTTTTTAAGATTTTAAAGGTAGATATAAAGTTATCTTTGGCCTTTCATCTTCAAACTGATGGACAAACAAAGTATGCTAATGAAGTTTTGAAGATTCATTTGAGATGTATCATCAACTACCAATAAGTTGATTAGACGACTCTTTTGCCATTAATAGAATTTATCTATAATAATATGGTACATTGTTTTATTCATTAAATATCTTTTTATGCCAATTATGATTATTATCCATGACTTGATGTCTTTGACTTTTTAAGAATTAATAATCTTATGGTGAAATATTTAACAAATCATTTATTAAAGCTACATGCAACAATGAAGGCACAATTAAAAAAAGCTCAAGAACAACAAAAGTTATTGTAGATATTTATGGCAAAAAAAAATCACAATTTCACGTGGATGACAAGGTATGATTAATTGGTCGTAATATCAAGACTACTTGCCCTTGTAATAAGTTGGACTATAGTAAGCTTGGACCTTTTTTTTGTTTGTAAATAAATCAATCAAATTGCTTATTAATTACGCCTATTGAAATTAATGAAGATCCATTTTGTATTCCATATGTCTTTTTTTGAATCATACAAGACAATGAATATACCAAAAAGAAAATAAGTAGCACTTCTTCTAAAAAAAAAAAAAAATAATGAAGAATTTGAGATAAAAGAAGTCTTAGATTCAAAGTTGCATCGAAATAGGTTGGAATATTTTATTCATTGGAGTAGCTATGATATTAGTAAATATACATGAAAGCCAATAAAAAATCTTACAAATATAATAAAGAAGGTAGAGGCTTTTCATCAATAATATTTATCAAAACTTAGATAAATAATAACAAATTTAAATTATAAAAGAAATTCGATCAAGAGAAAATAATATTCTATCTTTTATCTTTTTTTATAGCTTTTGTGTATATTGTAAGACTAAAGAGATAGAGAACCAACAACCAGTAGATTCAACTCAAGAGCTATCATTTGTTGACTTATTGCATGAAACATTGTGATTATTTTAACTTTCAAGATAATGTAATTGAGATGAAGATCTTTAAAAACAACATGTTTTTCTTTAAATAGATGGTAAGATGCAATGTGTTTGATATCATAACCTCAAAAAAGACTCTCAATGTTTGGTGATTTTGTTAGGGGTAGGAACAATCTCTAAAAATATTTCAAATATTTTATTTGAAGGAAGTTATGAAGACCTCAACAAAAATTAAATAATAAGGTGGTCTTTCTACCTAGGTATGAAATATTATTGATGGTTGAAAAGACCTATCAACTATCTTCAAAGAGAACAAAGATCAAAATAAGTAGCAAATATAATTTATAGCATCTTATATTTTTTTAATATATGATAATCGTGCTTTATAGAACTCGTCTTTAGAAAGAGAGGTAATATCACAAACATACATACTTACTTTAATAATTACCTATATGTAGAAATAGGTAAAAATAAGTAAAAGTAGATTAATTTCATAATATCTTCTAAAAAAGCTTCTTAGGAGCTTTTTAGATACAATTTTGACTTTACACATGTTTATAGTTGACTTTTAGCTTAGAAACTTGGTCAAGAAGTTAGCCACATATTACACATATGAGTAGCTTGTGGAACAAGCTAACTATGTGGTGCATACATAGAAAACTTGTCTCGCAAGTTAAGACATGCAACTTATAAAGTCAATATATATTAGATGTCCTATCAAATGTTGCCATGTAACTTTTAGGTGGATAATATATATAGAGGTAATAGTGAAGCCTTTTTCACACTTAGCAACTCCTTTCTTACTTTAATCTAGATTCAACAATCTTTAATTTTCTTATCTTTTGGCAATAGCCATTCTAGTTTCTTTTTAATATATATGTTTCATTACTTCTATTTTGTCATACTTTTTTGAGAAAAGTTTTACTTAGTTATTTTCTTTCATTGGATTTTTATCCTTGACAACATGTGTCTTTGAATTTAAATATGTATTTAATGATCTAAAAAATATTATTATATAATTCTTTAGTTAGATAATATATATAGGTAAAAGCGTGAATTCTTTTTTATTCTTGTAAATATTTTTTTTGTGTTATTGTCTAGTCTCTAGTCTCTAATCTCTAGTCTCTTTGTATTTAATAATAACCATTCAAATTTCTATTTTACATCTATTTTTGATTTGTTTACTTTTTGATTTTGAATATTAGAAGAATATATTATTTTTTTGAAGTTTTGTTGTGATTGATGTAATTCATTCTAATCTACATATTATTAAATTGTAACATATATCAATGATATTTGGATGAATTATAAACTTATCTAAATCTCACATTTTGTAAGAAACAAGTTATTACAATGTGAAGAGTTTAATTTGTATATCTTTCTTAAATTATATTTAAATTCATCATACACTCAAAGATAATGTTTCAAAGTTTTTAATATTTTGTTATTTTATAAGTCATTCTTTCTAATAGATTTATGCACATTGTTTTACTTCATAGACAATTTTAGAAAAAAAACCTTGTTATTATAAAAAAAAGTATTATAATAGTTACTTATTGTAGATAATTATCAAGAATCTTTGAATTATATAATATATATTGAGCAATTTCATTGAATCTTTGGAATGACACAAAGTAAATTAACTTATAGACTAGTTTTTTTTACTTATGTTGAAATTAAATATAAATTAAATTCTCAAAAAATAAGATTTTTTTTGTTTAAAAAGAAAGATTTTATGAAGATTTTGAATATTTTTTTAATTTTTTTAATCTACATCTTATTTATCATTTAATATTATAATTTTTTTCTAATTTTTAATTTTTTAAATTTTCTAATAGGATTATATTTATTATCAATCAATTCTTATAAGATTTTTTAATTATTTTTTATTCTTTCATTGTCCAAATATGATATACACCTAAATGAATGTTATGAAAGGTTCATTATATTTGTTTTAAAATAAAATAAAATAAAATAATATCTTTTAAAATAAATCTTAAATATATAATTAAAAACTTTATGCTTTTGGACTTTTGTAATATATCAAGCTTCTCCATGGTGATTTTTGTAATAACTATAATATTACATGATTTGACATAAATAGTTGTCTAGTACTCTATAAATTTCATGCAATATAATTGTTTGTGGAGTCCGTAACAATAACTTTTTAGATGGTCTATACACTACTAATTTATGTGCAATGAAGTAGAATATAGTAATTAATCAAAATATAAAAAAAATATTAAAAAAATTAGTAAGAAAAGATCTTATATTTTTCTATTATAAGTTGATTAATTCTTTAAGTTCCTAGATTGAATTATATTGCAATGTAGTTGAATTAGTAGTGTGTTAGTATTTCAATAAGTGCCTTTCTACCAAATATTTTTTACAAACATTCTTTTTTAATCCATGATATTGAATCTGACAAACCACTTGTAGGAGGAATAATTGTACCTTAAAGAAGTTTGATGATTTAAAAAAATCTTTTATTATTTATTAAAGTTGAGAAGATAATACATACTCAAAGCATCAAGTGTAAAGATATTCAAGATGAATGGACATTCTACAACTACATCATTCTTGAGTATGTGACATTTTTAAATTTTTTTGATGAGGTAGCCAATCATGTTTCTTAGTTAGTTAGAAATGTTGTAAAGATTTTAAAAGACTTTAGGATGTTATTTGCAAAAAAAGACTATATAGAATGTATAGAATTCTTATATTTATGTAATATTTGACAAGCTTGATTGGCTCATAGTTCTTGATATTTGTACTTTTACTAAATCTTTAAGGCAATAACAAAGTGTACCAATGACAAACCTTAGCAATAATAAATATAAAAAACCATAGAGGCTAATATTGCATTAGTTTGAACAAAAGGCTTACCTAAAATACATGCTTTAAACAAACAAATCCAAGTTGTGAGAATTACTATGTGAGTTGAATCTTACCAAAATGCTAAAATTATCTTGCTTTTAAATACTTCAAATTCATTTCCTGCCCTAGCTTCCTAGATTAGGGCAACATGAAAATGGATAATGTAAGTTGAGGCAACCAAAACAAGGATTGTGTACTTTGATAATGTGGCAACCTAGTTGCAACTATACATCTATCTATTCCCTATTGCAGGATGAGTCTTGCTGAAATGCTACAAGTATCTTTCTTATAAATACTCCAAATTCATTATACAGAAATTTACACCATTTTCTCAGGGCGTACAAGTACATTCACATGTGGAACCGACCAGTCATTCAACGAACGCCATCCAACGGTGGGATCTGATCGGGAACGATTGGACGAAATAATAAGGGACGAACGAACAAAGTCGACGAGCGAAGGACGAACGAAAAGCCTTAGCCGCGCACAGAGATCGTCGGAGGGACGAGCGTCGCTCGCACCGAGAGACACCACAATAATAGCATGCAAGGCTTGACAGCAATATCCACTTATTTCGTAGATTAGCTCCAGGAAATCTCTAATTGAGTGCAGATTTTCTGGAGAGGGTGTTCCGAGAAGGCTCTTTTTGCGTCATTGTTTCGCAGAGCCCCCGGCGGCTATGGCGAAGTCTGCGTCGAGCTGGTCCTCTGTTTATTCCTGCTTGGATCTTTCGAAATGATCACCCTAGCTGCTGCCTTCCGCCTGTAGTGTTGTAAGGTTTGTTAACGGCTACTTTTAGAGCTCTGCCGCGGAGGATGCAGGTCTCCACGGTGTAGACTGATGTGATTTGGATTGTAACCTTTGTTGTGGTCTCCGTAGAGGCTCCAATGGATTTTGCATACATATCTGTTTTATCGGGGTTCCAAGGAGTAGGAGTGTGACATTCTTAGAGGATCTATTCAGTTTTTTTTTTTTTTTTTTTTTTTTTTTTTTTAATTTTGTTTTGTTTCTGGTTATTATTATTATTATTATTATTATTATTTTCTTTCCTCCTTCCAATAATGAGAGTAATCTTTTGGTCTGAGTAATTGGAGTTGCGAATTTGGGATGGGTTTATTGGTTGGAAGATATTGTGGAGATGTGACGTCACTGCGTCGAAGGAGTCTGGAAAGGAAGTTGAGCTGCAGATTTGAAGACTTAGATCCTACAAACAGGATCCTGGCGTGAGGATGAGTGATCGACACTTCGCTGTCTAGATATAGTTAGGGTTCGCTTCCTCATTCTCGCATTGGGAGAGCTTCAATGTGGTGAGTTCTAAGTGCATGGAGTTATGGAGTTTCATTACCTTCGGTTGGAATAGCAGCTTTCCTGCTTCAAGGAGATTGCAAGTTTCTTCTTCCTGTTTGCTGATTTTGTCAGCAGTTCAATGCCTGTGAATGCTGTATCTAGGACTGGTGATCTATAGTTCAAGCAGTCTAAATTGACCACTGCTACTTTTGGCTTTGTATTGGGAAATCCTCTCCAGGGCAAGTGTACAATATTGCATTCGATCTGGACCGCCACATGATAGCTCTAAGTTTAATTCAGAGCACTTAGTTTGAGAGCTGAAGAAATCCTAGAACTGCAGACCGAGAGCTATGGCGAATGCTGAGGTGTTCGACTCATTTTTTCGAAGGGCGGATCTGGACCGAGATGGTCGTATTAGTGGCAGTGAGGCTGTTGGATTTTTTCAGGGGTCCGGCCTGCCGCAAGCTACACTTGCCAAGGTGTGTTGCTATTACTTTCTTTTATTATTTATCCTGAACTGAGTCATCTAGACGTACTTGAAACGCCGTTCAGTTCACTGTTCGAGTAATCATTCAATAAACTTTTAGTTTTACAACAGGATTGTGAGTTTCATTTAACTATCCTGGATCATATATGTGATAAGAATCATGTCTTTCTTTTTGAAATAGTTTGATTACATTCCTTGTTAGCTGACTCAGAGAAACGTAAGTTTTAAGCGGATGCATGAGCTTTAGGCGAAGGGGCATAGTCGCTAGTGAGAAACCAAGAAGTAGCGTCACAGTTGAATAGCTGATTCTTTATGATCTTAGAATTATACCATTTGTAAAATGGTTCACTGAAGATCAGGATTTTTCGCACAAATTTGTTGAATTGGTGCATCTAGATAACGAGTCCAACCGTGGTTTCAGTCTTAATTCATTTTAACCTAGGAACTACTGTCCATATGATTTTTACCTCAATGGATAACTGAATTGCCGATTAAATTGATCTTCAGGCCTTTTGAAGCAGTTCGAATGTTTATTATTTTAGGTTTTTCACTATTATATTGAGAATTGTTTAGGGATATAGAAATACGAATAGCGTGGGGTTAAATATGATTTTGATAACGCTGGTTCAGTAAAATATCAATATCTTGAGCTACATTTTCTACTACTATTCTAATCATTTGACAGGTCAGAATTGTTAAGAGGCTACAAAATGTGTCATGTTCATGCGGATACTCTCTGCATTAGTTTAATAATTTTATGGATAACTGCTGTTATGTGAATATGGTGGAGAATGACAGGGTTCCTTGAATTGTGCAATTTGCATCTTCTACGTGTCATGAAGTTATTTCATTCAATATTATGTGCACTATTTGCAGATTTGGCAATTTATAGATCAAAATCGTGCGGGCTTCCTTTCACGTCAGGAGTTTATCAACGCGTTGAAACTTGTGACGGTGGCACAGACAGGGAGAGAACTTACTCCAGAGCTGGTGAAAGCTGCCCTAAATGGTCCTACAGCTTCACAAATCCCCCCTCCTCGTATCAATATACCAACACCACCTCCCTCTAATTTTGGTCAGACTCCTCCAGCTCAGACTCCACTTACAGCCCCACAAGTTAATTATGGACAGCAGTTCCCGGGCCAAAGCGGTCATGGTCAGAAATTTGGTTCACAGGGAGGGTTGGGCCTATCGCACTCTTCACTGGACAGTGGTATTTCACCAGGGTCTCAGCTTCAAGGACGTCCCTCTTCTGTTGGAAGTGTGCCTCAAGGGGGATCTATAACGCAAGTACCACCCAGGCCAGGTTTTTCTGCTGGTGCTCCGGGAGTGACACAGACCAGGCCTACTTTAGGGGGTCTGATGGGAAGTTCCTCTCTTCCGTCTGGAGCTCAGTTTTCTACCGGTTCTAGTTTATCCACTGGACCTGGATTTCAATCTTTCAGGTTCTCAAATTTTAGACTTGCCTATTTGATTTTATGATTTTCTGTGCTTCCGGGTACTTTTCCCTCTTTGAAGAATGTTATAATACGTTTTAAAATGTTTTGTGTAGTACATCTTTCGTAAGTCATCCGATTTTCCAGTGATAATCTCTCTCTCTCTCTCTCTCTCTCTCTCTCTCTCTCGCTATATATATATATATATTCATAAATCTCTAAGATAAATTCGCAAATTTTTGTTTTGATACTTCAGGCCTGATTCTCTTGGGCCTACGGGACTAGTACCTACGACCCTTTCCTCGTCATCCAGTTTAGCTCCTAGACCTTCTGGAGTTTCACAGACACCAAATCTAGGTTCTGCTTACGGTGCACGACCCCTAAGTGGGCCAGGGGTGACCCCTCATTGGCCGCAAATGAGTGCAAATGATGTCCAGCGGTACACACGGGTGTTCAGTAAGGTGGACACTGATCAAGATGGGAAAATTACAGGGGAGCAAGCACGCCAGCTTTTTCTTGGCTGGAAACTTCCGAGAGGTTTTTTTACTGACCTACTAGTTAGCTGATGGTAGTTTCTTGGAGATTGCGGCCTTCGGCACCTTATATTCACACAATTTGTTCCAGTTTGAATTCTAGCAAAAATATGGATTACGTTTTACCAAAACATTTTTTCTGTGAAAAGGTACATTTCATGCAATTAGGTAGTTTTGGTTAGTTTAGGGGCTGCACATACTTTTGTGTCTTCGATCAATATACACAATTTTGACGAACTAGTCCGAGTTATTCTCGTGCTGACACTCAATTAATCGTCAATGTGGACTCAGAGGTTCTTAAGCAGGTCTGGAATCTTTCCGATCAAGATGGTGACAGCATGCTATCAATTCGCGAGTTTTGCACAGCGCTTTATCTGATGGAGCGATTCAGGGAAGGTCGACCTCTTCCTCCAAGTCTTCCACCAGGGATTCACCTTGATGATCCCCGTGCTCCTGAAGGACAGATTCCTGCAGGTCAGCGTCCTGGCTATGGAAATTCTAATTGGCAACAAGGTTATTACTTATCTTAATCTCGTTCTGTTTCTTAGAAGTGGTTTTCTAGTTGTGATCAGAATGTAATTATGTTCACAATGGTTGTAATTATAACTCCCTGCATTCATGAAGACTTAAGAGATCCTGTTCCACTTAGGTTTTCTTAACATCTTGAAGTCGTATATTATGTATCCACCTATAGTTACTAACAAAATTTCGTCATTTTGTGAACCTTTGATTAGGTGAGCGTTTTCGGGTGGTTCATCTAGTAATTGTTTCCCTTTACATAACGTTTATTGTTTTTTCAGGGAACATGCAACAGATGGGTCCCGGTTCTGCTCCTATTCGTCCTACGCTTTTGACTACACCAGCAGGGCAGATGCATCTCCAAAGTTTAACATCCAGCGGTGCAATTAGCGCTGAACCTCCGAAAGATGCCTTTGGAGAATTCAATTTTTTGAATAAAAAGAAGCCATCTTATAAAGAATTGCCAAGTTCCATGCCTGGTCCGAATTCCATGCCAAAAGAGATAGAAGTTTCTGTGAATAAAGTACGTAAAACAAAGTTATTCTCATCGTGGCTGTCTCTCATATGATCTGCTTATTATTCATTTAAGACAATTCTTGGCTATGAATCTGGATACATGATAAGAGGTTGAAAATTATTTTGTTTAATTCTAGATTTCTTATCTTATTTTTTTTTATAAAGAAAATGTAGTTTGTTACAACTCTACCGTGTCATGCACAGGTTACCACAGATAGGAGGATGATGGATCAAAGAGAGAAGTCAGCGTATTATCGAACCAAACTTCAAGAAATTGTGAGCTCTCAAATCTCATCATTATCACATAATATGTTGTTACTATAGTTTTTGTTGCATGATGGAATGCACCATATATTGTTTAGTATACTTCTCAGAATGGTTCAATTAGTTCGACTTCAGTTTTAGGGCTGAGATTTCATTCAATGAATTCTTTACTAAAGACTGATCTCTTCGAACTTACCAGGTTTTGTTCAAAAGTCGTTGTGATAATAAGCTATCAGAGATTACGGAGAAAGCTGCTGCAGACAAGCGAGAGGTTTGTTCAACCGGTTCTTTGGTTCCATTGTGGTTGTCGTACTGCATGTATATTGTCGATCAATTTACTCAAATTTTACCTGTAGATTGGGTGTTACAAAGCTGTGGAAAGCTTATATATATATATATATATATATATATATATATATATATATATATATTTGGTTGAGGAGATTGCTTATTTCTTTGATGGAGCTGATCTTGTTACTCTTAAATAGAATTTTGTTATAGTTTATTAATGCTATTACAACTTTAAATGTATTAGGCCGCTTCCTCATATTGTCATTATTGATGTTTTCTGTGTGCTACAGGTGGACTCATTGGCAAAGAAATACGATGAAAAGTTCAAAGCTGCCGCAGAAGTGAATGCTCAGTTAGCTGTTGAGAATGCGAATCTTCGAGATGCCCAGGTACCTTGCCTGAATGGCTTGTTCGAAACAATAGTGTACGTTTTGAACTTGATTAGGAAATACTTGAATTTCCTTGATAGTGTGGATGTGCTTTCTACACGATGGATTTTCCTCATTGATGGCCACTTTTCTGTATGATTAAGGAGAAGAAGAGGGAGCTTCAAGATGCTCTTTTCAAGATGGAACATGGTGGTGACCCTAATGCCCTTCTTCAGGTACTATTTACATTTTCTTAAACTGCTGAACTTGTTTTAATTGGATGTGCACTTACAACATCTTCCTTAACTCTTGTGACATTGAATTTGATTAGAATCTCTTTGTTATTTATTAATTTATATTTTCTGTTCTCTCTAGTAATTGATGTCAGAAGATGCTGTTAAAAGCACTAGTTGAAAGCAGCACAGGACAGGATGCTCTACTGAGCTGAGGTTCGTGTTTTAGAGTACAACATGCGTCTGTTTTAGTCTCAAAACCTTCTGCTAGTGGAAATGTAGTGGGCTCTAAAACGTGTATTTTAAGATAACGTCATCGCAATCCTGCAACTGTTTTTATTGCAGAAACGAGCAGACCACATTGCAACTGACTTGGATAAGTTAAAGAAGGCACTCCGTGATCGTGGTCAACTTCTAGGCGTGGAGGTCAAACAAAAAATCCCCAAGGAGATGCCGTTTGGTGAGCGCACGATATTATGGATACATTGCAAGTATACTGTGAATTTTGTCTTGATGTACGATGTTATTCATACAATTGAAGGCAAAGATCGTCTCATGGTCTACGATTGTATGCCAGGCTGGATGAAAAATCTCGAGGAGAAAGCTGCTGAATGGGATGACTGGGATGATCTTATGGATCGTGGTAAGACTTCCCACCATAAAAATGAGCATATTTGTTTTTATTTTTTTGTGTGCATGTGGCATCTTCTTGTCATTCTCGCTTGGCTTGACTTTATGTATGCTAATCATGCAGGAAACAGAGCACCTAGCTTATTCTGGGTTTAAGTCCTTCAAGTCTTGCTACTAATGCATGTTAGGGCTGTGAAGTCGATAGATATATTTTTTTTCTTACTTTCTTTGAAGATTTCGTCAAGATACTAATTTATATTTTCGGCAGACTTCTCTGTGATTGAAGATCTGACAGATCAGTCGACCACCGCGGACAAGCCTTCTGCTGCCGCCAGTTGGGGTAAAGAGGAAAACAATTCAGCAAAGATTGACTCTTCTCCTGCCTCTGATACCAACACCAACCAAGGAAAGGAAGTTTCTTCTACCCCTGAGCCATGTGTTCCAGACAAAACTTTCCAAACCCCCAATGAAGTCTCACCAACAAACGAAGCCGAGGTTTCTGCAAGTGCTATTTCGGCTTTAAAGCCTTCCTCTGATGTAAAAGCTGAACTTACCTCATCAGTTCCAGCAACCAAAGCCAGTGGAAGGTGAATCTATCCCCGTTCTTGTTGTCAAGTTGCAGCACACTATTTGATTTGAATTGAATTGTTTACAGTCGACATTCTAGGCTTGTCTGCTCTCTCAATATTTTGAAGCTAGTCTTGTATACTCATGGTAACATGTTTCGCTGCCGTGGATAAGTTAAATCTTAGTTATCTCTTAGACGCTACACACTTTTCATAAGTTTCTTACATGTTCCTGGTTGTACAGATATGCAAATATAACAGAGTCGCAGGAGTTTGGATCATACTTGTTTGACGGTTCAACACCTGCAAGTTCTCCTACGAGCAGGTTTGTTTGAGTTTTTTAGCTCGTGAATTGATGTTGGTTGTTATTTGACATTTTACTCAATTTTACCAAAACAAAACACTGGTTTCGATTTTTGTTGCCTTTTTTGAAAGATTATTGATTGTTTTCTGCAGTTCGGAAGTTGGGCGTGGGTCTTTCACACCAGATGCCTTCGCTGGAATTGGTTCTTCTTGGGGATTTGGATCCAACGAGGATGATGTAGATTCGGGTCCCCGGGCTTCGTGGGGTCAACCGAGTAATCCGCCCAGCACTCAGGTTGATATTGTTATTTCGAAAGCTCCTAAATTCTTATGATAGATTTTTTATATTCGATTTTGTCAGGATTTGAATGATATTATTCAATTTCCTTGGATTATAAGAAGTTGCTTTCACATCATGCTTCTGCTACAGAGTAACTAGAGCCCTAGGTGGGAATCGTTCATTATGTTGCTGCTTCAAGATCCGTGGGTGTTAGTGGATACTTATTCATTCTATATATGGGTGTAGGCTTCTTTCGATGTGACAAATTCTCGTACTGGAACGCGATTTAGCAAATCATCAGGTTCCTTCGACTTAGGCTCACCGCGAACTTCAAGTGTTGATGGAACTTCTAGCCCCGTAAGGGCCGCAGAACGAAATGGGACCAACCAAAGTCATGACTTTGATTCCTTCGGAGTTTTTGGCTCCAAAGATTCTAACAAGTTGTCCTCATTGTTTGGAGGAAATTTAAGCCCTAAAGCTGCTGCTACACCTTCTTTATTTGGTGGCAGCCCTAAAGCCTCTAAGCAGGATGGTGATTTCAGCAGCTTCTCGAGATTTGATTCTTTTGGACCTGGAGATGCTGTAGCCCCACCCAGAGCTTCAGGTTAGCAGACACTGTATGACCACTTCTTTTGATCATTTGTGGTATGTTCCTTACCAATCTATTTCGAAATTATACGTGGTATTTCCTAATATGTTTAGTTGGTTTTGTGTTTGCAGCAGCAGGTGGAGATCATCCCAGCAGTCTTTTTAACCGATTCGACTCATTCAACAGCGTCCAAGGTGATGGAGCAAGGGGCAGTGGCTTTCACTCAGATGATGAATCAAATATTTTCTCTGCGCCCAAACCTTTTAGTGCGAAACAGTCACATGTATCTGATGGCTGGAAAGCTTTTTAGACAACAGTGTAGTTCATGTTTGCCTCCGATTGTATGCTGCTTCCTGCTCTAGCACGCCTAGATAGTCTTACTGTTTTGTGGCTGCAACTATTACTTCACAAGTGTCCCCACCATTCACATTCCACAACTTGGTTTGAATGAAGGTTTGGTTCAGTTCTCTTCATCCCAGAGCTTTGTCATTTGGACATCAATCCTTTCTTTGGCCTAGATAGTAGATTTCTATTCTTTTGTTTCTACACCTTGATTTCGAGTAAATGATATCGAACACGGTTGTAGAGTTATGCGAAGGAATTCTCTATTGCGTATGAGAGTAACTATTTTTGTTTTGAATGGTGAGTTATTCAGTATTTGATGAGATGATTTGTTTATAGTTTTTATTGGGATACGGACTCTGGGTTTGACTCAAAATTCACATATTTGAAGTCTTCGGAAATCAGAGGCACAAAACCAGGAAATTGTCCTAAATCTTGATAGCATCCAGTAGCTCAGAATTAAGGTGTTTGAAATAGACTTTTGTGGACATTAAAATTTAAAATGTTTTCTAAAAAGCTTTCTCTAATTTAAGGTACCCTTCTTTTAAAACTTTCTTAAAAGAAGTTATTTTTCTTGTAATTATCTCTTTTAAGCCACTCCACAACTTCACAGTGTTTTATGTTATTGGTTATTGCAAGTTTTTTGTCTTATAACTCCTATACTCTTATGTTTCTCTGAATAATATTGTCTCAACATAAAGTCGTCTTGTGCATGCAAGTATCTATCAAGAATTCGTGTTAAAACAATTCGTGTTGATTTTAGATGAAGAAAATAAAGAAAACAATCATCGTCGGAATGGAGTAAAAGAAATTCAAATCTAAACCGACAGGAGTACCTACATTTTTTACTTTTATTTTAAAGCTAGTTTTTCAAAACAATGCATTAACATCCAGCGAGTTTTCAAAACGGATAACCATGCTTCGACTCCTAAATATTACCCACTTCTCTATCCCTCATCATAATTCTGTCGCTTTCAGATGTCCAGAAGTATGATAAGCTAAATCACTCTGATCCATCCACATAGTCATTGAAGATGGAATATAAAATTTGCAGCACACATACATATTAATGAAAATATGCATATACATACATACATACATGTAAAGTCTAGTGCGGCCCCCATGTTGAAGTGAACAATTCCAACAACGCAGTAAGCAACGAGATGTTCCACGTTTCATCGTGGGATTCAATCAAACCATCATCACCTAATGTGTAGCGTGTAGATCCTGCATCATCAACAACAATCAACCCAGTTCAACCGAATTGCAAATTTCTGGGAAAAATGAAACAGAGCATATCAATCGGATAGAAGTGGAAAAAAACGAGTGGAGATGATATCCTTCGGTTAAACTAATGCTGAAGTCGATGAATTTTTACCTTCATACGGCGTTATGTGAGGCTTCCATGGTAACTTCAAGTACCTGCAGGATTAAAGCATGCACTTTCTGAGCATCATGCAAGCCTTCTCTTGGCTAGTGAATAACCAGAAGCTAAACTTCTCCGAAAGTGGAAGTACCAATCTAGCAACCAACGTTCCTCAGCTCAATTACGGGTGCTTGGACCGGCTCTCGAAATGACAATCATGTTTGCGAGGAAAAATCTGATTAACAGTCCAATAAATGTTTCGGAATTAGAAATACCCGCCCAGCCGCCAATTGACTTCGATAGTACGTGGCCCTGTGACATCTATGGAGAGCAACTCCTGTTGAGACAGATCAGGATCAAATAGCAATCTTACAGCCGCCACATACTTGTTCACTCCAGTGACTACTGTAGTTGGATCCGTGAACCTACAGATAACGTCAATGTTGTTAGCTCAAACAACAATCTTCCAACTTCAACTCTAACTAGTGGTTCAAAAGCAAACATAGTAGCGGTAGCGCTACCTCTCAACTATCAATTAATGCCAATAGTGCAAGCCTAGCACATCATATATAGTTTTGTCGATAGTTGGTTGCTGTTGTGTGTAAAGGATAGTTACAATTAAATGCAAAAATGGCATGACTGCAACCTGGGCACAAACAGGATTGTGAGACATACTTGCAATTATCTCTGTATATGCTCGGAGTCAAATTCCCCGTAACGTAATACTGGCCTTTCCTAATGTCGTTCTCAATGATCTCCTGAAGAGACAACATAAAATTTTGTAAAGCACTGAAAACACGAAGGACAGTACAATCAGAATGAATAAAAAATCGACCCCTAGATCTGTGGCCAGCTATATAAGCTGCAAGCATGCTGGTGGAGCGGCTCATCATGTTCGCGACAATATTTAACAAGATGGGCAACATACTTCCCTTCCATCAGAATTGCGCAATCAGTAAGATAAAGCCGCACATAACCAAGTGTCACAAGGAATAATGCAAAGTTAACGGAGTAGTTGTTGTAGATAACCTATTAAATTTTTTTATCCCAACATGTCGTAAAAAGATCACAACCATCATACAAGAAGTGTCTCCCAAGTATGATACACAGTGAGGAGGCTCCTAGAAGCAATTAGAATTACACACGAGACATTGCAACATACTTTTGGAAAACAGTTGGCTGATGGAAATGTAGAAATCTTAGCTGGGATTCCAATCAGTTGCTCATAACTCATCAAATCAAGATTGCTTGTCATCCAGCTAAAAATATAAAACTGAGTCGAAAAAAGTCAAATAGATGAGCTCCACACCTTCACTTGCTCAACGCTAAGATTAGTTTGCTTCCCTTCCGTGAATGCATTGGCATAATGATTCTGATTCCAAGCTCTGGAAAATCCGATGTCTCCAGATACACCAGCTAGAAAGGCGAGGGCATCTCGCCTGGAAAATTGCGCAGCAGGTGCCTCTCGGTCGTCAGTCCCTACAGCCCTCTGGTGAGGATCACACAATGATCAAACTTCAAAGATCTTATGCGAGCATTTCCTCAAACGCTGATATGCTACGAACACAAATAATAACTTCACATACAGCAAGGTCCGAATTCTCTAGTTACTGGCCATGACGTGAGCTTCTTTGAGTTCTTCCTCATCACACAAGTTTGTATTGCATCGCAATCCCACTTCATAGAGTAACCTGCTGTGGAATTAGAAAGGTAGAGGCTAAACGTACTCGTTATCCCATATAAGCTAAAAGGAACCTTACCCTGCGGATACAAATCAATTCTACGTCTCGCTGATTGTCATGAGCTTGGTCTCTTTCAGTCAAATTTTCACAAGATTTAAGTCCTGAATAACCAACTATTCTTTCAGAGATTCCTTTTTTTCTAAATAAAAGACGCCCAAACAATGAATTCCAGATTTTCTCCATGCAATCTCAAAATCTTATCTCACGCAAATTACAATCCCTATTTTCAGAACTCCGCAATTCCAATCCAAACGGATTTCTAAGAATATCAGACAAAGAACGGGAGCGAGCCAACATCAAACTCCTACCAAAATTTCATCAGGAGCCGCAGGACAACATCACAAAAAGCTCACGTTCAAAGCAGAAGGCGCCGTGAAACTCCGCGATCGAGCTGAGCGGGAGAAAAAGGGGGAGGAAGCCACGAAATCACATGTTCTAGAGGCAACACTCTTCTGCTGGAGGATGAAGCAGGGCGAAGAGGTCGAAAGTATAGCAAGAGTCGCCATGGCCATGGCCAGAGCAACAACAACAACACTGGTCTCCGATGCGCTGCAGTTCACAATCTGTCTGAAGGCAACGACGAACTCACGAAGCCGATGACGATGGCGTCAGCATTCGTCGATACCCATCATCCATTCCTCGGTCTTTATTTGGCATGAGAACCCGGGATCCTCACAATGAATCCATTTCAACAGTCTCAATCGCACCCTTCGAAGGCTCCAGCGCCATCCCTGCAGTGGAAAATATCGTATCTGATTGTACCTGACTGTGGACTTCACGAGATTTCGGTGCGCACTGCCTGAATCACCCACAGTTGCGCTGCCCGCTGCGGCGAAGTTTTTTGCGTAGAAAACCAGGATTGAACATTGAACTGAAAACTAAAAGCTGTGGCGAGGTGATTTTGATTCCAGTACTTTTCCAAAGTCTACAGGTCAATTGTTGGCAACCAAAGTCGCAGTATTACCCCATGTTGCCGACATGAGTTATAGGCTTCGACCGAAGATGGGTCATGCTTCGTAGGCTTCGATGAAACAGAAACAAGGAAACTTCATGTCTCTTCGAACGCACTGTGCTTAAGCATACTTCGATATGAAGCATCATCTTGTTCGGATGCTTCACTTTAGCTGTTCTACTGAAGATGGTGCTTGTGTTAATTCAGTCTTCAGATGTTTGTTTTTCTATTGGCAATAGCTGTCGATGAACAGAACGCTAAACATCTGTTTTTGTATAATCCAAGTGATATAAAAACGGAAAAGCAGAACGTGCATGTCGATGTGCTATTATAAAAGCACCTTTGAACCGAACTATCAGAATTTTTTTAAATAAAAAAGCTTCAATGAGATTGAAATGATAGTTTCAAGAAATAATTAATTTTAGTACAACTCATGGATGATAGGTTCAGCTTCGCAACATTTTGTGGAAAGTTTTCTGCACGTAACAAAACAATTCAAACATATAATGATGAAAGACTGCAAACAAGTACAAGGAAGCTTAATATCACAGTCGGCAGCATTCCAATGATAGATAAAGCTTAACTGGGTTGTACAAGCAACAGCTCTAACCTACAATTTAGAATGACGGCTCTACACATTCAACTATTGCATTCATAGCCGTGTAGTATACCTATAGAACAGAGAACCCACCAAAAGCATGGTGTGAGGTTATGAGATCCACTGCAGAGCTGGTCTCCATTGCCGATCAGCTCCTAACACAATTGGGCCCTCAACTATGCCACACAAACATTTCACGCAGGGATGTACCCCAAATGTGCTCAATCTTTTCCCTCCCCTGTTGAGATATACTTCTCCAGCAGCATCAAACCCAATTCGGTCTGTGCTTCAGTTGTGAGATGAATGTGGTCGCTCAACAACGGAAGACCAAGCGCGTCCACCAGGTGCAGATGTTTCACATGATCAAGTGCAGCTCGTTGGGCACTCCTCACTTTATTAACATACTCCGGATGCGGGGCAGCAGGCCAATTTATCGCCACCTAAGGTGAAAGTATAAAGCGGAGAAATTTAAGGAACGAACATAAGGTCAACATAAATCTCAACCTGTAAACTCGGCGTCAGAAGAAGACCCCAGTGATCATCTCCAATCAAGTCAAGAGCTGATGTCAGACGTTAGAATTCATAGACAGCAGGCAATAAATTTGCTGAAATGCCATCCGAATAATTGGAATGCCACTCACTTGAATAATGGGAAGGTTGTGGTTGTTCAGGTCCGTGCGCACATGGTTGAAGAAAGTGACCAACCTCTGCTCGTAATGATCCGCAAGGGATTTCTCCACGGCGTCACTTTCGCCTTGATACCACAGAAGGGCTTTCAGGGTGCCGCCTTTCTCAAGAGCTGCCTTGGTTCGCTGTATCATATGGTTGTAGAGCACCCGGCCTTTTTCCCATTGTACAATGCTCGTACCACCGATGGCGCATGGCACTAGGCCGATCTGTGGACCTGTTGGCTTGACCTTGTATTTTCGAGCTCTCAGAAGTGATGCTGCGAATACTAAACCGGGGCCAACACCGCAGGCCTTACCTGCAAGGAGAAGGGCACTGCTACCGTGTTCAGGCATCGCAAATAAGGGTGGACAAAACAAGCCTGCGACGAATTGCAATAGCCATTTGCGTAAAGAATTGTGTCAGGGCTGGGTGGATCAGCATCGTACTGGTATCAATGTCTATGTGAGTAGGCTCGTGAGCCTCTTCCCACTCCAGATTCTTGTTCAGCCTCAGAATAGACCCAGGCTCAGCTGCACATTCTGCAGGGACGATCCCATCCCACTTCCTGGACGTGGATCCGTCCTTTGCAACTATGGTTTGCATGCCTCCTCGTCCCGACATGTTGCTCTGTCCCGACAAGATGAAAATCTCGAAACCCTTCGTGCAGTCGGCCATGGTGATCGCACTCTTGCCTACCACTTGCTTGAATGACGAGCAGACACTAAACCTTGGATAGGTGTAGGGCAATCGGTGGCGGGGGCAAACAAAGCCGATATCTACACACACAGCCAATCTGGTAAGTGCTACAGGAGCCCCTGATTGAAGTCACGTTCAGATCATGGGAAAAAAAACGCAGTCAACAAACTCCATCACAAATATATGAAGAAAGACCTCACGTCAGGCTTTCCTGGATATAGTTACCTCGACAAGGGACTCAAAAAACTTAAACGGCATGCGAGGATTCCCAAGCTTCCATAGCTTCTATTGCAACCTAACTGAGGAACATGATCCAGGTCATAGTTCTTGGGTTCGCCCGAAACCCTAAGTAATGCTTGCCCACACCTCAGCGGCTTTATGAAAAGGCATTTTCTAAAACTGCGACTCTGAATTATCGTGCACCTGAAGTTTTCTGCTCGGATACGCTCTGCTTCAAAGCAACGGTGGAACTGAAAGCCCACGCAGCTTGATCTAGAAAGAAAATCACAACAATGAGATGCGTGACTGGGAAAACGGCCATAATTGCTACATTTTAGCTTCCCGAGGGCCACAAGAGTGTGCGAGAAAATGCAGATTGTGACCAGTTTCCATGTCAGAAACCTCCAAACACATCGAAATTTGAGGGTCACGAGCATCTTGAGGTGAGAAGACAACTTCTCCCAACTCGCATTGTGCTTGTCACAGGTTGGGTGATTCGATCCGAGCTCACAAACAATCGCAACCATACAACGCAACCATGAGATCTAGAGAAATCTAGTTGGTTGCAAATCTATCGTCACGCATCTCGTAAGCTTGCAGAAGAGATGCAGGTTTGAGCAACCTCACATACAACGACTGTGCAAGGTTCCCATTTCTGATGTATACTTACACAATCTGTAGGAGTGATCGAAAGCATCACTCCCCCAAAAAACTGATGCTCTTCACTCGCCGGTGCTTTCGCGTAAGTCGTTGCACACTGCCCCGTTAAATTTGCGTCGCAGGCACAACGATGGCGCTACTTGCCTCCTATATTCCTCCGTCTCTCCGACCGAAGCTAAGGCCCTTCTATGAAGAACAGAAAGTTGCATTAGGCCCTGACCGTGAACGAAAAAGTCGAGAGAACACCAGCACAATTCATCCTTCTATGCAATGAATCGACCCGAGTAATTCAGAAGCATGATTCCATTGACTCCTTTCAAAGTCTGGTGCAAAATAGGCATAACCTGAATTCCAAAGACAGCATCTCATTACCATAATCTGCTCAGTCATGGTCTTCACAATCCTGCTTATCCCCTTTGCAACTGCGATGCCGAGCTAAGATGATCACCAACATCGAGCTGAGGCATCAGAATTGAACAACCTCTGGGCAGCTTTTGGGAGTAACAGTTACTGCATCACGCATTTAACTCAACTTGATGAAGCATCACGATTAGCGTTTACGCTGATATCCAACTTGTGCTGTGCGATCAGTGCGTTGCACCAGAGGTTGAGTATCTGAGCGGTGGATACTTAACCGAGTTATGTGCAAGTTATTAAGATACAATCATCAAATCTCAAAACAGTTTCGAAGGATATTTCTTCAACTCTCTATATTCTACTTGTTTGGTGGGCGTCATATGATTGTCAGCCTAGGTTTAGTATTGTGGGAACCATGATTAGCATTCACTGAGGTGATCACACCAAGACAAGTAAGTTAGACGAAAACAACCACGCTCGGTTCAAAACACTTGAGGATGCACCTCTCCAGACAGCCGCCATTAGTTAGGATTTCGTGATAAACATGCTCTCTGCACAATCTCTTTTCTATTGTATTAGATTGCCCGAAACTCGTGCCATTTGGCAAAGAAAAGCTGTTTACATATTTTAATCTGGATCTTCTGGCAGGTTTGTAGTTGATTAACAATTTTTTTGATTTTGGCCAATGAAAAAGTTTCTTGGTCACTTTGTTTTGTACCTAAGATTAGGTATCTAATCTTAGATTAGTAATAATCATGTTCTTTGTAGTATGTTTACGTTCTTCATTAAGTTTCTTCATTCTTTCTAGATAATAGGATTTAGGATATCTTTTAAAATTAAGATAGAGGTTTTTTTTTGTTTTGTTTTTTTTCTTTCTTTCTTTTCTGCCTTTTCTGCCTTTAGTTAGGATTTTGTAATGAACATGCTTTCTACATACTCTATACTATTATATTAGATTAGTAATAATCATGTTCTTTGCAGCATGTTTACTTTCTTTATTGGGCTCCTTCATTCTGGATAATAAGATTGATGATACCTTTCAAAATTAAGATCAAGGGGTTGTTTTTTGAGGTATAGTTGACAAGTGAAAAGACAAAATAATATAGATTTTATATTAATTTAAGTCACTAAGGTAGTACTACCACATAAATAATAATAAACAAGATTAGTAAAAGGCACAATGTGATCTACACAATTGACACAAGACAAAATTCAAATGCCACAACTTACATGTTTTGATATGTTTTAAATGGATTTTTTTTTTTTTTTTTTTTTTTTTTTTTAATATTTTTAAAAATTTAGCAAGAAGAATTTTTTTAGTCAATTATGTCAACTCTGCCTCTAAAAAGTATTCAATATTAGCTTAGAATGGCTTACTCCATACAATAAAGAAAATTAAGCAATCAATTAGAAACTTTTGAAAGACAATCAAGAAAATAAATGCCAAGGTAAGAGTTATTTAGCAACTAACTTTCTAATACATCCAAAATAGTGGTCTAAATCTTTATGATCCTAAAAAGCCTTGATTGCATTAGAAACTCCGTAGATGCTAAAAACTTCTAATTAAGATAATTTTTTTATATTAAATATCATCAAATACAAACATATTCTTTTAAATTACTTCTATATAATGTTCAACTATTATCCTTGGAATAAATAAAGATACTTAGTGATTGATATTGTTGTATCAAAGAACATTCTTATATAACTACATAAAGTAGTAATACAACAAATAGAACATTTATAGTACATTCAAACCAAGAATACATTGAATATGAATATAATAGCTTTGACATTCAACCTCTCACTATTCAATTAATATATGTAGAATATTTTAATGTTTCAACTATTAGAAGCTTAAAAAGTGCCTCTATCCTTAAAATCCTCAAATTTTGAAGAAAAAGACTATGTTAGATTGCATTATGAAAACAAAAAAAACTTACCAATTTTATATTTGAAATTTCTAAATGTAATAAAAAAGAAAAAAATAAAGATCCTTATACTATATGTGATTGCATAGCTTAAGATATCTTTACCATAACAACATTTATAGTATAGAAAGAAATACATATAATTATACTACATATATTACTCAAATTCTTGTTTATTAATTATTTTAACTATTAATAATTTCTATTACATTGTAAAATAATAGAATGGCAAGGATTAATATTAACTAATTAGTAATCTCTTAATCTTTTTTGACTCTCTATTCAAAAATAACTTTGATCTTAATTACTTTTCATAAAGACTAAAATATAATTTAGAAGAATTTATTATAAAAAAGAAAAAATAAAGAAAAAATAAAGAAAAAAAAATATATCTTATACAAATTCAAATTAAAAAATAGAAGGATTTTTTTTTAAATCCTAGTATAAACTAAAGATTTCTATAGTACAAAACTCCAATTAAATAAGAATTAGCTATTATTCATTTCATTTGGTATAAAATATAGGTAGTAAATATTTAAAATATTAATTAGTAATGTTATAAATAAAATATATCTATTTTATCTACTTACAATTTCAAAAATAATAGTTTAATGTTATATAAGATCTCCTTGTGTTTCAATAAAACAAAAAAAAAATCAGGCTCAATTTTCAATGAGCATAGTCAAAATAGGCTAGATACAACAATGGTTCAAAATCTCAAATTAGACAATGACTGAGTTGCAAAGATAAGGAATTAGCTTTCATGATGGCAACGTACGTAAAGGTGTTGAAGGTAAAATTGGTCTACATCCTTATAGCCTCTACAACCTCAACTAATAAGTAGATAGAAAAATATTCATAGAAAGTAAACGACATAGAGCTAGAATTGATTGCTATAGCAATAAACCTAAGTAAATATATTCTAATCAACCCCACTTGGACCTCTATAAGTGATTTATTTCTTGATGAATTACTTAGAAGCTGCATTAGTTTTCTCTTGAAGACTTGAGTACTCAAAGTTTGGTTAGATGAAGAAAAAATAAAAAAAAAATGGATTACTTTCAAAGATTTATAGTGATAGTATATTTTGTGGGCAAAAAATCCATGGCCAAGGTCCTATAATCTTGGCTAGGATACTTAAGAATTGAAATTTGTGAGGATTTGTACCTTGGGTGTGATTTAAATTATAGCTTCTTCCAAATAGTATGCTTGTACAAAGTTATTTTGCAAAAAATATTAATGCAGTCGTCATACCTTACACAATAGGAAACCTATATAATACAACCTTAGATGGTTGAATTTAACCATAGTCACCTGCTTAGTATAAAAATACTAACTTATGTGACACTAAAGTCTATTTTGGATGAATTAATAAGCAATGCAAGGAACTTGGCACAAAGCCTTGAGCTAGTATTGGGACAAGATCATGGCAACAAATAAGACTGGACAATTTTTTTTGTGTAGCTTTAATAAATAGAGCATCATATATCTTTACAATTGGAGCACTCAATCTAATGATAAAGAAAGTGATTTATATCTTGGTGGATTACAATAATCTACCTATTTGGTGTAGATATTGTTTATTCATAACACATCTTATTTGAAAATGCTCCTCACTTTCCAACCAATGGCAAAAAAAAACAGGTAGAGAAATATCTTGAAGAAGTATAAAATCCAAACCAATCTATACTACATATTGGAAAGCAACAACTAGGAATAAGAGCAAAATTGACATTCATTACATTAGAAATTTATCTCTACTCACTAAAAAAAGACTAGAAACCTTCTTTCTTCAAATACTGAGAATTGGATCTCTTGCAAGTTCCAGCAAGTCAGAGCAAGGAAGTCGCTTATAAAATACAAAAGAAATTCTTATGAAAGAAGAGAAAGTGAATAAGAATAATTCACACCAAAGAGGTTTAGATAGAGTAATATAGGAATTTATTACCTATTTAGTCTCCTTCTTTAATAAGTGGCTAAGAAGACAAGGCTTAGTCAGCAACACGCCTTTCTTTTCAACCTTAATCAGAATGTCTTTGTAAAATCATGGCAAAAAAAAAACCAAAAAACCAAAAAACCAAAAATAAACCTCATTAAGCGGCTCCAAACAACCATACTTGGCAACTTAGTGAAACAATCCAACCATGTCTAGCCTCTCTAGACAACGAGACAAGTGGCCAAAGCCTCTTGCTTGCAATCCAAAGTATGAATTCAAAATATTTATGCAAAATATTTGGGGGATTGAATATTCTAATTAAGGTGAAAATAATTTGTAACTACTATAGACAACTTTGGCATAAAATTGATATTTTGTATATATAAGAGCATAAATTGCATGGTCCTAAATTCATGTTACTTAAAAACCAAATTTGGCAAGAAATTAATTTTTTTAGACAAGAAACTCATGTTGCTTATAAAGACATAGTGGATGAAGCATGAATTGGCAACAAAGAGGTAGGATTGTAGATTTTTTCTATCTTGTTATACTTAATTATCTTGTTGGATGACTTCAGATTTGAAAGAGTACAATAGATCTGACTTCAATGAATACTTCGCAAAGATATCTCAATTTTGAATATTTATGCTCTGCACATAATTCAAAAATATTCTGTAATATAGGATAAGTTAATCAAATTCTATCCAAAAATTATTGATGGATACTCACAAGGAATTAGAATTTTTTTAAGTGCATAAGTAACAAGTCAAATTTATAAAGAATGATTCTTGAAGGAGAAGAATGATGACTTTTCAATATACTATTGTCTATCTTAGAAGTCTTGAATAACTTTATGTCATCTCATACCATAAAATTTAGTTAGAATAATAAAAAGCAAGATGGCCTATACGCCATGGCTATTGTGATTAAATCTACATATTCACAATTCATGGAATGCTGATTGACAACTTTGATTATGTAATCCTAAATAATAGCACTCATTTAAATCATATTGTAATTTAGAGACAATTAAACTTACAAGCAAAATTGAAAAAAAAAGTCGCAATACATAATGAGTGTAAAATTTCTTCATTCAAAAGAAGTATTGATTTGAATTTTTTAAATATGGAGAATATACACATCATT